TCGGCCCCTGGGCCCTCCCACCGGCGGGGCGCACTTTCTGCTCCGGTTCGGCGAACACGTCCAGGGCGTCCTGCAGCGCGTCCAGCCCCGCCTCGCCCTGCTGCAGCTTCCCCAGCAGCAGCCCCGAGTCGTCGAGGCGCGCCCTCTTGAGGCTGCACACTGGGTGGTCGTCCGCGCAGCCCTCGCTGCCGTCCTTGTTGCACCGCCGGCACCACAGCCGGACGAGGGAGGGGTCAGGGGGCCTGGCACAGTGGGCCAGAAGACCAGGCGGTCATAGGTAGGCATTTCGAGCTAGAGTCGCGACATGGGACTTGAGCCGAGCGTGTGACCCACACCAATGGATTCCTCGTTCGGAGAGCACTCCATTGGTGGGGTCACACGTTCGGTTGAGTCCCATTTAGTGGCCCTGGCTCTAAGACGCGTCCAAAATTTAGACCACCTCCACCGGCCTTCTGGCCCACTGTGTCTGAGCAAGCACAACACCGTTAATCACACTGAGGGTCAAAGAGTCTTGATCACAAACCGAATCTTGGACGGGATATAAGTTATCAGTCAAACCAGCGGGTGGAAACTCTATTGCGGAAAAAGACATGCAAAGGTTTTAGGTGCACCTTAGATCTCGGAACCCAGAGGTGGTAGGAGAAATCCGAGGTCATATTTGGAATCCTCAGAAAATTTCACTCGGCGTCGGGTATGTTTAGAGCGGGAGGTCAAGGAAATGGTCGGTCATTTTGCAATGAGAAAAAGAAAAAAAGGAGAAAAAACGCTGTGGGACCATGATCGAAACGTTCCATTGTTTTGTGGTAACACTTAATGCAAGAGAACGGGACCTCGTAGGTAAATTCTGAGGTCATTTTCTGAATCCTGAGGAAATTTCCTGTGCATTACGCTGCCTGGGAGTGGTCAACACACCAAAATAACAGAAAACCGTTGCCGTGAAACTGTGAGAGGGTATGCAGCGATTGTATTGCATCAAATTACAAAACAGTCTGCCGTTGACTGCGTGTTCTAAAGGGTACAGACCCTCCTTCTTTGAAACCTATAGGTGGAATGCACACACGAAAGCACGCTGAATTCATATCTGTACTCAGAATTTGAATTGGCCATACCGTTCTCACACATTATAAGCATGACCAAATAGCAATTTTCGGGATAAAGCGTAAATTTCGATCCTGGTCCCAGAGCGTTTTTCACCTGTTTTTTTACTTTCTCATGGCAAAATGACTGACCATTTCCTTTGCCCCTGGCACTAAACATGTCCTACGCCGAGTGAAATTTCATGAGGATTCGAAATATGACCTCGGATTTCACCTACCACCTGTGGGTTCCGAGATCTAAGCTGCACAAAAAACCTTTGCATGCCGTTTTTGGCAACAGAGTTTCCACCCGCTGGTCAAACCTACGACAGGATTGTTTTAGCACCGAAATTGAGGTGAGGGGGTTAAGGTTTCCTGAAACACATTAGGTCGATGAAGGGTGGCCACCCTAATCACTCTTATTCAACGAATGTGACGTCATATTCGTTAAAATGTGAATTTAGACACGTTCGTTTTAATGTGATGCCACATTTGTGTGAATGTTGATGCACGTTCAAACGAATGTGACGCCCTAATTTCATGGCCGTGTCACGTTCAGCCGAATGTGACATCATGTTCCAACGATCGTGACAAAATTCGCATTGTAACGAATGACGTCACATCGCGTCACATTCGTTGAAAAACAGTGATGACTAGAGAGTATTATAACCCCGGGTGGGGAAACCTTCCTCGCCCGATGATTCTAAACCACATTTGGGTGATAAAGAATAATAAATTTTTGATACTGTTTATGAAAATAGACTATTTATATCTTTTTAGAGGCACCGCAACACCCGTGGTCTGCCCAGAGTGTCTAGAGATTCAAACATCAAACAACCATCTTGTCCCCATGCAATTAGACTTACATGTTTAATGCTTGAATGAGGCCAAAATTGTCCACGAAACTCTCGGGTGCAGTTTTGAAGACCTGAATGTCAAAACAGTTGTTAAGTACCGCCTTGAGAGAGAGAGAGAGAGAGAGAGAGAGAGAGAGAGAGAGAGAGAGAGAGAGAGAGAGAGAGAGAGAGAGAGAGAGAGAGAGAGAACACATGCTAGTGCATCTGTGAAGAAAAGAAAATGTTTCAAGCCTCAAATAGCTTTTAAGACACTATAAAGCGCTTTCAATGAAAACTAGGCACCTTAAAAACTTGATAAACAAACACCACTTTTTGATACAATACTAAAAGTTTTGTGCAAACATATTATGGGCCATTTTCCTTCGTAATACGGAACTTGTGTGCCTTACAAAGAAAGGCAAAAACAGTCATTAACGAAAGTTCGTTTCACGTTTGAATAAATTTCTTCACACACTACTGGCCAACAGACTGGAAGAAAACTGCTGAGTACGTACCTTGCCGTCTAGAGGACACGCTTTGGTGCCAAGCTGCTTGAGGCATCGCAGGCAGAAAGAGTGGCCGCACACTGGCACTACCTTGGGACGGCGCTCCTTCGAGTCGTACCGCTGCAGACAAACGTTGCACTCCATCTACAACAGAAAGGCCCCGATAGGTTGATGACTTCCCTCACTGGTAAAATTAAGGCGTAGTATTACACTGTAAAAAATTCCGTACTTTTATACGGAAATGGTACAGAAAAATATAGTACGAAGGTACGGAGAAAAGTACGGAACGTTCCGTACTTGCTCCATATGAACCCATGTAAATGGGTACGGAAAATAGGTACGGAACGTTCCGTAGTTGGCAAAGTACGGACGGTCCAGGCAAATTATTGACCAGACATGTTCCGTACTTTTTCCGTACTTTTTTCTCACAGTGTACGCTCTTCGTGAAGCGTACAGTTTGTACGCGAATGAAGCGTAGAACTACGCTCAAGTTTTACCAGTGTGCACTCCTGCACTCTTGAAGTACATAAAAGGAAAATTTCCCATAATGCCATCAGCGGGGGTAACTTCGGACACCTAGGGTAGTCTGTTTTGATGGTCAGCGAGAGAAGAACAAGAAGGATCACAAAACTACTACTCCCGATCCACTCAAATTCTAGTTTTGAGATTATTCCTGTTCTTCAGTCGTTCTTAGACTAGAATAAGTCTTTTTCGGACGGATGCAGGGCAACATTCAGGGACATCACAATAGGGTACTTTCGTAGATCCCTGAACCGGAAGCACACAGACGCCATGTTCACTGTCATTCATTTTGCGATACTTTTACTACAAATTTTTGCGATAAAACCGAGTTTGCGATTCCCACGATTTATCGCACCCTGGAGTGCGATAATTTTGTTATTGCAATTTTTTTGCAATAACCACCCCATAATTTTTGCTATAGAAGAGCGTTTTGTAGTAACTTTTATCACATTATTTTTTGCGATAACTTTTTATTGCATTTTCTTCGCAGTCATTATCGCAAAAATGTGATACTTTATTGCAAAATTTAGCTATAAATTTTTTATTGCAAATTGTTCGTAGTCATCATAGCAAAAAACTGTGATAAGTGTTTTATTGCTAAATATAGGCAGTGGTTATCGCAATTTGAATAACAGTGTTGGCGGAAGTAGATCCAAACTTGACATGGGAAAGAGACGTTAGTCAAACGTATCGGCCACACTTGAACATAAACAGTCGTTTGATACTTGCTTGCAGTGCATGTGTGTTTCGCGAGCAATATTTGCACAGCTCGGCTACAGTTTTAGATCCGAAGAGAGGTTAGTTTCCGGCCAATTTGGCGTCTGCTGGTCTGCTTGCTTCCGGTTCAGGATCTACGAAAGTACCCTATTAAGTACTTTCGCGGATCCTGGACCGGAAGTCAACAGTCGCTATGCATGTTGTTTGTGGTAAACCGTAAACTGCCATGGAATTTAGACGCTAGACGCATCAGATACAACATTACAATAGTTTACAATGTACCCTAAGAGTTCCTAAATCTTAGCTTGGATCCACCGGTGAAACAAAGCCTATATGGTGCCTTCAGACTTCCGTTCTACCACCCACCCTGGTGATTCATTTACGGCTCAGATCTTGTAAAAATGATGGAATTGAAGAGGAAACCAATAACAATTTGCGACTAGCCAGTTTAGTTTCCTGTGGAAAGTGAATGAACTGGGCCAAAAGGGAAGTGAGTTACTCCCGAATGACTGATACCATCTGGTAATGGTGGGACCAATCTAGGCGGTTCTGGAAAAGTCAAAGGGTACACTCCCAAGATCACTCAGTGCTGTTTCTTCATACTCAGTACCTTGTGGGAAGTTTCATTTCACAAATCTTTCTGTACGACAGTATTGTGTCATAAAGCTGAGAATGAGCTTGGTATCACTGCAAGGCATTTCTGGCTAGGAAATTGTCAGTGCACTCAGTTTACAATCATTGTATATCAACACAATGTCACTAGTACCAAATACAAATACACGGTACTCCAAAGAAGCTCTGGCCCGGAAGAAGAAGAACAAAAACGGAAGTCAGCAATTATAATTTCTAAGTGAAATATACGCGGCGCATGAGCTCCAGTCGCCATCCGCCGCGTTCATCTCCTAGGAACTGTCATTACTGACTTCCGTTTTAGTTCTTCTTCCTGGCCAGAGCTTCTTTGGAGTACTTTAATATCCCTGCTCTTTACGTTATATGAAGGAAAAACGCTCCTGCCCCCGACCCCTGAGAAAAGATCTCCAAACAAAAGGCCCTATGTTACGCCAGAGGTGCCATTAATCGGTCCGTAGTAAATTTCCATACTTAAGCCTTATAGCCTTGTATAAAATACGATGAGCTAAACACTGACTTCAATTCTGACTTCCTGTTTTGACGAGCCCTATCTTTTTCCAAAAGGTGAAACCGCATGTGCGTGACATGGAGCCTTTAACACTAGCGTACAGGGGCACAGCTCCTTTTCTCATACAATACTGAGGATATTTCCTGTTAACAGTTATTCGACACAAGGGTCAAAGGGGACTGAGTACCGTAAAGCTTAAAATACAGTTTTCTAACGGATGTGGTCGCAAACATTCAAAGGTTGGTGTGTAGTGTGCGCTTACCTTGAAGAGTCCGTAACAAAGGAGCGGGAGCAGTTGATGATGCAGCGTCTTCTGACGCAATCCCGGCCACCAGCTGTGTCGGTTGGCGTAAGAATGCTGAAGCAGCTCTCCGACTCGCCAGCACCTAGCGATGGACCTTCTCTGGAGGGGGTCAGTTGATCACGTATGAATAACACGAACAAGATGCTTGGGTCTAGGGAGCAGCTCCGGACGTGTCTGGGACCCGAAGTAAGCGGGACAGAACCGGAAGTGACTCATCACCTATAGGTGGTAATCGAATGAGTTATTTACACTATGAGATGTACTTCAGTCAGATTCTACTCTGAATATTCAGCAACCGCGAGCCGCTCTATCCCATCCATCTGAATTTGCAATTAAGAAGTTAGAAGCGGAAACAGTAGCAGAATTGGCCCTTTCACAGGAGTTCCGGTAGTCACCAAAAGTTAAAACTTCTTATAGTTTTTTTATCGCTTAAGTTTAAAGTTTACGTTAGTGACACGTTCCCAGTTGATTGACTTCTTTTTCCTTTATTAATTACTTAGTGTTCTACCGCAGTCTATCAAACTCTACGTTTCATCATTCATACTTCTGTCAAGTCATCGGCCGTCGAATCGCGGTTCTACCTGACACACGTTCCAAGTTTCTCACACTCTCAGCACGTTACTGTCTTTTTTCTCATTGCTTACATATTCGCATTGGTAAAACTAAAGCGTAGAATAACCCTCTGTTTTCAAGCGTAATTAGGTTAGGCTCATCTGCCAAGATTCCGACTATGCATGGGGGAATTTCCTGAGTATGCTTCATTTCTAGCGTAACTGTATGCTTGACTCATGCATAGTTACGCTTTACTTTTACCAGTGCGTATAAGCAACAATACTAGTATTTTTCAAGTGGGTATGACTAATTTCCTTTATGAATTTGTACAAAGCGTAGCCAAATTGTCAGTACATTATTTAAAATTTCGTAAGTAGTTATTTAGAAAAGGAAAAGTACGTATTATGGTTGCTCAAATTTCTAATATAAGTACTGACAAAATGAGCAATAAAGTCAGTAACGTGCTGAGAGTGCAGTCAACGCGATTCAACTCTCGGCGTATTTGAATGAACGAGGTATGGGAGCTGATCCGACGAATCCGTTGTTTATCAGAACTCATTTAAATGTAAGATTCAATCCGCGGCGCACCTTTTTGTCCAAGAGGGAAACATGCAGCCTAACTTCCGTTCATGCGCCCGTGCCATGATACGTTAAGAGATTGGTCTGCTTCGGTAAGGTGGCGCGTTTGTACGAAAAACTTAGCAAATTTTAACTTTGTGCAAAATCGCGTAGAAATTTGTACGAAAAGTTCGTGTACACGAGAAACTGTAATGTCTCGTTCACAATTTGTCCAAAAACATTTGGGGTGAAGTTTTCACGAAAATTAGTGCTTCAGCATACTAGAGCACCAGTTCCAAAAGTTCAATCAAGTTTTCGTCAGGAGTGACCTTTTGCACTGCCGGGGGCTCCTGAAGTTGGTTCTATGGCCCTTTGGAGGAGATTTCAAGTGAACTGACGTCGTACACTTATGCAGCTTAAAGTTGGAGTGTTTTCTCAACTGCACACGGACCAGATGAGATATAATCAATCCTGAAGTCTCAAAAGATGGGGAATTTAATTACCTTTCCAACGAGCTAAATGTCATTGAAATCGGACAATTTATAGCCCAAGAACAGTCGATTTTTTGAAGAAAAACAACTGTAAAAATAGTTTAAGGATTTTGAATAAATTTTAAAAATTGTCTAAGACTATATACCTTTGCAGGAATGGACTTGTGTACTTAGAAATTAAGAAAAATGTCTTAACAGGTGTCAGGGTTGGATGTGAAATGAGAGAATCGCTGTACTTAGTTGACAGAGTTGGATGTGAAATGGGAGAATCTTTGCGCTTCTGAAGTGCCGTTATCCCTCAAATGACCAAATGTAACCTTGATGAAAAAATCTTAATATATGGATCAAAAATCTTCTAATATATTCCACAAGTAGTACTTTTCATTGAAAATGAGTTAAATGTCTCAGAAAATCAGTATGGACTGGCAAGAAACCCACTTCCGTGAAAAATCAAAGTAAAAACTAGGTGTGTCTCAAGTTACCCCAAATGACGGGGTAACTTGAGACAACTTTAGAGGCCCGTTACTCTCATTTTAGGAGACCTCCAAAAACTTCGTGGGGTCCAAACCGAATGTAATCACGTGAAATAAAACATAGTTGGGATTCGGGTTGGTGAGAGCAGTTTTGTGGACGCACGGTCCAAAAAACGTAAAATATTGTCTCAAGTTACCCCGGTTTACGGTAAGGCCCAAAATAGTTTGTAAGGTTTTCTCAGTGTGTAAGCTTGCGCAGTCTCACTTTTTTGAAATGCATCAGTATTGCAAATCACCGCACTTTGCGAACAAGTGCTTTGCAATTTGCAAGCAAAGTTCTCAAAATTGCGAGATACCAGTTCGTAATACAACACGGCAAAAACGGTACCTGGTTTTCCCAGGAGCCCTATGGCGAAGACATAGGCGATTTCCAGGGGGTTCCTGGGAAAACCAGGAACCGTTTTTACCGTGAATCAAGTCAAACTCTTCGTCAGCTGCAAACCATGTGGTTTGTAATGTGAACACATTCTTTGCAAGGTTTTGAGAGTATCGACTTGCCCCGGATTCTGGTGCCGAATATGATCCCATATGTTCAGAATTTTCCTGAGACTGGGACGCCAAATGAAGGCGTGACTGACATGTCACGCCGTCTACCGGCGCGAATTTCGTGTCACGCCAATTTTTGGCGTGACTTTTTGTCACGCCATAAATTGGCCATGTGTCCGACCATTACATTTTCAGTGATTAACCTACTCTCGAAAATTAAAATATGTAATTTGTTACAAAAAAATATCGAAACCTTTGGGAGAAAATTTGCCTTGTGTGAGATTTTGAAGGTTTTGTTTGCCTTATGGTTGCACCCCTTATTGTTCCGTTTGTCCAAAAAGTGCCCCTGCATAACTTAGCTAGGGAACGCCCCTTGCCATTTGTGTCCAGTCACAGACCTAGTTTAGGGCAAAGGGAATAATAACAGAAATTTGGCGAATTTGTTCGTATCATATGTTTTATTTTCTCAGAAAATTGTGTCACGAAATGTCAAGAGTCAATGATCGGTGCCCAGTATAGGGCTTAACAATGGCTGGTGATCCCTGAAATGACTTGAAGAGACTGCTCGAGAACCTGAGAGGAATAAACACAAAGGTATCAATTACGTAAGAACACAACCTCATTGCAGAAGTCCACTCAAAATGAACTTGTTTCAATCTAGTCTATTGCTAGTTTTGAACCAAGTGTGGACCATTTTGTTTAGGTCTTACAGCGTAGACCAGCTTGGTGCACGCGAGGGAACTCTATGATTACAGATAATGGCCCAAAAGGTGGCCCACACTTGGTTTAGCAAAGTAGAGAGGCTAGCATTCACAAGAAAAGTCTGCACGGTAAACTTCTTTCCGATATTTTGTGCAAACAGGATTACAGATGGATTTAGCTTGGAATATGTATGATTTCACCCATAATACAAAAATTTCTTTGTCCGTACCTTCCAAATGATTTTGTTTGTATGTTGCGGACATGAAAACATTTGTATTACGGGAAACTCATCCGTAATTATTGATCCATGAAGCGGAAGAAGGGGATCCAATTTTCATCATTTTTCAGGAGACACCAAAAACTATTTGCATCAGATGAATGATGTAATTGCATTTTTGTCAAGAAAGCCTAAGACATAACTCTGAAACTTTTCAAAAGTGTAGCAACCCCCTGTAGACGGTTTCTGTGATTTACATTTTTGGTGGAATGGACTGCGGAACCATGTTTACTTAGTTCTCCCACTGAAAATCTATCGGCGTGACTTCGTGCCGCTGCAGAGGCGTGAATAATGTGTCACGCCAAAAAACGGCATGGCACAAAAGTCACGCCTAAAATCGGCGTGACTATAAAATTCACGCCAAGTTTTGGCGTTAATTTCTTGTCATGCCGCTTTTTGGCATGACTTGTCTCTTAAAACGCGTTATCATTCACGCCAAATAACGGCGTGACTCACATGTCACGCCGTTTATCGGCGTGAATTTCGTGTCACGCCAATGTTTGGCGTGACTTGTCACGCCCTCTCTACATACTGAAGTGTGTAATCAGTATGCACAACAGATGCATACTTGCATGTACACACCTACTGATCATCGATGCATACTCAGCTGAGTACACATCTACAGATGCATACCTCACCTCTCCAAGTATGCATCTGCAGATGTGTACTCAGCTGAGTATGCATCTGTAGACGTGTACTCAGCTGAGTATGCATCTGTAGATGTGTACTCAGCTTGCAAGTATGCATCTGTAGATGCATACTGAGTACACACTTCAGTTTGTAGAGATGATTTGGCCATGTGTCCGACCCTTACGTTTCCAGTTTCCAGTGCCCAAACAAGGCGGAATTTGGAGACAATTCAAGTGGAGCTGAGGTCCGCATAGAGTCTGTATTTCTGTGGCCACATTTTTGGAGTTACCTCTTTTTTCCACCTAGTGATGAGGAGTCAAGTTGAGTTGATTCTTTTTACACTAGATTCTTAAAGACACAAGTTGAGTTATCTCCTTTTGCCATTCTGTGCAATGGAGTTTTGTGGACTTCGGTTGAGTTACCTCCATTTTCCAATAAAATTTAGACCGTGAAAGGGGTCAAGTTGAGTTATATCTATTTTTTATGTGGATTTTCTCCTAAACCGTCAGGAATTGGGTCAAACAATTTGGTGTGATGATGCAAACCATCCTGAGGCACAATAATAAGATAAAAACTCAATTTGGAGATAAGCCGAATTGTTCCCTTCTTCCGCTTCCTGGATCAATTGTGTATGCACAAAACTGTCTGTATTACAGATACATGCTGTGCGTAAGGAGTTAAGAGTGTGCCGATGAAAATGGTGAAAGTGCGCGGTTGTTCCAAATGATGGCTGTACACGAAACTTACATGTAGTTTGGCGTAAGTGGCTTGACGCTTGTCGGTAATGTCCTCCTGCTCATGAAACAGATCATCCAATTCTCCTTGCATGAGAGCCACACACAGCTCAGCATTGAGCGATTCTCGGACTTCATTCACGAGGAACGTCACGACCGCCTTGGCTGTTGAGTCCTGCATGGTTTCTGCCACTATTTTGTAGTAGTGGTCGAGCATCATACCTAAAAAAAAGTAGAGAGTTGACGTTGATCTCTGTCTCCATATAGAAGTCCATAATGTGGCGACTAGTTTATGCATCAAAATCCAACCATTAGGAATACAAATGAAGGAAGACTTTTAAATTTGTCAAGTGATTAAATTATGGGGGTAGGTAAGCGGTTCTCAGCCTTTTTCGGTTCGCGACCCATATTTGCAGCCAAAAATTTTCGCGACCTCAGGAAAAATTTCGCAACCCCACGCGACCCCTTAGCATGCCCGCTTCGGATCAGACGCAGTGGCTGCTTAAAGTCGGCCCAAAACACGATTTTTCAAAGATATTTGTGACCGTTTTGATCAATTTTGCGGCAATACTGCTCCCAAACTAAGGTGGATTTTCGCACTTTGTATCAAGTGCGAAAATCCACCTTAGTTTGGGAGCAGTATTGCCGCAAAATTGATCAAAACGGTCACAAATATCTTTGAAAAATCGTGTTTTGGGCCGACTTTAAGCAGCCACTGCGTCTGATCCGAAGCGGTATTTCGTCCTCCCGCAACGGAAAATTGGCCTTTGGACCTTCCTTTAGCATGCGTTTGTTACGGAGTGCGATTATCTGCCTTAGTTTGGGAGCAGTATTGCCGCAAAGTTGATCAATACACGATTTTTCAGACATTTGTGACCGTTTTGATCAACTTTGCGGCAATACTGCTCCCAAACTAAGTCAGATAATCGCACTCCGTAACAAACGCATGCTAAAGGGAGGTCCAAAGACCAATTTCCCGTTGCGGGAGGACGAAATACCGCCTCGGATCAGACGCAGTGGCTGCTTAAAGTCGGCCCAAAAAGACATTTGTGACCGTTTTGATCAACTTAAAAGTTGTTCCCGCCAGTGCTTCGGCGTGTGGGTCAGCTGGGAAACCGCCGCAACGCCAAGCGACCCCAGTTACCTCGCCGCGACCCCTCGAAATTTTTTCGCGACCCCTCGAAATTTTTTCGCGACCCCAAGGTTGAGAACCGCTGGGGTAGGTAACCTCCGAGCTCGTAAACATCGATTTTGATCTTATGTTGTAGAGTTCTAAAGAGCAAATCAGATCAAACATTTCTAAAAAAAAAACAAACGTTAAATTAAATATTTGTAAGGAAACGGCTGCGGAGCCTCTTAACCTTTCTGAGGTTAAGACCAGAAAAGCTACCGATCCAAGGGAATCGTACAGTATTATTTCTGTAGATTGCTTAAAAACAACGTGAACCGCAGTACATCAATTAATTTAGCAATGTGAGGTCCTGAAGGAAAGACGAATGACTAAGTTTCTTCAGTTTCCAAAACCATCAAGACAATGCTCCAGATTTAAGAACTTTGATGCGTGCCGTGCCGATCAATTTAGTTGGAATAGCTGTGGGAACATAGCTTACCCAAAATGATGACATGTTTTTTGTCCTTGTCTGACATTGTTAACAAGTTTAATTGAGCTGTAATATCGGATTTTTCTTCGTCGCCTGCCACTCTTAAGCGGGACCGAAGCTCATTCTCCAATTTACCCCTTGGAAAGGGTACTACATCATCTCTGCCTTCATCTGTCATTACTTTTTGGAATTCTTCCTTCAGAACATCGATTCGATAGTATGTAATATGCCCAGCCTCAATAGAGACCAAGTCTTTTATCTGAGAAAAAGAAAATAAATAATGCACTACTTGTAGAGGTTACGCTTAAGGGGGAAGGGGGACCCTGGAGAAAAAATGGCCAAAATAGCCCAAAACAGTATTTCCAAATTTTTATACAAAAATGTGCATAGAAGGGTCTCAGACCACTTAACAGGTTGAACACCTTTGAGCTAAGCGTGTAGTTTCTTTATCATGTGAAAAGAAATAACATTAAGATCAGATGTTGTTGGCTTATGCGCTCAACTTTACTCAGTCGACAAAACATTTTGCCGCAGAAAGACTACACGTTCCTGGTTGACACATACATGAGTTGAATAGCATGGAATTTATTCTTTGATGACTTGTAGACAAATCTAAGAGAGGATTTCTCAATATGAGCCCCACTTTTGTCTACAGACAGAAAAAAGATTTATAAGAAAAACACACACAGAAAGTTTACATGTTAAAATTATCAAAATTTAAAAATTTTGAACTTTGAATAAGAGTTTAATTTGAAAATTTCCTCCCTTAAATCTCTTGTATACCTCTTAAAGGTAACACTCAAAAAATTTCTAGATTTTCCGTCCCAATGAAAGACGGAGGAAGATTTTCCCCCTCGTATTTTCCTTAAGTTTTAAAAAACACTAAAGTGGTACTTTTCTAAGAAACCGTTCAACATAGTGGATTGAATATTGATATGCAAACTCACGATAATGAACGTAGGGTCCCCATGCGCTCAACTCAATGTTTGAGGGCCCGCAAACATTGAGTTGAGCGCATGTTCTCGGAGAAACAGCAGTAAAAATATGCATAAATTTTCTTACCATTTGGATTGCTTTCTGGGCCCGTTTCTCCACAATTCCCAATACGATTTTTATCAGGGCTTGCTTCAGCTCCGGAAATCGAAGTTTCAGCTGCTCTGAGATGCTAAGTTGGCACATGCTGCCAAGTTCCCTCTTCACGGCATCCACGCACGCCAGGGCAGGTTTCTCCATATTCTTTATCAGTGGTTTCACCAACGTCTCAAAGGCTACCTCGGACACGAAGAATGGGGGCTTGAGACCGTTTGACTGTCTGAGTGCTATTACAACTTGATCGGTGGTGTAGGATTTGCAAGGCTCACACCTAGCGAAGACTTTCTCCAATCTGCTGTGAAGAATGTCACACAGTTTTGCTCCACCAGTTCTGCAAATAAAATATCAAGTGACTCCTGCATTTCCTCGTTTTAACCGCCTAAATCTGAGATAGTTCCACTGTGGCAACAAACTCGAACAAACTACGGAAAATTCTTTTAACATTGCAGGTCCTACACTGCAAATTCAAAGGTCAGACTTCTCGCCACTCCCGAGGTCAGACTTCTCGCCACTCCCGAGGCGAGACATAAAAGTCTCGCCAAGTTTGGGTCAGATCTAAAAGCATCGCCAAAATTTGGTCAGACATAAAAGTATCGGCACAAAACGGTCAGTCACAAAAAGTCTCACCACAAAATGGCGAGACTTTTATGTCGGACCGCCACTTTAAGGCCGTAATGCGCCGGACGGTTGCCTTAAGCCCTTGGTCAGACACAAAAGTCTCGCCTTTTCTTGGTGAGACTTTTGTGCCTGACATTTTGTGGCGAGACTTTTTTGCCTGACCAAATTTTGACGACACTTCCAGGTCTGACCAAAACTTGGCGAGACTATTTCGGCTTTCCATCCAATTTGCAGTGTATGGAGGATACTGTGGTATCCTATGTTAAACCAACGAATGTAATGATTCAATCATTTCAATTGAAAAGTGGCAAAAATAGTCTAAATCCAGCTTATCGTGAATCGGTTTGACACCCATGAATGTCAAAGAACGAAAAACTTCTCTGTCCTTAAAATACGTCATTGCGACAAAGCGTCTGGATATACTTACAGTTTCATGGATTTAAGGTTCTGCGATCCTTTGTCACACAGCGAACAGAAAGCTTGACTAAACTTGTTCACAACATTCATCAGAGTAGCCCTCTTGTCCGTTATAGATTCTCCACATTCAAGTAGAATCTTTGAGCACTCTTCCATTTCTATGCGGATCTTATTCTGAAATCAAGAACGAAAAACATTAATTCAAATAAAGCTTGGACAACTTGTATGAACTACTGCGCCCACATCTGACACCGTGTCTGTCAAAAGCGTCAAAAGTTCAGCAAGGAACAGCGAAGGCTGTTTTAAAAATAGGCTGTTTTGGCCTATAATCGATTTTTAGACCAATTGTGGGTCAGCAATAGACACTTCTAGCAGGGCCTGGAGTGAAGAACAAGAAGAACATAAGCCGGAAACAGTTGCCAAATTATGCATATTTCTTGATGACGAATGTTTATTCTCAATCCAAAAATTCAAGGAAGCTTAATTTTATAATACAATTTGATTTAAACCTGCCAAAACCCCCGAAAAAGGCCGATTCATTGAACTGTTTCCGGTCTATGTTCTTCTTCTTGTTCTTCACTTCAGGCCTCGCTAGAAGTGTCTATTGTTTCAAGCTAACCGCGCGCGAAGCCTTGTACAACTTTTGCCAAACTTAGGTTGATGTAAAATCCTCCACCTATTCTACAAGTAAATCGGCAAGGGCGACCCCTTTAAAAATGCATTTTTACGCCTTGCACTCAATATCGTCACTCCGCGAGTGCTATGAAAATTTCGTGCTTAACATGCAGTACCCTTTTACTATGAATTAAACTAATTATTATCGGTGCACGCTAAAGTCCTTACGGATACCGTGTTTGTAAGTTACGGATAGTTTTGTGCAGCCATATTACGGATCGAATTTTATTTGTAATATGGATGTTTTTGTCCGTAATACAACGATTTGGGAATCCGTACGTTGCAACGAAATAATCTGTAAATTACGGACATCAAAACCTTTGTATTACGGACAAAAATATCCGTATTACAAACAAAATTCGATCCGTAATACGGCTGCACAAAACTATCCGTAACCTACAAACACGCTATCCGTAAGGACTTTACTGTGTGATCTCTTACCTCAACGTCAGGAAGGTTCTTGTTGATATGGTCTGAAAGCAACATGCTCAACTTTTTGGCAAGGTAAGGAGAGCCAGTTCTTGATGCCATTTCCTTGTATTTCTTTTGAAAGTAGTCTGCTTCGTATTGAAGAGCATCTTCCATCGTCTTTAACAATCAAGAGCACCATTCAAAGTCAAGTCACATTTTTCATCGGTGAAAACGCTATTAATTAATACAATTTTTACCTTATTATCATTGATGTCCTTCTGTGATCTGTTGATAACTCCAACAATGCCAAGTTTGACCGGTATAACCAGTCCTTTCAACATATCTCTTGCATCGGTCCCTTGAAACAGACAGCAACAAGGTCAAGGTCAGTAATGGCGTGGGACCGTTCGGCTCCCGGGCTTAATCTTACATTTTAACACCTTATGTTTAGCGGCGAAAGACTCAGTAGCATAAGTTTGGCTGGTGTTTCACCTGGTGAATTAATACATAAGGGGGCGGACCAGGTGAAAAAATTGCCAAAATTGTCCAAAACAGTATTTTTAAAGCTCTTAGATAAAAATGTGCATAGAAGAGTTTCCGACTACTCAACAGGTTAAAGACCTTTAAGCTAAGCGGGTAGTTTCTTTATCATTTGAAAAGAAATAACACTAAGATCAGATGTTGTTGGATTATGCGCTCAACTTCACTGCACGGTCGACACGACAAAACAGTTTGTTGTAGAAAGACTACATACGTGCCTGGTTGACACAAACACGAGTTGTCTAGCATGGAATTTATTCTTTGATGACTTTTAGACGAATTTAAGAGAAGATTTCTCAATGTGAGCCCTACTTTTATCCTCAAACACAAAAAAGTTTGGAAAAAAATGCCAAAAAAAATTACTTTTTAAAATTATTTAACTTTAAAAATTTCTTACTTGTAACAGGAGCTTGAATCCGAGATGAGTTTGAAAATTTCCCCACTAAAATCCAAGGATAACCCCAAAAAATATAAAGACTTTCCATCCGAATGAAAGACGCAGGAAGATTTTTTCCTAACCCTCTAACAAACACTGAAGTGGTCTTTATCTAAGAACCCGTTCAACATTTTGGATTGAATTTTGTTCTGGAACCCTACCATAATGGACCTAACAATTGAGCAACGTTTCGTCTCACTGACCTTTTTTTAAAGCCTACTCGCAAGTTTCACCAGGATCCCCGGTAACATGACCAGAATATGAATAAAATCGAAGCACTGGAAAACGTCCGAAAAGGCATTGTATATCTACAAAGAAATGCTTCGTCTTACGGAGCAAGGTCCTTTCCCTCGTGACAAGATATATTACTCCGTAATGCGAAAAATTGAGTCAAATTGATCTCTCATGTACACTCTCATTCCAGGAACGTGACATCGCGTGCATCACATTGAAGCGTGCGTGACAAAATGTTACGCTCCATTAAGCGGGGTGTCACTCTCGTTGTGAATGAGCCATATATTATCTTGTCCACATTAAAATGAGCGTGACTCAAAGGAACGTTGTCATCAAGGGGGGGATGATTTCAATAATACTCCGTACGCAACATCAATAATACCGATAATACTGATAGTACCAATAACACTATAATACTTGCTATTTTGTGTCTTTTTCATCATACCGTGCGTCATTTAAGTCTGTAGGTTTCATTTAGGAACGAATCTGATTGAATCAAAACCATCCGAGTGGTCAGAAAACCGCGCGCGCGGAACAGAACTCAAGTCAAAGGACCCGAAGGATCAAAGGATGAATAATACCGATAATAGTACTCCGTACACGGTTTAGGAGGCTCAGTTCCCGTCGCGCTCGTTTCAAGTTGATGTCACGTTCCGCGAGTGATGGTGCACTACTTTTTTGAGTGAGGGTGTCCATGTCACGGAATGTGAATGATGGAAAATAATGAAATTGTGTTTGCCCAAGGTTTACCTTCGTCCATGAGGTCGACTTTGGTTAAGACTGCAAGCGTACGTTCCCCCTCCGGGTCGACAGTTTTGGCCAGCTTCAGACTCTCGTTGGTCGCCATGTCTGTATTAGCAGTCACCACAGCCAAGATGATAGTCAAAGGATTCTCGATGTACTGGAAAATCAGCTTTTGTATCTGTTCTTCGATATCCTCAGGCTGATCTCCAATGGCCACCTACAAGAAAACAACATTATTAATGCAAAACAAAAAAAAACGATAGGCGTCTTATCAGAAATAGAAATTTGGTCATTTGTTCTGGGCAACTCTATCCTTCCGTTGAGAGATAGCATTTAAAAAACAAGGTAGGTTTACGCCAGACCGCGTCTTGTCGTAACAGGCTTCGCGATGTCTCGCTGCCTGTTCCCCCAATCCGCGCCTGGCGCACCTACCTTGGCCTGCGGCGCTAGCCTGCCTTCGGCAGGCAATGCTTGTCCACCGTCGGTTACTTCTGTAGAGTTGCTTCATCTACAAAGAACACGATCTTGACCCTTGTAACTTTTAAACTTGTCGAAGCTGGGGGGCGGAGCCCCCCAGACCCCCCTTCCATCAAAACAGGACAGATCTGCCTGCAGAAAACTCGATTTTTCGCCGTTTTTTAGGAGTTTTTCGGCTATAAAAACTGAACCACGTGAGCTAGGATAGTGAAATTTCGCGTGTGCCGAGCCAAGAACATACCCAATAAGCCTGCAAAATCTCAGCCAGATCAGCCGAGCCGTTCAGGAGGAGTAGTGTACACAGACAGACAGACAGACAGACAGACAGACAGAAAAAACTTTTCAACCGCACTGGAGTAACAGGCTTCGCTATCGCTCAGCCAACAACAGCAATTTTTAATCTCCCACTTTCAAAAGGACATTGGTTTTAAGGTTTCGGAAGCTCTGGGTTTTGGGTAAGGTACAGAATTATGGCAAAAGAATAAAGAACCTTCTCAGCAGTCTTGTCGCAGTGTACGAGTTTGAGAGAGCAGGCCACGTGGTGCAGGCGGCACCAGGCATTACTTGGCATTGCCAAGTTAGAAAGCATGCTCCTTTCCTGGTGCTGTACGTGCAGGCATGCTCCATGAATTTACCTTAGTTATGCCGGGTAGGTCCACGAGCGTCAGGTTGACCACGTGGGGCGAGTACACCTTCAGGGTGATGGGAGTCGGAACGATGCCTTTGTTGGAGCCCGCATTGCGAGTCGTTTCAGCATCGATTTCGTCACGTACTTCGTCCAGATTGAAAATGCGATCTCCAGAGTGCAGGAACGTACCCCATTCCTCGTGCTCGATACCTAAAACACACAGATTTCACAGGATTCACCAGATTTTTGACTCAGAAAACCTTGCGAAGTAATACAGATGCATAAGTAGCTTTGGTACCGTTTGGTACACACACACACACCCATATAACGTATGAATCTGTACGTGTGTACTCAACCAAGTATATGCGTCTGAAGTTTTGTGCAAATCACAATTACTGGTGGATTTAGCTTGTAATGAAGATGGTTTTTCCCGCAACAGAAAGGTTTTCGTGTACGGACGTCCGTAACCTACAAAATCATCCGTGTGCGGCCGAAGAATGCTTTGTGTTACGAGTGAAATCATCCGTATCACAAGCAAAATCCATCTGTTATCATGTTTGCACGAAATGGTGTGTATTGCGCATACGTGGTATATCCGTAAGAAAGTTTACCCGTGGCATTAAACCACAGAGAACCATAGGTTGCTGCATGGTTGGGGCATACCCTTTCTCATTTCACTTGCACCATGAGACATTTTGGCTCATGACAGCGGATGGCAATGGCCAATACACTAAATGGCAGGTGACTCAGCTCCGTGAAGTTGGCACAGCCTGACGCATTAAAAGCTATGGGACTCTTTAAGTCCCATGAATGATGCAATTTTCAGCACATCCGTGGATGCTACAATTTTGTGCCCACCAGGTGACACAAATTGTCCAATGAAATAGCAAATGGCGATAGGCGTAGGACAAGTTGAGTCACCTGGTGAGCACGAACGAGCATCGACAGATGTGCCTAAAATTCACACCATTCATGCATGCACCATTGCCGTGTGTGGTTTATATTTAGGGGACCGATCACGCTACACTGGGAGAAATAATGAAGATTGTGGCTGTCAAACCTAATGCCACTCTCCACTGTTCATCGAAAGAAGGTGTTTACCGTACACTGTGCTTGAAGGAACGGCGTTAACTGTACCCTGGGAACCCGCATCCGCTGTACCTTGGAAACTGTTCAGACACTGCATTCAGTATACCTGTAAAATAAAGGTGAAATTCCAAAATCACGATAGGAACGATTTGATGACGGAAATGAATTTATCTTAGCAAGGCGAACAAATAATGATAAGCATATCATGGTCTCAGACTCGCAATTCAGCGGAAATCGTGGTCAGAAGTCTAAAAAAGAAGGATTTTGGACTCCAAAACATCGGATTTATCAAATTATGGTCCAAAATCCTACTTTTTTAAGCTTTTGATGCCGATATCTGTTGAATTTCGAGTCTGAGGCCATAACATGCTTATCATTTTTTTGTTCGTCTCGTTGAGATGAATTCATTTCCGTCATCGAATCGCTCCTATCGTGATTTTGAAATTTCACCTTTATTTTACAGTTATACTGAATGCCGTGTCTGAACAGTTTCCAAGGTACAGTGCATGTAGGTTCCCGGGATACAGTGAACGCCGTTCCTTCAGGCACAGTGTCTGCTGTATCCCAGGGTACGGTAAACACCTTCTTTCGGTAAACAGTGGAGAGTGGCATTAGGTTTAACAGCCACAATCTTCATTATTTCTCCCAGTGTAGGCTTCTTTTCCTAGTGCACCCTAAATTTCATGCTCTTTTGATCCGTGCAAAGGGGTTTGCAAGCGCAAGCCTATTTTTCATAATCTCGAAAAAGTGCGCTCCCTCACCCGAAAAATTTCTCGCCTAATGGTCTTACCCTTTCGCCGTGCGTCACCCAAGGGGCAGTGGTTGAGTTGAAGGACCAGCGGACAGCGGGTGACGATGCCCGTGCCGCGCGGCAGGAAGGACCTCTTCACCAAGGACTCCAGGACGGAGCTCTTGCCGGCACTCTGAATCAAAAATAAGGAAATAACAATTAAAATAACAATAATAAAAATTAAATGGAGGTCAAGTCGCACGCATTCAGTTTTCAACTAACGAAATTTTACACGTGGTTCAGTCATACACACTGAACTACTACGTACTTTTTTGTGCATTGCTTGCACAGAAATTGAGCATGCGCGTGAAACGCGCAGATTCGTGCACAACAACGCACACTTTCGTGCTTACACTCTAAATACGGGGTGCCCAGCAATTGGGCGCCTTTGTCGCCCGCCCCACTTTTTAGGGTGCCAAATGTCGCCCAGTTTTTGGGCACCTTTGTCGCCCAGTCTCGGGGTGGACAAATCATACAGTAACCGGCCCTCTCCCACGGTAGAGCATGCTTAGGTGTCTAGATCCTGGGCGACTAAGGTGCCTAGATTCTGGGCACCTTCGGCACCTCAGTCGCCTGCTGAGCCATGGGTGAAGGCAGGTTTCTTAATGGTTTGTCCACCCCGAGACTGAGTGTCAAAGGTGCCCAGGAACTGGGCGACATTTGGCACCCTAAAAAGTGGGGCGGGCGACAAAGGCGCCCAGTTGCTGGGCACCCCATATTTTGAGTGTAGTCACGCACCTATCCCTACGTCTTAAAACGCATGCACAGTTTTGTCCAAAGCTTATGCACTAAAAACTTCATATAAATTTAGTGTGTACTATTTTAAAAATACATTTTATCATCTCACGATTTTTCGCACACACACCTGTGCGATTTGACGTGAAATTGGACACAACGGAGCAAATTTGCATCCTATTTTGTATAAAAACTTCGTCTGTTTACAATGTATTCGTACAAGACTAGCCCGAGTCAGTTTTTCAAGTTTTGGTTCACGTACCTGGGTGCCAACCACCACTATTTTCGGCAACTCAATTGGCTCATATCGAAGCGTCGAGAACAAGTCCTGGATCTTGTTGAGCTTATCAAGCAAGCTCTTCATCGCCATGTTCGGTAGGATTCTGGAAAAAAAGATTCAAAGTATGAAAAGACATTAGTAAAGTCAAAAAAATCAAAGACACACGACCCCATCCAATCTTGACCAGAGAAGAGGAAGTCGATGCCCCGCGCCAAATGGCTGGTGTTTTGCAGACTAGTAGAACTTTGAACGGTGATTCTAATGTTGTAATGTGGTTAAAAAGTTAATGGCCAATTTGGAGAAATTAACTGTCAAAATCGCTGTTCCATGGCAAAACTCGACTCGTCAAGCTAAAAGGGAGTGGGGGGAAGAGCCGAGCCGAACCCGACCAATAGCAGAGCTCCTTTTCGCTTCTGCAGAAATTTACGGTACCTTTCAAATGCGAAGCGTCTCGCACTCTTAAAAGCCTACGAAGATTTTGCTTCATAACTACGAAGAAAATGAAGGCATTGTAGAATCGCTTCGTATTATGAAGAAATTCTTCGTATTGCGAAGGATTTTCCTTCATAATACGAAGCATTTCTTCGTAGATTTTACAATGCCTTCATTTTCTTCGTCTTACGAAGCGATTCTTCGTAGAGTTTTTACTGTGCGAGCGTGGCGCTGCTTGATTTCATCAACTTACCGGGGCTCGAGTACTGCGAGACGTGGACACTAGTCTGCGAAGGAGAGAGCGGGGCGATGGGCGAAGCACACGTCTGTCGCTCCGAGCAGCCAAGATCACACTGTGTGCGGATGTGGAGCCGAGCCTGAGCCGACGACGCCTCGACGCGAGCGCTGCAGACGTCGCGTCGCCGCCGCCGGCTGGTGTCGGCTTGCCAGCTGAGCATGCACGAGGGGAATACCTCGCACGGACTGGGCGTGCTGATTGTGCCCCGTCCGCGAGCGGGGAATAACTGCCCACATACATTGTACAAAATTTGAACACATTTCCACATTCTGCAGGCGAAAACGCCTGTAGGTAGGCAACAGGAGTGACAAATATAGCAGAAATCTTGCACCACATTCGTTGTATACACTCAATCTTACAGTGGGTCACCACGCGGCTCCGTCCGCAGCTCCACAGCCAACCTTTGCATGCGAACTTTTTATTTTCAAGGCAGCCTGTTAGATGATGGACGTATAAGGACTTTCAATGTTGCAAATTTGGGGGGGGGGGAGACTCACGGGAGCTCCCTCGAGCCTCTTCCCTCTTGGGTTCAAAGGAGCAGGAGGGGCAAGGCGCACAGATGGCAAGTTTCAAATCGCGGGTGCGCCGACACAGTTCAGCCAACCTGATGAGAGTGGGGACTGGAAATGTCCCCCCCCCCTCCTACCCGTCATTTTCCCCACCGCCCGCCTCCTCGAAACTCACATGCGCGCACACATGAACACACACACACGCACACACACACACACCAACACACACACACACACAAAATGTGGCGCTCTATCGTCACGTTGGCCACCGGCTGGGCTGAGTCACTCAGAGACTGGCAGTATTCCCCGCACGCCGTGAAGCAATCGCAAAAAGGAGGCAATAGAGCATCCTAGTCGTCGCCGATCGAAAAACAAGAGGAAGAACAAAATCGGAACTGGCACCACCAACATAACCTCGCAGACTTCTACGAGTGGATAAGGTTTAGAGTTTTCCAAAGCGCAGGGCTATCTCCTCCAAAAGCACTTTTGTCTGTTTCAAATACTTTTTGGCAAAGGAATCAAAAACATTTGTCTACATTTCTCACTTTATCCTGGATCACTACGTATTCCCTTTCTTCCCGACTTTGGTTTTGATATTCCTCTTGCTCTTCGATCGGCGACTAGAATGGCCTTTACAGAAACTAAAATGTGCGCTAAAACCCATCAAGCGGCAAAATTTTCCGAAAAAAAAAAAGAAACAACGAAATATTTTGGAGTTTTAGGAATCACAGACCGTGAAATCGAAACTCTCAAATGCTAGGCCTTTAGGGCACTTGCAGCCCCCCCCCCCCCCCCAAGTTGATCCTTCCTAACCTTCCGAGAAGGATTTTCCCGCTTTCTCACGGCGCTTGCAGGCCGCTCCGAGCACCCGTGCAGCGACAAACAGGCGGTGTGTTTTGTGTTTTCCAGTTTCCGCGAATGTGTTCCCGGCAGCGGCAGTGCTCGGCCTGGCAGCCAGCCCGGGAAGATGCCGCACAGTGGGCTAGAAGACCGGCGGAGGCGGCCAAAACTCTAGGCGCGTTTTGAGCTCCAGAGTCGCTAAACAGGGCTCGTACCAAACGTGTGACCCCACCAATAGGTTCCTCGTGCGGAGAGCTATCCATTGGTGGGGTCACACGTCCGATTCGACTCCCGTTTGGCGACTCTGGAGCTCAAAACGCATGCGGGATTTTGACCGCCTCCACCGGTCTTTTGGCCCACTGTGCGCCGCGACCCCACGCGACATTCGTTGGCTTACCTACCAGTGCCCTCGTGGCTGGGAAGGGAGCGGGGCGGGAATACTACTGATCCACGCGCTTTGTGACACTGTACGCGGGGAGGGATTGTCAATGTTCCGCGCATGCTTTCGCGCGCGAGGGGGTGCCTCGAGGGGGTAGACACTCTTGTAATATCCTGTACACAAAAACCGTGTATTACGCGTCCCACAACGTAATACCAGTTTTGGGCCAAGGCCAAATGTGCCAAATTTGGGCATTTTAAGGGGTGCCATTGTTTACGCCAACTGTACACGGGGAGGAGTTGTCAGTGGTGTCCCGCGCGCACTGCGCTGCCCGCAGACTCACTATCCGCCTCAGTAGCGAGCCCCCTAAGTCAGCGGTTCTCAACCTTGTGGTCGAGAAAAAAAATTGTTGGGTCCCGGCCTCTTTCCGGCAGAGCACTGCCGAGAACACATTCGCGGAAACTAGAAAACCCACCGCTTGTTTGTCGCTGCACGGCCTGCAAGCGCCGGGAGAATGCGGGAAAATCCTTCTCGGAAGGCCGGAGCTGTCTGGCGGTGAGGACGCCTCGACATAGCGCTACTCCCGCTTATCTCCAAGTTTCGGGTTACGGCGCTCGTCTGTCTGGTGACCGTGACCGGACGCACCGTCGAGGTGTCCCGCCCTCGGCTCATACTTGATGGTAGTTGAATAAGGTACTTCGACGCTACTTGACCGGAACCCCAAGCAGTAGAAAGTAGAAACATCTGGATCCGGTATGAGAACACTGAGAAAGAATGTCACCGCATCGCCCTTTAAATGGGTGATGCAACTTCTTTGCCCGGTTTTGGGTGACAAAAAATTTATCACCCTATATTTGGTAACAGGCGGTAGGTCAGGGGTGTGCAACTCAGGCGCCCCGGGCGCTGCCCCGGGCGCCGAAGTCGCCCGGCGGGCAGACGCTCGAGCCGCGCGGGTGCTGCCGAGCCAAGGCTTGAGCCGGGGCCGGCCCGGGCTGTCTGGTCTACGACTGGCGGCAGTGCGGCTGGGCGACCGACGCTGAGGTGTGAACTCGATTGGACGAAGCGAGCACATCGGCCGTCTCTCTCACTCTCAGGGCGGCATATGGGAAAAAGGACGGATGCGGCTGAGCGGCGCGCTGGTTTGGCTGGGATCGAACCGCTCGCTGAGCGCAGCGAGCCAGCCAGCTAGCGCTGTGCGAGCTCGGCTACGCAGGCGGCCAGCCCACAGCCAACAGCCGAGTGCCCGCGCCTGGTGCCCCGGCGCCCGCAAGGCGCCCGTCGCCCGCCAGAGGCGAGTTGCACACCCCTGCGGTAGGTCGCCCAAATTCGGGTAACGTCGTCGGCGACGCCGTGAGGTCCCCGATGACGTCCTTCCGGGGCCACCACGATGACCGGAGGCCTCAACGCCACATGGCGGTCTTCGGGGACCTCACGGCGTCGCCGACGACGTTACCCAAATTTGGGCGACAATTTTATGACTGCCCACAATTTGGTCACCGCTGGCTCGTCACCCAAATATGAGCGACGATGCGTGCGTCACCCAATAAAAGAGCGAGGGTGGTGACTCTTGCAATCTCAGTGAAATCAGGAGTGCGCAGGTCATTCGCACAACCGATTTTGCATACTCTCAGGCTTCTGGAGACCAGATTTCCCATACCGGATCCAGATATTTCTACTGCTTGGGGTTCCGGTCTAGTTTCGTCGGAAATACCCTATTAAGTTGCTTTTAGTTTTCAGAGCAGCAGAACCAGTGCCAAGCGGTTTGGACTTATTCTAACTTGTTGGTAACAGCAACTGTGTGGACATCATTGAACAAAAACAATTTTCAAGCGCCATTGTATCAGGCCATTGAGAAAGCTGTCTTCATTTCCGGATTTACTCATGCGAGTCACAACCCAGCAACGAAATAATAGCGATAGGGATTCAAAGTGCATGTGAAGTGGTTTTCATAGTGGGACATGAAGTCATGCAAGCTCAACTCGAGAAAACATTTCAGTACACATAATACTTAAGTACGAAAATTTATTTGATAAAAACGATAAAAAAAACATATGTGGCCTACTTATAGGTACAAATTCATGAGACACAACAGTAAACAATGTAAAGGACAAAATCGATTGTAATGGAGGAGCATCTCATTATTACGTGAAGCTAACGCAAACACGCAGCACGAAAATGAAATGAAGATCAATTGTTAATAAACAAAAACATAACAGGACAAACGGAAGGCCTTTAAAGAAATAAAAGTTACAAAAAGGAACATTTTTTTCCCTTCGGCGAGAAGAACCAATTGAGACCAGGTAGTATCCTGTTACGTAAAAAGCGATATTGTACACTCACTCCAAAAAATAATACATAACATTAAAACTCACAAAAGCTAGATAGCATCCTTGACGATGATGCAGCATTGTTTTAACGGTACACATCATGCATATGTAAAGAAATGATTATAACAATATGAATCGTTTATCAGGGGCTATACATTAAAAAACCGAAAACAAATCCCCTCGTCTTAAACAGCAAACTTAAACCTAGGTCGAAGATCGAAGAGATCATAGAATACAACAAGCAAAGAAAACATTCAATAGTGATGAAATAGTGACCACCCTTTAATCTTCTAATTCAATGATGACTTCCAGTGCCTTCTCCAGAACCTGAGGGAAACAAATTGGAAAATAAGAATAAATGCTACATTCAACAAATGTGACGACACATTTTTTAGTAAGTGAGTTTTGTCCCGCTAGTTGGAATATGATATCACATTCGTTTGAATGTTGATCGACGTTGAAACGTATGTGACTTGCTAATTAAACGCCCTGTCACGTTCTCATTCGAATGTGACATCGTATTCAAACGAACGAGACGAAAGTCACATGACGTCACGTTTGTTGAATAACAGTGTAAAACACTTCACTCTTAAAGTCTACCTTTGGCTGCATAACATAACTTACATCACGTCTCTTGAATGTTGTTTGACGAATATGAGCAATATCCGCCTTTTCCTCAAACAGATTCTTGTACACTTCCTGGAGCTCAGACGTGAGATGCACGGCCAGCGAGTCCCGCACTGCCTGCACCAGGAAGGTCACGACCACCTTCGCAGTGAAGTCCTGCGTTGTCTCCGCCACGAGTTTGTAGTATAGGTCGAGCATCTTACCTAAAACAATAAACGAAGATCTCAAGTGGCATATTTGTTCTCGTGATCGACGGGAGAAGGCGGTTACGCCTACGATTGTCCTGGACACATTCATTTACACTGCAAATCCCTGGTGTGGGACAGGCACGAGGGGGTAACCACTTCAAGAAATCGTGTAGAAACAATCCGCTATTACGCGGTATTACGGTAAATTACGGGGATATTACACGTTTATTACGGCCTTAAAATGCCAAAATTTGGCATATTTGACCCAAAAATGGTATAACGTTCCCGAGTATTACGCACAATACACGGTCTTTATTTACAGGGTATTAAGCGAGTGTTTACCCCCTCGGACAGGCGTGCTCTAATTAACGTAGGACAAACTGTCCCACGCTTGTAAACGTGGAACTCGGTTTGTCCCACGCTTTACATGCCTGTCCAACAGCTGGATTTGAGGTGCACAACACATGCCTAGGATCATTTGAAAGCAAATAAAAACACAATTTAAAAAATAAAAACGGTCGAAATATGAGTGAATTTCAAAACAAGAGCATCTATGTTTTAGGGTAGAAGCACTTCAAACTACGAAAATCGTTTTCTCAACTCTAGACGGCTTTTCGCCATTTCTTGGAGAGAGAGAGAGAGAGAGAGAGAGAGAGAGAGAGAGAGAGAGAGAGAGAGAGAGAGAGAGAGAGAGAGAGCGCTTCAAATGACAATCAAGGTAACTTTTAAAGAAACGAAAGTCGCAAGAAACGGCTCGATCCACATTAACTTTGCATCTCAATGTGTCATAATAACTCACCCAACATGATGACATGCACTCTGTCTTTATTAGACATCGTCAACAACTCCAAACGGGACACAACATCCGCCTTGTCATTCCCTTCCGCCCTCATTAATTCCTTATTGAGTTCTGTCTCAATTTTTTCACCCTTACGGAAAGGCACAACACAAAAAGGTATAACTGCATTTTCCATAGTCAGAAGTTTTTTCAATTCATTGGCATCAATGCGGTCGTACGTTATGTGACCCATCTCGGCAGTCACGAGGTCTTGAACCTGGCAAATAGGAAACATTGAAATAAATTACTTAACCTCGTAAGCGTTCACTGTGCGTTGTACTTAAGTTTTGGTAGGACACCGGAGTATTTCGTTGCATGCCTACCAGGCAGGCACTCCTTTGCTGCATGGCTTGCATGACTAATGTATGCCGGCAAGGCATGCAGCAAACTACAGTACACACATTCTGGAAACTTAAGTGTGTACATAGTACACTTTCATTTACAGTATTTACACATTCTTATTTACAGCAATCATCCAAGCACACGCTAGAGTAGAGTGTGTCTGGCATGTACACGCTAAATAAGCGTTACGACTGGTGTCACAAAATAAGCGAAATTTTTTAAGCTTTCGTTTGAGAGTAAGAAGAGCCCTGAAGGACAACTCCTTCAATACGAAACATGTCAAAAACTGCAAGAAAAAGCGCAAGAAAAAGAGCCCTGCTAACAGCAAACTCATCAGAAACTGAAATTTCGACCCTTTTTCTTGCAGTTTTTGACTTGCCCTCATGAAAATTTATGCAACTGGGTACACGTTCGTGGGAGTGAACTCGAGAGCACACGATAAAGCCTAAAAGAGAATGTACTTGTAAGTACACGCTAGAGAGAGTGAACTCATGAGTACACTGTTGACTTTTCAGAGTGCGTTTGCAGAGTATAGAAAAAATGTTGAAGCTCACCATCTGAATGGCCTTCTCGGCCCTCTCGTTGATCATTCCATGCACGACTTTGACGACCGCTTGCCTCAGGGGCGGAAATCGTTTCAGCTGCGCCGGAATGCTGAGTTGACACATGATGCTCATTTCTCTTTGCACGGCCTCCACACAATCCAGGGCAGGCTTCTCCATATTTTTGATCAGCGGTTTGATCAGTTTCTCAAATGCCAACTGGGAAACGAACAGGGGTGGCGTCAGGACATTGGACTGACGGATGGCCACAATAACTTCATCAGTCGTGTACGATTTGCAAGGTTCCCTGCTGGCTAAGATTTTCTCCAGTCTGCTGTGGAGAATGTCGCACAGCTTAGCACCTCCGGTTCTGCAAAGGAATCGTCATAAGTGTCAGAGGAACAACCTTCAAAGCTCACGGGTTCCAGGCAATTCACCAAGCAGTCATATTTGCACTTACAGCTTAATTGATTGTAGATCTGGGGATCCTTTGTCACAAAGTGATCGGAACTGTTCACTGAAGCCATTGATAATGCTCATCAGAGCTGACTTCTTGTCAGTAACAAAGTCACCACACGTCTCGAGAGTTTTAGTACACTCGGCAATTTCTTGAAGAATTTTTTTCTGAAACCAGAGAGCACAGAAGTATTAAGTAAATACTGAGGAAAATCTGTCGCGTCGGGTACCGATCCCTAAAATTGCGTGATAAAGCAGAAATTTCTTAATATTTTCCAACTTTTGCGGGCTCAAAAAGAGGGATACAGTAACGCCTAAATCCTGGTCATTAAGACTAATACAAGGAATGCGTAAGCAATGTCCTATGTCCCATCACCTCTCTTAATCGGACAACTCGAACTCTTACCTGCACATCAGGAAGGCATGAATTGATGTGGTCGGAAAGCAGCACACTTAACTTCACCGCGAGGTACTGACAACCATGAAGAGAAGCTATTTCTTTGTAGTGTTCTTCAAAGTACCTTTTTTCCATTCTAACAGCATTCTCTACACTCTGTAGCAACGAGAAAGAATCATAATCAATCAGAATTATTTTCTCCCTTGAGTGATGCAATTTACGGCATGTTGACAAGCATGCATGTGCTGGTCTGAAAATCGGCCATTGAGAAAGAATATACAGATGAGTTGTCACAAGCATGCAGCTGTAAACGGCAGACTTAAGCTCGTATCTACAGACGCATGCTTGCCAAGCTCACATCTGAAGACGAGTTCTTATCTAAGTTTTCACCCCTACACAGCTGTAAATGCATTCTGGCCAAGCGTTCACTTCTACGGATCTATGCTTGAAGTATGTGCGTACAGGTGTTTACTGAGAACACACTGCAGTTTGCAGACTGGCTGCAAAGGCAGGTGATACTGAAAATCTTGCTGTGTTTAAACTGAGTCCCTTTATCAGCTCTTTCTACGCCACTCTTTGTTACAAAAAAGAAGTGAAAAATGCCCAGACCATACGTTAAGGTTGATATTTGCTTGGTACAAGTACTGTTAAAATATAATGCTAAAATTGGTACTTCTTTAAGAAGATTCAGAGGCAGGTAAGACTCTAGATTTCCTGTTCTGCTGTATCAACATTCCCCATCTAATTTTTAAGATTGGGACTCTACTCGCTTACAGGTTTGCTTTTAGTTAGAATGTTCCTAATGCGACAAAGTATCTTGCTGAATGAAATTAAAATAAATAATGATTACCTTGTTTTCATCGATGTCCTTTTGGGACCTGTTGACCACACCAACAATTCCACGTTTTACAGGGATGACCTTACCGTTCAGGACATCCCTAGCGTCCGTGCCTTCAATCAAAAGGCGTTAGTTCGATCAAAAAGAAAATTTCTACACTGCAAATCAAAGTGTGAGACAGTCTCACACGATTTAGTGCGAACCATAATGTCTCACGTTTACATGTGTTAGCCACGTTTGTCCCACGCTAGCGTGTGAGACAGCGTTTGTCTCACCTTTACAAGTTTAGTTTGAGACACGATCTGTCCTACTTGCTGCTTATGGTTCCCTGGCTGTGGTTCATCGCCACAAGACCCACGCTTGCAAGTGTGAGACAAACCGTGTCTCGCACGTTTAAAAGTGTAAGGCATCTGTGTCTCTCACTTACAAGCGTGAGACACATTGTGGTTCACACTAAATAGCGTGGGACTATCTCACACTTGGACTTGCAGTGTAAGGCCTCAAATTTTGTGTCAAGTAATCTCACAGAAACATGAACAAATGTACACTCTCATCCTTGTATTGACTTATCCTCTCTTACTTTTTAAGTATTTTAAATATACTTCTTTCTATTTACCTTTTCACAGTTTTCAGCGTTTTAAAGATTGGATTTTTAATATGCCACGTACATATAAGAACTACACACCATTATTGACAGAAAGTCAAGTTAAAAGGATTAAATCCTTTATAAGACGAACAAAGCTAACGAGAAAATAGTACATTTGGAGACTGCTAAATTACTTTATAAACAAGAGAGAGAAAAAAAACAATAAATTGACAAAAATGTCACTGGGGCTGAGAGTGTACCGAGATTACCTTTGTCCATGAGGTCGATTTTGGTGACTACGGCCAGCGTACGTTCTCCCTCCGGATCGACACGTTTGGCCAGCTTGAGGCTGTCGTTGGTCACCATATCTGTATTGGCAGTCACCACCGCCAAGATGATGGTCAAAGGGCTTTCGATGTACTGTAAAATCAGCCCTTCTATCTGCTCTTCGATGTCCCGAGGCTGATCACCCGTAGGCACCTTCCAGAAAGAGACAGAAACGGACTTAAAAGGTAAACAGCACTACTTTTCAGCAAGCTGCGAAATTGGGAAGCAAGGGATTGCTGATGTTTGACAACCACCCACGAAAAAACGCATCGTTCTGAAGGATGCATGCGTACCTTCGTCATGCCTGGTAGGTCCACCAGAGTAAGGTTCACCACGTTGGGTGAGAACACCTTCAGGGTGATGGGAGTTGAGACGATGCCTTTGTTCGATCCCGCCAAGCGATTTGTCTCAGCCTCAATTTCCTCGCAAATTTCCTCCAGTTCAAAAATACGATCTCCGGAGTGAAGGAACGTTCCCCATTCCTCATAGTGATAGATACCTGCAACACACCGTCCCCGTGTGAACCACCAAATGAAGAAAGCGTCCCTCGTCAAATCATCACGGCGTGCAAAGGGAACGCTCTCAGAACCTGCCCAACACACTAACACACTCTCAGCTATACGTATCTCATTAGCAGACGCATTTCTGTAAGCTACCATAATACTTAGTATTTTTTCTCAGTATTACTTAGCAATTGCTAATTACCCTACTAATATATCGTCTTCTCCGTGAATTTAAATTATTTTTTTTAGGTATTTGAGAACGGAATACGAAGTATTATGGTTAAAGTTGCTTACTGAAATGCGTCTGCTAATGAGAAAAAGTCAGTAAAAGGCTCAGAGTGTACTTTTATTCTGGCCCAGCCTTCCACCCAAAGAACACTGGATTGAGTTTCTTTAATAATTATTGAAAAGTTGTGGCTTTATACTCTTAATCAACTCAAACTTTCATTTAAAAAAAGTTTTAAGCTGCGATGCAGTAAGACTAACATAGAAAAACAATAGAAGTACGATTATGAAATCCCCATCCACCAAAATAGAAAAAAAAAGTTTGGTCAAAAAAGATTTGTTTTTTTTTGTTTATTTTTTGGAACTCAACATGAAATGGCTCTTTTACTGCAACAAGAAATTAGGTATAGCAACCTAGAAACACCAGGAAGGTTGAGGAATGTGTAAGAGGAACGCTCACAGTTCTCGTAAAAACCGATCAACTCGGTTAAAATTCGTATTATTTGAAATTTAGCCAAAACGGAGTGAAATCGACAACGGCTACATGCGACCACTGTTATTCAGCCTTGTACTGTTATTCAACGAATGTGATGTGAGAATTGGAATTGTGTCACGTTCGTTTCAATATGACGTCACATTAGTTTCAATGCTGATCCACGTTCAAACTTATGTGACACCCCAATCAATGGATGATCAAACGTTTGTGACATTGTATTCAAACGAACGTGACGTCACATTCTGCGAAAAACAGTGTGGTTCCTAGAGAACTGACCCTCACGCCGTGTGTGGCCCACGGGGATGTGGTTTAGCTGGAGCACCAGAGGGCAGCGAGTGACGAGGCCGCAGCCACGCGGCAGAAATGACTTGCCCACCAAAGACTCAAGCACCGAACTTTTGCCTGCACTCTGCAACAGAAACGGCACGTTATAATTGTATGTCCCTTAGGGTGGCCCACTTTTTTTTAAAGTTTCAAAAATTGAGGAGCGCCGTTCAGATTCTGAAAGTAGGTGTAAAATCATGAATTTTTATATAAATATGATTAGATTTGGACCATGTTTAGGGGTCCATCAACGCACCTGAACTTCAAAGAAAAATTGAAAATGGACTGGTTTACTAAAATCGATGCTGTTTCGAGAGCCTTTGACCGATTTTCGATTGCAAAACGGCGATCTTTTCGGAAAAGTGCGTTTCACTCGATGATGTACATTACATGACGATCAAACGCATTGCCTATTTTCCAGGGGCGTACAATCTCGTTTTTAGCCCCTAAATCCAACATGTTCTTGCGTTTCGAAGGTGTTTCAGTCGTCCGATCGTATTGCTTGGGGCACCATTCGACGCGCCTGATCAAAACCTTTCAAAAAATGTCTCGGGCGTCAAAATCGGTTAGGTTGCCTACCGTACAGGAGCAAAAAACACTGAAATTTGCCGGAAAAGTGCACTTTTGTGTTACAAAATATCTGGTTTGGCTTCTGGTCGGATTTTTTGTGGTGCCATTTGACGCACCTGGTCAAAAACTTTCGATAACCGTCGCAGACGTCCAAAATCCGGTGGGTTGCCGACCCTACAAGCAAAAAATGTCGAATGTCAAAAATTCGTCTGGAGGATAGGCAACCCACCGGATTTGGACGTCTGCGACGGTTTTCGAAAGTTTTTGACCAGTCGCGTCTAATGGCACCACAAATAATCTGACCAGATGCTAAACCAGATATTTTGTATCACAAAAGTGCACTTTACCGGCAAATTTCAGTGGTTTTTTGCTCCTGTACAGTAGGCAACCTAACCGATTTTGACGCCCGAGACATTTTTTGAAAGGTTTTGATCAGGCGCGTCGAATGGTGCCCCAAGCAATACGATCGGACGACTGAAACACCTTCGAAACGCAAGAACATGTTGGATTTAGGGGCTAAAAACGAGATTGTACGCCCCTGGAAAATAGGCAATGCGTTTGATCGTCATGTAATGTACCTCATCGAGTGAAACGCACTTTTATGAAAAGATCGCCGTTTGCAATCGAAAATCGGTCAAAGACTCTCGAAACAGCATCGATTTTAGTGAACCAATCCATTTTCAATTTTTCTTTAAAGTTCAGGTGCGTTGATGGACCCCTAAACACACTGTGGGAAAAAATCACAGTAAATCCTGTAGTGATTAGTACAGCTGACACTGAAGTTCAGGGTACAGGATTTACTGTACTTTTTTAACAGGATCTACTGTACTTTGTACGGGATTTACTGTACCACAGGAGTGGAGTACGGAATATCCTGTTCCAGGTACAGAAGATACTGTAGCCAGGCACGGTAAATCCTGTGTTCTGAACTACAGTAAATCCCGGCAAAAAAATTAACGGGATTCACTGTGGTTTTTTCGCACAGTGCATGGTCCAAATCTAATCATATTTATATCAAAATTCATGATTTTACACCTACTTTCAGAATCTGGACGGTGCTCCTCAAGTTTTGAAACTTAAAAAAAAAGTGGGCCCCCCTAATGTCCCTCATCTCAACTTTTCTTCTGTCCGGAGTGAGCGAAAGCACCCTGTACAGTATTACTCGCTATATTTTCTTAACGGCTTCACTGAGAATGGAAGAGTCACCACCATCGCCCTTTCATTGGGTAACGCACGCACCGTTGCCCAAGTTTGGGTGACGAGCCCGCGGTGACCAAATTTTGGGCAGTCATAAAACCGTCGCCCAAATTTGGGTAACGCCGTCGACGACGCCGTGAGGTCCCCGATGACGCTCTTCCGGGGCCACCACGATGACCCAATGGGGCGTTGAGGCCTCCGGTCATCGTGGTGGCCCCGGAAGGACGTCATCGGGAACCTCACGGCGTCGCCGACGGCGTTACCCAAATTTGGGCGACCAAACGCCTGTTACCAAAATTCGGGTGATGAATTTTTCGTCACCAAAATTTGGGCAACGAAGTTGCATCACCCATTTAAAGGGTGATGGTGGTGACCAATTCATTCTCAGTGTTGTGATGCGATCTCGCTCTTTTAAGGGACTAAGAACGAAATAGAATACCATACTTTGGGCAAGCAAGGTAAAGGACTGAAGGTAGTTTGGGCTTTGGACCTTTCCTCACCCAAACTTGGGCGTGAGAAGGTAAAGCTGCTGCTGCCCGCATATAGCTAGGCAGTATTATCAGCCAAATTTGGGTAAGCTCCAAGAAAACCTATCGCCCAAATTTTGGTAAATGATTTTATAAATTAAGGCCTCACCCAAAACTTGAGTCCTGGTCGATTATGACCCTTTAATTCTCCGTCTCAGTGAGCATTAAACAATAGCACTCACCTGGTTGCCGACGACGACGATTTTCGGCAATTCGATCGGATCATTATTTCCCAGCGTGGAAAATAAATCCTGTATTTTGTTCAGCTTGGGCAGCAAGTCTCTTCTCATCGCCATGTTTGGCCTGGATAATCACAAGGTCACAAGTTCACTAAAAGTCCAGGAATGTCATCAAGAACCTATAAAGCCCCAATCCGACTGACTCACTCACTCACTCACTCACTGACTCACTCACTCATAGAAATGTTTGGGGTGAAGGAGTGGTCGTAGAGACTTGCGGTTTTTTCCATTCGATTCCAAATTTTATGGTTAGATTGGGAAAAATCCCAAAAGTTGAAAATTCCTCACCGTTTCCGAGTAAACCTACTTTATCTTCAAAAAAGGGGAACAAATTTCTCACAGTTTCCGAGCAAACCTACTCAATCTTCAAAAAAGGGGACCGACCGACTAAAAATTTTTATTTGCCCCATCGGTAGGTCTGGTCGAGACATTTCCGAAACTGTGCCGCAATCGGGTCCCCGTCACCGGCAACATCCTCAAAAACGATAAAATAGGCCTAATTTCAACAAAACCTACTCAATCTTCAAAAAAGGGGACCGACCGACTGAAAATTTTTATTCGCCCCATCGGTAGGTCTGGTCGAGACATTTCTGAAACTGTGCCGCAATCGGGTCCCCGTCACCGGCAACATCCTCAAAAACGATAAAATAGGCCAAAATTCAACAAAATCCACTCAATCTTCATAAAAGGGGACCGACCGACTGAAAATTTTTATTCGCCCTATTGGTAGGTCTGGTCGAAACATTTCCGAAAGTGTGCCGCAATCGGGTCCCCGTCACCGGCAACATCCTGAAAACGATAAAATAGGCCTAAATTCAACAAAATCCACTCAATCTTCATAAAAGGGGACCGACCGACTGAAAATTTTTATTCGCCCTATTGGTAGGTCTGGTCGAAACATTTCCGAAAGTGTGCCGCAATCGGGTCCCCGTCACCGGCAACATCCTGAAAACGATAAAATAGGCCTAAATTCAACAAAATCCACTCAATCTTCATAAAAGGGGACCGACCGACTGAAAATTTTTATTCGCCCTATTGGTAGGTCTGGTCGAAACATTTCCGAAAGTGTGCCGCAATCGGGTCCCCGTCACCGGCAACATCCTGAAAACGATAAAATAGGCCTAAATTCAACAAAATCCACTCAATCTTCAAAAAAGGGGACCGACCGACTAAAAATTTTTATTCGCCCCATCGGTAGGTCTTGTCGAGACATTTCCGAAACTATGCCACAATCGGGTCCCCGTCACCGGCAACATCCTCAAAACGATAAAATAGGCCTAAATTCAACAAAATCCACTCAATCTTCAAAAAAAGGGGACCGACCGACTAAAAATTTTTATTCGCCCCATCGGTAGGCCTGGTCGAGACATTTCCGAAACTATGCCACAATCGGGTCCCCGTCACCGGCAACATTCTCAAAACGATTAAAAAGGCCTTAAATTAACAAAATCCACTCAATCTTTAAAAAAGGGGACCGACGGACTGAATTTTTATTCGCTCTATCGGCAGGTCTGGTCGAGACATTTCCGAAACTGTGCCGCAATCGGGTCCCGTCACCGGCAATCCGACTGACACTGACTGACTCACTCATAGAAATGTTTGGGGTCAAGGGGTGGTCGTAGAGACTTTCGGTTTTTTCCATTCACCTCTATCCTTGTCAAAGCAGTCTTCAATATTTTCCGGACCTTGTGTGCACCCATTGACTGCCACAGTAGCCAATGCAATAAAAGCTATCTATTTGGGCAGTAAAAGTAGCTTAATTATATGGTCAAAAGTTGTTAAATAGACCTTTCAAAGAAGCAGTACATTTACTTCCTTGGAAAATTTGCCTTTGGTCACCTTGGACGTACTGAAAATACTTCGGCACGCGCCCCACACATGCGGGGGTCTGGGGGCGGAGCCCCCAGCGAGCAGCGCGAGTTAAACCCTAAAAGCAGAGTGGTAGCGGAGACCGTTATCTTTGTTTCTTTTCTTTCGTAAAATAACTCACTCACCCTCGCTCGGGGGCGGGGGGATTTGATTCGATAGGCTGCGTCGCATCCAAATTTCGATAGTCTGTCTACACTCAGAAAAAGGACCCATTTCGCTTCGCCTTCTTACAGGCAGATTACGCGACGAAGTGCCATCACTCAAAAGCAGGAAGCCCCCCTCCCTCTTAAAACCTTACGAAGTATTTTGAGCATACGTTTAACAAACTAAAATACTTTGTTATACGAAGAAATAGTTCGTAAATTACGAAGTATTTTCTTTGTAAGCTTACGTATGCTCAAAATACTTTGTTATACAAACTACTTTCCTTTATAAGGCCCAAAATAGTTTGTAAGGTTTTCTCACACTGTCAGAAAACTCCGTAAAAATACGAAAATTAAACGGAGATCTCCGTTTTTTTGAATTATGGATTTTCTTCGTAAAAGTATGGAAGTTACGTATATAAATGAAATAGAAGCCATACTTATCAAAAAGAACAGACTAATTCACGTTATCGATGGGTTGGGTGACCTAGGTGTTCCAAGAGTACGCCTTCCCTAAAGCGACCTCGCCTTTGGGTTTGTGTCCATTCATCCGATCCTAATGGCATGTGGTCAAGTGGATCTTCAAACAGTTTTGGAGAATATCACTTTCGTCTAAAAGGACACTGTTTGCATTAATACCGAAGGGAAGTAAACCGTTAAAATGCGTTTATTTCTGCAAAAATGCGGTACATCTCCGTAAAAATACGGAAAATCTCCGTAAAAATATGGAAAATTTACGGAGCCTCCATTCCCAAAATTAGAGTAACTTTCTCCGTAAATTTACGGACTTTTTTTCTGATAGTGCAGTGCCCCCCTTTTGCCGTGAATGGCTGGTGAATGGTTGTGTTCAGAGGAGCCCAAGAACGCGGTTCTCGTTCAAATCTGATTACGCATTAAAAACAAGGGGCCTGCCACTTGCACTCGTTGTCCACGTACAGCCTACACTGAATTCAGCCAAGCTTTTGGCCTACTTGCAGGCGTTCGTGCCTACACACACGCGTTTTTCAGCTAAAATCTAAGTGAGTTGTAGCGAGTCAAGGGGCCTGCCACTTCTTGCACTCAATGAGCGCGTCCAGCCTATACACTCACGCGCACCTACTTAGATTTTAGCTGAAAACGCCCGTATGTAGTCAATTTGTGAGACAAACGCCTGCGAGATGGTGAAAATGATGGCTGAATTGAGTACACAACACGCACACTCAATAGCCATTGGCAGACCCCCCGATAACAACCGCCTGGAAGTAGGCAACGTATGTGGCAAATGCAGCCGAAATCTTGCACTTTTGAGCACATTCTGCGGGTTCGCAAAATTTTAGTCGGTCGCCTTTGCGTGCCAGCCCGTCAAAAACCGACGGAGAACCGAACTCACTCCCGTATCCAAATCGCAGCCTTTGCAGACGTGAATACCCCGGCGGGGAATACCCACCTCCATGGGTGCTTTCCGCCGTAAACCAATATAGCGCCCTCCTTTTTCAGAGTCTGAATACGAGCCTGAGCGTTCCTGAATCCAATTTTCTCCCCCCACGGAAACGCATTTGACGTCTGTTTGATATCCATTCATTACTCACACTTTGCAATCGTAGCACTCCGACTACCCACGGCACGGACGCTGATCTTTCCTCTTCACGAGCAGCCGCGCGTCGCAGTGCGTCTTGACCGTGTCGAGGGACCCGGCGGACTGACTGGACTGACTGACCCAGACCCCTTCCCCTCCTCCCGGCCAGACGGTGCCCACAGCCCCAACGCAGTCCGCACACCGGACGCTGCGGGAATGCGCGGCGTCAGCTCCCTGGGCTGATAAAGGCAGCCCGGCGCCTCGCGTCGGCGGCTTGCCGAGCGAGCAGGCAGCAAAGCTAGCAGCAGCCACCGCGGGATGCAGCGCAGATGAAACCAGGAAAATGCGTCTTCGGCAGCGTGAAAACCCGTACGAAAATGGTAACTCCATTCTCTGTCCCTAGATTCGTTTCACTAAGGGAAAGAAAAGGTTTCCTTACAACGCAGTACAAATGAGAATGTAAGTTTTCTATGCGATACAAGAGAAAAAATCAACATTTTGATTTTAGCCGGGCATGATACTTTGTCATTCTTAGTCTTTTTAGATGGGTAATATGGCCACAAAACATCAGGATGATCAGAGGGCAATGTGGCGAGAGGCCATATGCAGTAAGTACACGCTTAGTGAAAGAAACGACAAAAGTTTATTTCAGTTAACCTAAATGAAACAGTTTCGGCTTGCTGAGAACACGTCAGTCAAACACGATACTAAGGAACGAACTGTTCTCACGTCAAGCCTATTGAGTGAAAATGTTAGTATTATTAAAAGATAGGTAAAAAGACGTTAATACAAAACCAGTAAAAATATATGAATTGAACACTCTTCATCTTGATCAAGTCTTGGCCCAGATACACATATTGTAAAAAACCACAGGAATATTGAACTTCCATAAAATTATATCCTGAAGAAACTAGCTGATCCTTCCTTAATTCCTTCAAGTAAACTACGAATCATGATACCCTCCACACATGCAAAGATCAACCCCAACATGTAAGCACACAGAGTCAAACACGATACTATAGAACGAAATGTTCTCCCGTCAAGCTTATTTTCTAAAAATATTAGTATTATTCAAAGATAAGTAAAATGACATAAGAACAAAACACGTAAACATATATGAATTGAACACTCTTCATCTTAATTAAGACTTGGCCCAGATACACATATTGTAAAAAAACGTAAAAATATCGTACCTCCATAAAATTAAATCCTGACGAAACTAAATAACCCTTTTTAGTTCCCTCAGCTAGCATAATAACCACCCACTAAGCATATGATACCCTCAACACATGCAAAGATCAACCATAACATTTAAGTTCTCAGAATAAAATGAAGATTAAATAAAATAAATTTGAAGAAAAATTAACAAAGGCAGCATCAGTTTTTCGGTTTTCCATGTGCGTACGACCCATTTTGATCTGACATCAAGACGCACGAACGGTGTCCTTGGCTAACCTTTCCATTAAAAAGAAAAATCTGTTACATGAGTGAAGCTGCCTCATTAAAATAGCACACAATATTCGAAGTCACAAGAATCCTTTCACCCCACATGAATGACTTAATTTTGAAAATGGTTATTCATTGGGATGAGAGTGCAGCACACCTAGCAAAAGGAACAGTTCTTGTAGCTTAACTTCTTGCAATTAATCTTCGAGGTCTGTGATGACTCGTAGAGCCTCCGACAGCGCCTGAAAGAGAACAAAAAATTTAACGTGTGTGAGCTCCTCCCATGATGGTGGCTTCTGGCATGCTCTACACTCCAAATGTGGCATAGCCCTGAAGCTAGGGGCCTTTCTTGCCAACTCCTCTGTTGAGGGTGCCAAATGTAACTCAGTTTCTAGGTACTAGGGCGGGCCGAGTGGTTTTTGGACAACCTTTGTCGGAAACCCTGCTTTTCGCACTTTTTCAAGAAAACTCAAAAAGTCAAAATTTGAATCTTTAACGTTGATGCGCGAGGGTCAAACTTTAAGTTACAGACCAGGGGCAGCACAGTGGGTCAGAAGATCGGTGAGGCGGCCAAAACTCTAGACGCGTTTTGAGCTCCAGAGTCGCTTAATGAGGCTCGAACCAAGCGTGTGACCCCATCAATGGATTGCTCTCCGAACGAGGAATTCATTGGTGGGGTCACACGTCCGGTTTGAGTCTCATTTAGCGACTCTGGAGCTCAAAACGCGTCTAGAGTTTTGGCCGCCTCACCGGTCTTCTGGCCCACTGTGCGCAGGTCGCGTTGAGTCTGTGATGCCATCAAGTATTACGCTATTATACGTTTGCAATATTGAAAATTTGCGTTTGACGGCCCACCCTACCGGGACACTTAACTCTGAAAACCTCCCAAACTGTTTTAGACATTGCAAACAAAAGCAGCTTGTTATAAGAAAGTATTTGGAGCATATATTAGCTTTCAATAAAAATAATTATCGTAATTTACGAACCATCTTTTCGTATGAAAAAGTTTATTAGTTTGCACTGAGTGTGCTCAAAATACTTCGTACGGTTTTGAGTGTGTTGGCGACACACCTGCTCAGTAACGGGGCGACATTTGACGCACCGAACAGAGGAACACGCGATAGAGGCGCCCGGTTTCAGGCATGCCAACTTTGGAGCGGGCATCTATCGTATGTCGTCATTAAATGCCATTCGGTGCGGAAACTACAACATTACTTACCATTTCTCTCTTGCAGGTTTCTCGACGCTTGCGATCTATTTCTGGGTTTTCCTCAAACAAACGATCCAAATCTCCTTGCAGATCAGAAAAAAGCCCCAAGGGCAGCGAGTCCCGCACCTTCGTCACGAGGAAATTGACTACAGCTTTAGCCGAGCAGTCTTGCAAAGTTTGTGCGACTAATCGGTGGTAATGGTCAATCATACTACCTGAAATCGGAAAAAGATAGTCGTCATCACTTCAGGAAAATACTTAGAAATGCATGCAAACTCTGCCAAATCACTTCCGTTCTGGAAGAGCATTGGAATACCCTATTTCGTGCATAAGCGCGCAGAAAAACCTACGTAGTGATTTAATATGTTATATTGGATCCTAACTATTTGACATTGAATGGACAAGATTAGACAACAAACCGAAGGGTTGATTCGGTTTTCAAACAGTTAGCACTGGCTTACATAACTTACCTAGAATGTTGATCTGCTTTTTGTCCTTACTGGACATTGTCAATAGGTCAACCTGAGAGGCAATTTCGGCTCGTTTATCTTTATGTTTCTCCTCTTTGAATTGCCTCACAAGCTGTAGCTTCATAGCACCACCCTCATTGAAATGCGTAGTGTGATCAATACTATCATCTTCGTCACTCTCACATTCTCCCTCTTCAGACTCACCATTTGCCAAGATATCATTCATTACCACACCAGATATTCGATGATAAGTTATGTGGCTGCATTCTGACGCCACAAACTCTTCCACCTAAAAAAAAGAAGCATACTTAAGAAAAAAACTTACACGCACGCGTGCGCGCGCGCACACACACACACACACACACACACACACACACAAAGAATTAGGGGCACAGCTTAGACGCAATAAGGACGTTCCATCCAAAATGCACGGTAAAAACTGTTCCTGGTTTTTCCAGGAACTCCCTGGAAATCGCCTATGCCTTCACCATTAGCCTCCTGGGAAAACCAGGTTCCGTGTTTACCGTGTGGCGAACTTCGAACAACGTTTCCGGGAGTGCACGATGGGAATTCTTGTGAATTTTTCAGGATTTGATGCTGGATGGAACTATCAATCCCTAAAGCAGCGCATACTTGAAAAAAATTTTGGGGTCGTATTGCTTGCTCTGCTAACTGAAGTGTGTACTCAGTACCTACAGATGCATACTTAGCTGAGTACACATCTACAGATGCATACTTGGCTGAGTACACATCTGCAGATGCATACTTGGAGAGGTTAGGTATGCATCTGTAGGTGTGTACTCAGCCAAGTATGCATCTGTAGGAGTGTACTCAGCTGAGTATGCATTTGTAGATGTGTACTCAGCTAAGTATGCATTTGTAGATGTGTACTCAGCTAAGTATGCATCTGTATGTGTTAACTTGTAAGAATGCACCTGTAGATGCATACTGAGTACACACTTCAGTTTGTAGAGTGGTGTAGAACACTCAGTATGAACGCGACTTTATTTTCGCGCAGTTTCATACCAAATTCGTGAATTTAAAACGCATGCAGTCGTAATTCACCCGCAACGGAGCTGGCCGGAACCTCCGCCTAGCGGAATGTACCTCATGCTTTCTACGACTAAATATTAAATATTTTTAAATGGTTTGGACATATTTAGAAAGAAGACACTGTACAATATACTCAAAATTCGAGAAAATTTCAATTTTCCGACCAAGGCTTGAAAAGGAACAGCTTCACCGAGCGCAGGGAGACGGCAATGGTTCCAGGGACGACGCAGCGGGGGAGCATATTGAATTTTAGATAGAAGCTTCCGGATGCCGCAATGACCAGACATGGTTTGTCTTCCACGTATATCAAAGTTCACTACGTTTCCCATCATTTTTGAGCAAAGCTCATGCGCATGAAACCACATATTAATTTGGTTAAGATAGAGAATGGAACGGAAACAAATGGAAGGGAAGAATAAAGATGAGATATGGGGCCGGATAACTGTTTTGAGCGGCCTTTTTGAGCGTAAAGTGAGTGAGCTTTGCCAGAACCTCGGTGTCGCAACAAGGATACAACTTCAGAAAGTGTTGCTTGGACTTACCATCATCTTGACCTTTTCAACCCATTTTTCAATAGTTTCCTTCATTGCTCGGGTTATATCTTGTTTAAGGCGTGGGAAACGATGAGCTTGCGCCGGGATGCATGACTGACACATGTTCATCAATTCCTCTTGAACGGCTTCCACAGACGCCACGGTCGGCCCTTTCATAGTCTTTATCAGAGGTTTCATCAGTTTCTCAAATGCTAACTGAGAAACCAAAAATGGTGGCTTTAAAACATTAGACTGCCGCATGGCAACCAAAACTTCATCCGTGGTGTAAGATTTGCAAGGGGCAGCCATTGTTAAGGCCTTTTCTAGTTTACCGTGCAGAATGTCGCACAGTTTGGCACCACCAACCCTGTGAGGAAATCGTCAGATTCGGTATGATTGTAGTTAATGCTTTCATTACGCAACGTGGTGCGTTAACAGCGTGGTCTTTGAGCTTTAAAATGTAACATAAACACCCCTTTCCATTCCAACTTGAGTGCCAGTAAAACAAGAGCAGTTTTCTACATATCAACTTAGCTTTTTAGATTGTTCTGAACGAAAACGGGTTTTTCTCGTGAAAATGTCATCCCCCCAGGATGAAATGAGATAGTAAACAGATGCATGATAACACATCTCAATCCGGTCGACATGGCCTTCGTGCATAAAGAGTCTAAAATTTCATTGCATACAGAATTTCTTAAGTTTCAATTTCCAAGTAAGTCTAGGCTTTAAATCTGAACCACTCCCATTGCAGTGCATGGATAGTTTGTGTATCAAATATACCGTAAAACATTCCAATTTTAAAGCTACAGGACTTATCCGGAAAGTGGTCAAGTCAGTATAAAAAAGTGGAAATTCCGCTGAGCGTGCGTCGTACTTACAATTCCAAGGATTGATAGTCTGCAGATCCCTCATCACACAGACTTTGGAACTGTTTACTGAAGTCCGTCACGATGCTCATCAAAGCAGATTTCTTGTCATGCAGGAATTCACCACATTCTTCCAGAATCTTAGTACAGTTTGTTATCCCTTCTCGTAGTTTATTCTGAAAGAAACCACATTTGTATCATGAAACGGGGATTTGGTCCCTTATTTGTTTGATTTGGGAGTGAGAAAGAAATCGAACTCTTACCTGGACATCAGGAATGCATCGATTGATGTGATTCGAAAGCAGTTCTTCAAGCCGAGCAGCCAGATGCGCAGAACCAGCTCTGGCAGCAATATCCCTGTAATGTTCTTCAAAGAATTGACTTTCCTTACGACGCATTTCTCTCAAACTCTGAAACAATAAGACTCATTCAAAAACTGAACTATTCCGTGAAGGATAGGACACAATGAAGCATGATTACCATTTTGGAGTTTAAATCATGTTGGGATCTGTTTACCACACCAATGATTCCTAGTTTGACTGGAATGACCATGCCTGCTAATATGTCTGCGGCATTGGTACCTTTAAACAGATATTGTCTAGATTTAAAGGCATGCACTGGTGAAACAAAGGCATAAAAATTATGCCCTTTAAGGGCGTAAACGATTTACGCCCTTAAAGGGCATAAATCGTTAATGCCTTTGGGAAGGGCATTAAAATTTTGCTTGAAATTCCTATACCATTTACGCCCTTCCCAAGGGCATTAAACGATTTATGCCCTTGCAAGGGCGTAAAAGAGTATTTATGCCCTAAAGGGCGTAATTTTTATGCCTTTGTTTTACCAGTGTGTTCAGAATGGGAGGAACCTTTCTTCCAGGTTACAAGGAGTGACTTGAGGTTGTTTCGGCATAACAGCCCTATAGGCCTGCATTGAATTGTTCGTACGCCACACCTGTTCAAAGTTACCCAAACCATGAGATAACTTAGGACAGGAGTAGTGTAACTCGACTTCCATGCAGGTCGATGGCGCAGCCTCACCGAAATTACCACAGGTCGTTCAAGTTACTTAAGTGAGTCAAAAATTCCCGCTAATATGAGGTGTGAATTTCTTGTCATGCCGGTTTAAGGGATGGCTTTTCTCATGAAAAGCATAGTAATACACGCCAAATGACGGCGTGACTCAAATAACGTGCAGTTTTTCAGCGAGATTTCTTGTCATGCCACTTTCTGGTGTGACTTTTTGTCACGCCGGTCATGTGTCCGACCATTAAGGGGAGGTTCTACTGAAAATCTTACTTTCTTCAAAGTGAGTCCCACTATCAAAATTCATTGTAAATTTGAAGTATTTCATTGTAAGTTGTAAAATTTGAAGTTAGGAGAGCAATACTTAGCCCCAAATCCAGTCGAAGAGGAATTTTCTGCTATTTCTTGTCGTAACTTCAAAAATTCTCCTCGCAAAGTATTTCAACGTAAACTGATGTTCTGGGCATTTTTCACTTCTTTGGTTCATACTTGATAAACCGTGGCATTAGTAAGATGCTGGGACCACTACAAAATCATAGGCTGTGTTTTGATGATCGCATGTCACTAATATTGCAAGACAATGGTAAAAATCTTGATATTTTAAAGTTTGTTTTTTTCTGAAAAGCAATGCCAAAATAAATTTGCTGGGTCCCATGTCTCGGTGATGCCACGCTTTCTTGCATATGAGCCTAAGAAGTGAAAAATGTCCAGAACATCAGTTTACGTTGAAAAACTTTGCGTAGGAGAATTTGAGATACTGCTAAAATAGGTTGAAAAAACCTCTCCGACTGGATTTTGAGGAAGGTATTGGGCTCTAAATTTCATGTTTGACTGCTAACTATGTAGTACTTGACATCTGCAACAAATGTTTACACTAGGGCTCAATTTGAAAAATGCAATATTTTCAGTAGAACCTCTCCTTAAGTTTTCAGTGGTAATAATTTAGAGTGGTCTCTACGAGGATGCAACCTTCCAAAGGCATGAAAGGAAGTACTTTGCACCTTTTACTTGACGACACTGTTATTGAACGAATGACGTCACATTCGTTAGAATGTGAATTTTGTCACATCCATTTGAATGTTGATCCACGCTTAAACGAATGTGACACACTGAAAAAAAAGTCTAGTAACGATAACCAGAATCCTGGTACCAAATACCAGACTGTCTGATAGAATATAACTCAACTAGAATTCTGGTAAAAAGTACTAAACTGTCTAGTTGGCCTCAGTCTAGTAAACCGTACCAGATTTATAGTTATCCTCACAATGCCGCCAGGTCCCCTTCTGGTAGTTTTTACCAAACATCCTGGTTAGTTAATGTGCTTACAAAACTGAAATAAGAAGTCCAAAATTTAATAAAATATTTTTTCGTAGTGATGAAACCTGATGTGACGTCGATTTCGTTAACGAACAACCTCTGAATTGTTTTTTTCCCTCCTCCTCTCCGGATTCGAACCGGGATCTCACACTTGTGAGACGGGCACGTTACCACTGCGCCACCACGTCGCCTGTGGGTCGAGGGGATCCCCACCAGGTGACTCTCTACGTGTCTGGCTCAGGGAAATACTCCCAGTGTTTCTTTCGGATTTAAGACTCCGAAAATAACGAAACCGGTTGCAGTTTACTTTTTGACACCCGAACATTTCAATTAAAACGAATATTTCGAAGTTTTACGTATGGTGCCAATTACGGAACAGTCTGGTAAAATTTACCAGGATTATTAACCAGACACCTGGTAAATGTCACAACACCCGATCTGGTTACTGCAACTGATCATCTGGTGAGAGTTACTAGGATTCTCGTATGAGTAACTAGTACTCGTTTAACTAGGATTGGTCTGGTACTTTTAACCAGACTTTTTTCTCAGTGCACCCGCATCAGACGGCCGCATAATGGCCGTGTCACGTTCAAACGAACGTGACAAAATTCACATTCTAACGAATGTGACGTCACATTCGTTGAATAACAGTGCACATGAGGTACGACTTAGCAAGCATATGATATTCCCGAGTAGATTCCGTCGGCATACAAACACGACGTGCGGCTTACCTCGATCCATGAGATCTATTTTCGTTACGACGGCAATCGTACGCTCCCCTGTCGGATCCACCCGTTTGGCGAGTTTCAGACTTTCACTCGTTGCCATATCTGCAGTGGCCGTCATTACCGCCAAGATGATGGTAGAAGCAGGTGCGATGTAATCCATGATCAGCTCTTCGACCTGTTCCTCTATGTTCTCAGGCTGGTCACCGACAGCGACCTGAAAGAAGCGACGTGGTAGAACGATCAGAGACAATGAGGCTGAGGGCAGTTATTGAGAAGAAAGTAATATGAGGCACAGCAGATGATCCCCGTCCCGTTCGCGACCCAACGGCTTGAGACTGGACCAGCGATGAGAGATTATTTCAGATAGAAAGAGGCACTACCGCGTAAGGCCGATGTCGCCCGCTCCCTGGTAGAAGGCACGATGTCCCGCGCTGCCTGGTAGAAAGACCGATGTCAAGCGCTGTCTAAAACGGCCATCGTTTGACAAGTTATATCTCCTAAACCGTTAGAGTTAGGTCGGTACTGTAAGCGAGCCGATTTTAGTTCCAACTTAGATCTACAATCGGCTCGCTTACAGTACCGACCTACACTGAAAAAAAAGTCTAGTAACGATAACCAGAATCCTGGTACCAAATACCAGACTGTCTGATAGAATATAACTCAACTAAATTCTGGTAAAAAATACTAAACTGTCTAGTTGGCCTCAGTCTAGAAAAACCGTACCAGTTTTTATAGTTATCCTCACAATGCCGCCAGGCCCCCTTCTGGTAGTTTTTCCCAAAACATCCTGGTTATTAATGTGCTTACAAAACTGAAGTAAGAAGTCCAAAATTTAATAAAATATTTTTTCGTAGTGGGGGCAAACCAGGGCCAATCAGCAGAGCCCAAAATGGACCATCGACGATTTGGCCCATTTTTGGCTCAAATGTTACCTACCCATAGGAAAACATCGGGGTAAATTTCAGCCACCTAGGTGTCGTTTCATAGGAGTTATGGGCAATCTTAGTTTTTGATTTTTTTTCTTAAGGGGTTTTTTGACCAAATTGCTACATTTTCCAAAATCCCTCTCAAGTCTCATTTTTAAACCCCTATTTGGTGAAAACTCTCATTTAAACGTAAAATTGCATGGGGAATTCGATTTCAGGGCCCAAACGGAGCCCTGGGCAGTCTATCATAGAAAAAAACGCCAATTTTGACGAAAAATCATTTTTTTTTAAGGGTTTTTTACGTCGGTGCGTTTTAAAGCTACCCCCGAATCCAAACTTGGTCCACTCTATGGGGAAATCGTACCTCATACCACCACCTAAAATAGCACGGCTCGACATTTGGGTGGTATGGGTATGGTTTGGGCGCTGCAGCCTTGGGAACTTTTAAATTATGAAAAACTAGCAAATTCCCCCTTACGTCGAGGTCAACCCTCATGCATTGGCTGTTTCGGGTTCGACTGAGGCCCCGCGGTAAGATTTAAGTTAGAAAGGTCCTTCTTACCCCTCACTACCATCACTGACCCTCTGAGAAGCGCACTGAGGTCATTTTTGGGTCCATGGCTGCAGCCAAAATGACAGAATTGACGAAACGCTTGAAGGGTAGGCAAATTATCCTACGCGCCATGCGGGGGCCTGTTCTGGTCTAATAAAACATGTAGTCTAACATCTGCTTCTTTTATTTTGAAGAGGGTAATGATCACAATTTTGACAAATTTGGCAGTTAGAAAAAATACTAAGCTAGGAAAAAAACTTGGCTCTTATACATTGAACTAATATCGTAAATTGCTGATCATTACACTAAACTAAGAACACAACTTTGCTTAACCCAGGGGAAAACTAGTCCAGACGACCACCCGGGAACACCGTTTCCGGCAAATCCGATTTTCCGATTTCGCCTCACAGAATTATCACGATCATGAGACACGTTTTTTGGAACCGCCTCTACGAAAGACGCAAGTTACTTTCGAACGGACCTCGTTCGATGAATTTGGTACGGGAACATGATTCCCGGACGGTCGTCAGAGACATGTCCAGTCCGGCAACACCGTTCCCGTACTAAAAGCGGCCCAGCAAGCTAAATGAGGGTATTTTCGGAATCAGCGCATCGAGCCCGGCCATTCGCACACTTTTCGACTTGGTTTGAGCTGTTACAACCAACTCGATTTTGACACGGCCCGATTCTGCTGCACGTCAAGAAGGCCGTGTGGAAATCGGATTGGTTGAAAACAGCTAAAAACAGGTCAAAAAGTGTGCGAATGGCCGGGGGTCCCTCCGCTGATTCCGAAAATACCCTCATTTAGCTTGCGGGGGCCGCTTTTACGTACGGGTGTTCCCGAACTGGACATGCCCCAGAGGACCGTCCGGGTACACGGTTCCCGGACTCAAAAAGGGCCATACAAGCTTCAAAATGAGACTTTTTGCGTTTTCTTCCTTTTTTTTCGGAAAATAAAATGATTTTGGTACTCATTTTGACTGAGAACCGTGTTTCCGTACTGCGTTCCCGCATCTTATGTCGTTCGGCGTCCACACGGGAACCCCCTACCCCCGTGAATGGGCATGGCCCTCGCGACCGTCGTCCGGGCACGGGGTTCCCAGATTTTTCTTCGGCTGGTTGGTTTTGTTATTGCATGATTCGTGCTTATATCAAGTCGCGAGGTCTGAGAGATGCATGGTTTTTGGGCCGGCCCCGAGCGGAAGTTTGCCCAAAAAGAGTCCGGTCGTGAACGTGTTAAGCAAAGTTTTTGTTTTTAGTTTAGTGTAATGATCAACAATTTACGAATTAGTTCAATGTATAATGAGCCAAGTTTTGTTCCTAGCTTAGTATTTTATCTAACTGCCAAATTTGTCAAAATTGTGATCATTACCCCCTTCAAAATAAAAGAAGCAGATGTTAGACTACATGTTTTATTAGACCAGAACAGCCCCCCCCGCATGGCGCGTAGGATAATTTTTCCTACCCTTCAAGCGTTTCGTCAATTCTGTCATTTTGGCTGCAGCCATGGACCCAAAAGTGACCTCAGTGCGCTTCTCAGAGGGTCAGTGATGGTAGTGAGGGGTAAGAAGGGCCCTTTTTAACTTAAATATTACCGCGGGGCCTCAGTCGAACCCGAAACAGCCAATGCATGAGGGTTGACCTCGACGTAAGGGGGGAAATTTTCTAGTTTTTCATAATTTAAAAATTCCCAAGGCTGCAGCGCCCAAACCATACCCATACCACCCAAATGTCGAGCCGTGCTATTTTAGGTGGTGGTATGAGGTACGATTTCCCGCATAGAGTGGACCAAGTTTGGATTCGGGGGTAGCTTTAAAACGCACCGACGTAAAACCTTAAAAAAAGTGATTTTCGTCAAAATTGGCGTTTTTCTCTATGATAGACTGCCCAGGGCTCCGTTTTGGGGCCCCGAAAACGAATTCCTCATGCAATTTTACGTTGGGAAAGAGAGTTTTCAGCCAACTAGGGGTAAAACTGTAGACTTGAGAGGGATTTTTTGGGAAAAAGTAGCAATTTGGTCAAAAACCACTTAAGAAAAAAAATCAAAAAATAAGATTGCCCATAACTCCTATGAAAAGACACCTAGGTGGCTGAAATTTTACCCCGATGTTTACCTATGGGTAGGTAACATTTGAGCCAAAAATGGGCCAAATCGTCGATGGTCCATTTTGGGCTCTGCTGATTGGCCCTGGTTTGCCCCAGTGATGAAACCTGATGTGACGTCGATTTCGCTAACGAACAACCTCTGAATTGTTTTTTTCCCTCCTCCTCTCCTCCAGATTCGAACCGGGATCTCACACTTGTGAGACGGGCACGTTACCACTGCGCCACCACGTCGCCTGTGGGTGCAGGGGATCCCCACCAGGTGACTCTCTACGTGTCTGGCTCAGGGAAATACTCCCAGTGTTTCTTTCGGATTTAAGACTCCGAAAATAACGAAACCAGTTGCAGTTTACTTTTTGACACCCGAACATTTCAATTGAAACGAATATTTCGAAGTTTTACGTATGGTGCCAATTACGGAACAGTCTGGTAAAATTTACCAGGATTATTAACCAGACACCTGGTAAATGTCACAACACCCGATCTGGTTACTGCACCTGATCATCTGGTGAGAGTTACTAGGATTCTCGTATGAGTAACTAGTACTCGTTTAACTAGGATTGGTCCGGTACTTTTAACCAGACTTTTTTCTCAGTGTAACTCTAACGGTTTAGGAGATATAACTTGTCAAACGATGGCCGTTTCAGACAGCGCTTGACATCGGTCTTTCTACCAGGCAGCGCGGGACATCGTGCCTCCTACCAGGGAGCGCGCGACATCGGCCTTTGTTCCTAGGAGCCATCGGTACGCTCTGAGAGATATGGAGGTGTTGGTCGTAGTTCTAATGCCATTTGTAAAGGGTATTCCGAAAGAGGGTTTCCACCGTTCCCAGGGATACTACCGTGGCTCTATCCCAAGAAACGGTATCCACTGTACCTTGCAAACAAGTCAGTCAGTGCATTCACTTTCAATTGTGAAAAAGGCAAAATTTCACAATTGAGACAGAAATTTCAAAAACGTAAATGAATGTATGTCACCACCGCGAACAAAATGTGTTAAGCAGGTTGAAGGTTCATGATGCAGAAACCTTATTTCTGAATACAATTGAAAAGGGGTTATCGGAACAAAAAACAAAGAAGAAGGTTCAATCTTCAGCATCACATTATGTAGCGATTATTAGAGGTTAAAAATACACAAAACTGTTCACTAACTAAAAACAATATCCTGTCTTACAACTGTAGTGCCTTTAACGGCAAGTTCAAAAACAGTTTTGCCCAAATATTATATTTATTGATAGAACAACTTAAAGCGTTAGATTTAAATTGATAAGCAAACCGCCACAAGTTACGGATTTTGATACTTCTAACATGGAAATGAACACTAGCAAACGGAACTTCCGAATTGAAACAAAGGAACAAAATTATTTACAGCTCAGTTACCAGTCAAAGAGGTCAAAAGTTCGTGTGGATGATCTTCCGGTAAATCGTTTTTCCTCTAGAAGGGTCACTGCGGGGAAGAACTTGACAGGTGAAGAACTGAACACCCTAACTCAAATACCGCAAGCACAGGCATGACAATCGTCCAAAGTTGTTCCGTGGCATCAGCGGTTCAATTGAACTACTTTAAAGTATGATAGTAAGTAAGTCTGAGCATGCGGTATGTGAAGTAAAATATGGTGTACAGTTCTTCTCCTGTCCAGTTTTTCCCCGCACTGTCCCTACTTTAGGACCAAATTTGAGGGTAATGGCTACCACTTCCTAGAGTGCGAGGAGATGCATACCTTGGTTAGGCCCGGCAGATCGACGAGCGTCAGATTCACCACTTCGGGCGAGTAAACTTTCAGGGTGATCGGTGTCGATATTATGTTTTGGTTGTTGCCGGCCAAACGGATAGTCTCCGCCATTATTTCATTTTGAATCTCCTCATCGCCGAAATACATACGATCTGGGTCGTGCAGAAACTTTGCCCACTCGTCGTGGTCATAGGGGTTGCCTGAAACACAAATTTACCGCATAATACACCAAAAGAGAAACATTGCGATTATGCAGGAACCAAGTGGCACGTGAATCGGCTGTTGAGAAGGGACTTTGTTCACTTGTAACGACGCTCCAATGACGAATGACTGCTACAAGAGCATTCCAATCAAATGCCAGCAACAAGAGGCTTGTACGATCTGATACTTAAGCAACACTGAGAATGAAAGAGTCATGATCATGACTAAAATTTTGGGTGAGGAATTCTTTATTACCCAAATTTGGGTGAGGAAATTTTCCTCGCCCAAATTTGGGTGAGGAAATTTTCCTCGCCCAAATTTGGGTGAGGAAACTTTCCTCACCCAAATTTGGGTCATAATACTATGGTGCTATATAGGGAGCTGATACACACTTTCTCACCCAAATTTGGGCGAGAAAGCTTTCCTCGCCCAAATTGGGCGAGGAAACATTCCTCGCCCAAATTTGGGTGAGAAAGTAAACCTCGCCCAAAATTGGATATTGATCATGACTTTTTCATTCTCAGTGAATAACCACACTAAATGTTTACAAAGAACTTTACACGTCGTATGACGCACGATTTTAGACCTGCGTGACGTTTTGCATAAAATTGTGCAGAGATTCGCATAAATTTATGCATTTTCACGCACAATATTACGCAAATTCCCCGCATGCACAAAATCGTGCAAGTGGCACGTGCAAAATGCTACATAAACATTTAGTGTGAATATTAGTGGATGTGCGGGTTAAATAATGAATAGTACATAAATGTTTGACGCCTCCTACGAAAGTCTTAACTGCCAGAGTAGATCAAAACCATCCAAACTGGACATGACGTGAAAAGCGGTCTTTTCTCAAAGATCGTGACGCCCACATACTACATAAACTTTTCTGAACAGTTGTTAAAAAATTTCATCCTTACATTAATACGTAGACATTGCATTTCAGAGGTATGGCAGTGCACTGATATGCACTGACGATAATTCATGATCAGTCTGCAGTAGGCAGATTCCAGACCTCATGGGCAAGTCATTTGCCAACACCTCATGGATTAGGACCAAACTTGGTATACCTATAGCTTTTGAGTCAAAAAAATTTTTGGTAAAACAAATTTCTTTTTTCAGAATTTTCTTGTTGTTAAAAATAAAAAAAAATATTTCTAAAAATTTGACGTCATTACCAAAAGTGCTCAAAATTTCACCAAAGACTTATCGTTATGTTCTCTTTTCACCTGCCAAGTGCCAATGCGGTTAACTAAATACTTTGGGAGATATTAAAGTTTCCAAAAGAGACCAACCCATTAATGATTGTCACCTAGATTTGCTTCGATTCGAGTCAGCAGTCATATTTCGACGAATGTAAAGCTTCGTCTTGAAAAATTTAGAACCAGACTTGCTAGTTATACTGAGAATGATGCAATTTAAGGCCACATAAGGAATATTCCGTGATATTTAATCTTAACTATGATAAATAATTCAATTTTTAAAATTCAATAAAAACAATTGAATTACTAGACATAGAAAAAACTAAATATCACTGAATATTCCTCATGTGGCCTTAAATTGCATCATTCTCATGACGTCCGTGAGTTTGACGCAGCTTAAGCTTTAGTTGAGTTGAGATAACTTACTGCCACGGGGCACGTGGTGCAGCTGAAGTATCAGAGGGCAGCGAGTAACGAGCCCGGATCCTCGTGGCAGGCAAGACCGGCCCACCAACGACTCCAGCACTGACGACTTGCCAGCGCTCTGAAATACAATGACAAGTTATGACTAGTACACGTCACTGTCAAGCTACACGGTAGGTGTACGCCAGACCGTGTCTTGCCGTAACAGGCTTCGCACTGCTACGCCAGTTTCAACAATCCACGCCTGGCGTATTCACCTGCCTTTGGCCTGCGGCGCTAGCCTGCCTTCGGCAGACTGCTTTCCTTGACAAACCGTAGAATAGAGTAGTTGAGCTAACGCCGGACAAGAAGAAAGGAAGAACAATGCTTCAAGAACATGGCCGCCAGGGGCTTTGTCGGCTGCTAGGACCTATCAGGAGCCTTCGGCGGCCATGTTCTTGAAGCATTTCTTCCTTTCTTCTTCTTGTCCGGCGTTAGCTCAACTACTCTAATGGGTTTGATTTCCACAAAAAATAGCCCGTGGTGATCAAAATCTACACTAATGATGGGACTTAACTGTGGGTCGGGGTCAGAATGGATTCTATTTTCGTCAACAGCACCCTCAAGAGCGTAGGAAAAAACGATATGAAACTTAACAAAAAGTCAATTCAGCTCTCTGAAAGTGCTTGTTACCATAAAGGGGTTACCTCACCAGATATACATTCCCACCAGATATAATCCCGCCAGATATAAATCTCACCAGATATACATCTAGTAATTTTATTTTTATAAACGCATATTCACACGAAATATAAATCCCACCAGATATACAGATATTTATATTTTAAAATTAACCGTCTCACCAGATATAATTCCCACTAAATATAATTCCCACAAAATATAATTCTCACCAGGTATAACAATAAAAACATATCATATGCAATGCAGGTTAACATGTTTGCAGAACTGCAGTTTATATATGTATGGAACGGGTATCTGAAGTGCTCTACTCTGCAAAGTCAACTCTGTCTTGATTGAACGCACTTGTACACTCTCTTTAGCGTGTACCCAAGAGAACAGTCCCACAAGCGTGTTCTCAGCTTCATTCGTTTTAAGGGAACTACGTTAAGTGTTTACTGACCTGAGCACACTCGTTGGATTATACTAATCTGAGCACACTCTCATTGGAGTGTATTTAGCGAAGCTCGTTAGAGTGTACTTGTGAGTACAGGTCAAATAGCGTGTACTGAGCACACTGTCGAGTATGCAGTGTAGTTGCGTTGCGTCGCAAGAGCAGGGACAGCTGCATATATATTTATTTAAAAAAAATAATTACTGTATATCTGGTGGGATTTATATCTCGTGCGAATATGCGTTTAAACAAATAAAATTAATTACTGTATATCTGGTGAGATTTATATCTCGTGAGATTTATATGTGGTGGGATTATAATTGGTGAGATTATATCTGGTGAGAATGTATATCTGCTGATACCATCTCACCATAAACATTAAAATTAATGACAATATTTATTTCTTCTAAAAGAACGTACTGGTATTCCTTCGAAAGACAGCGAGAAAATCAACTTAAAACGGATTCTTCGGTAAGTTAAATCTTGAAGCAACAAGTAACCTCTGATAATTCACGGGGGGAAACAATTTTTTTAATAAAACGGAGCTTTACGGAACATGGGGACAAATAGCATGCTGTCAAACCCTTGTACAGACATTCTAAGAAATTCTAATAAATGCTAGGCTGTACACCCTACAAAGACGGATACTCATTGAAAAGTACTTATTGTGTAGGTCCACATATTCGGTATTTTAGAACACATCTCAAGTTCTATGGAGCGGAATAATGACGCACAAAATTACGATGTAGCTTTTAATGCATGAGCTTTGAACGAAACTGAGCACAAGTATCAAAATGCACGAATTTCATGCGCAACAATGCACACATTTTCGTGCGCAGTTGCGCACAGATTCGTGCATTTTGAAATGCATGCACATATTCTTGCCAAGCTTCAGAAAAAACAACCACATAACAATTTAATGTGAAGTAAACACCTATCAGACCAGATGAAATTATTTTAGTTACATACCTGCGAGCCCACGACTACAATCCTGGGAAGCTCTATCGGATCATATTGTAGTTTAGAGAAAGTATCTTGAATGACATTCAATTTCGACAGCAAATTCTTCATCGCCATGATTGAAGTTCAACTGGAAACATAACAGTGAATAAATCAGATTATCACCTGTTTTACGACGAATGTGACGTCACGTCCCATCTGACCCAGCCCCAATGCTGGGGGCTACTGCACGGCAAGAAAGAGTGTGAATAGTACAACAAAAGTACAACAAAAACTGTACATTAAAAGTACAACAAAAACTGTACATTAGAAGTGCAACAGGGATTGTATAAAGTACAACGAGAATTACACAAACTACTAGGCCTGGACTGCCCAGCACTCGTCACAATTGTTGAACTTTAAAAGTACGATAAATTCCTGATAAAAAAAATTGCCAGTAATTTGTGTACTTTAGTTGTCTTTTTCTTCTTGCAGTGAGGTTGTAAAATTCATGTTAGGGCCGAAACAGCCTTCTGGAGAGGCTAAGTAAATTGGGACGATGGACGGGGCCTGTGCGCTAGCGCAGTTAAGGTTATTAATTGCTGCTTCGAAGTTAAATAGGATAATTCATCAATAACAAGGCTATGTATGTGAACTTGAAAAAAAAAGGGTGACCCAGAATAGGATCAGCAGCTAAAATGATTGCAAATAACTTTGACTTAATTTAAATAGTAATCCAACAAGGCCTGACTTGACATACGAAATCGTCAAGACGAGAAAACCCAAATTCGAATATCAGGGATGAAATGCATCGCCTGACGATCAGGTTGAGGGAAATTTCTACTACAGATAAGTTTCTTTCTTTCAGACGCGTTGACAGAGGTAACGGAATGCCATGTGAAGTTTCATAGATGAAGTAAGTGGAACTAGAAAGCGAAGGCTACGAAAGTACAAAGCACGAGCTGAGTAAATTTCATATGATAGTCGTTTAGACCGGCAGGTGATAGACACTTCTGGCGGGGCCTGAAGTGAAGAACAAGAAGAAGAACATAAGCCGGAAACAGTACAAGAAATCGGCCCTTTTCGGGGCTTTTGGCAGGTTTAGATCAAATTGTATTAAAAAATGAAGCTTCCTTGAACTTTTGGATTGAGAATAAACATTCGTCAGCAAGAAATAAGCGTAAGCGTAATTCGGCAACTGTTTCCGGCTTATGTTTATCTTCTTGTTCTTCACTCCAGGCCTTGCTAGAAGTGTCTACTGACGACTTTCGTTGAAATTGAGCATTCAGGTCGACCCCGACTGAAGAGCAAAACCGGAGGCTGGGAGGAAAGAGAGTAGGCAACGAACCCGATATACGCTTCCTAAATTGATATTTGAAGCAGGTTAAATTACACTCTAAAAAATATCAGTACAGAATTTTGTAACATGGTTACGCAGCTTTTTCAATAACATGTGTTACAGAAATTAGTATCACGATGGATACAGTTTTTTTTCTTTGTAACTTGGTTACAGAATTTCGTAACGGTTACAAAATTTGTAAACAGTCGTAATTCTTCCCAATCAAGCTTCAAAATGAGAATTTTGCTCGAACATAGCCTCCGTGGGTCTAATTGAAGATCCTTATGCCATTCTTCAAGTCACAACTTTCCCAGATGTACTCTGGGAAGTCGGGAATCGAACCCCAGACTCCGGGTTGGCGGCCCGCAACGCTACCAACTGCGCTGTGCGGACGCCATGGAGGGAGCGGCGCAGGTAGCCGGTGACGTGAGGCGCGCGCGGTAAGGGGACGGAGGCCTTGCCAGCCAAGCATACACGAGACTGAATCTCTTATTCAGAGTCGGGAAAAATAAAAGCACATGAAAACTCTAAGTTTAACTTGTCTCTATGGCCACTGCTGTTCAATTTTGCCGTTAAAACATTATCGTTTAATCTTTGGTACAGAGTTTAGTATCCAGTTACAATTTTCTGTATCAGTTATGTTACAAACATAATATTGTAACCTTCATGTAACAAATTTCTGTATCAAGCTCCAAAATGATTCATTTTTCTGTAACCGGCACATCTGTTACAAAATTCTATATCACCTTTACAAATATTTGTAACCAATGCTTGTAATACAAAATCCTGCATCAAAAATGATACAAAATTCAGTAACTTTTTTTAGAGTGTACTTTAAAGTGACGACTTGGGACGCTTCTAGACTAATGCACTCGAACAGGTTTGTAAGGATATGTTGCCTGCGCTCTTTCCGGTTTCAGCAATGCATGTCCCAAACGGGTGTGAGTGGGATCAAACCTATACCGGAAGTAGGAAGACCACAATCTACATCCTTAATCGCTCACGTTCTACCTCCACCAGCCGAGTTCAAATACAGAAATATTGATGACTGAAAGAGCTGAATGGCCTGTTCCTGCTTACTGCCCTATAAATTCCTTTTTCTTTAGAAGGTGCTCATAGCAGTGACTTCCGGCGCAGTGTGGCTGAGATGGAAAGAATGAACGCAGCAGTTTAGGTATTTCCCGATTACACCGATCGGCAGCTTACCCGGACAGTGAAAGCCGCTGAGTTCAGTTCCCAATCGCACCAAAACCTCTAAACCCTGCGGAACACTCTGGTTCACTTCTGATGAATTAACATACGGCAGAACCAGAGGTCAAAGCCAATAGCGCGAGGCATAACACAGCGCTGAAATGTTGCAGCGGAAGAGGACAGTCGAAGAGGAGCTTTGGAACTGTATATGAAGATGAGTTAGGTAAAGCAGTTCAAGGTTCTGATATCACCTTCTCGGTGGCCTTCCAGCCAGATGAATCAACAATTCACCGAGCACTTCTATGGTTGACGCCTGCACACTAGCAGAGCCCTACGAGAAGACTAGTGGAGAGTACGTTGTAGACCGGAAACCCTGATATAGTCCTAAACCACAATTAAGGTTGCGACAGCAATTCGTACACTTCAGCCTCCCTCATTCGTGAGGGAAAAGGAGCACACATCAGTAGCGATTATTGCCGTCAGTGTTCTGCTGCAGAAATTGGTTTCTGACTTCCGTCGCAGGTCAATTTTGGACTAAGGTACAATGGAGTATTGAAGTCATCGCCGATCGAAGAGAAAGAGGGTTCTTCTTTTTGTTCTTCGATCGACGACGACTAGAATGCTCAATTCAACATAATCATGGTTTACGTCTATTCTCCTTAAAGCAACGCGATACCTTCTGCAACACAAAATCATAAGCAGCAGAAGAACCTCAAGCAGGCAGCTAACCATACGATAATATGAAGGGCGCCCGAAAGATTACAGTGCAGCCGTACCGGAAATGGCCAGTAATCGCTAACCAGCATGAAGAGCGACCGATGTGAGAGGAGGCGAATGAGAATTCCAACCGGAAGTGTCAACTGAACAGAACTTGAAAAAAGAAATACGCACAAGACAGACACAGCAAGAATGTAGCGGGGGTTGGGCGTCTGCCAAAGGGTCAAAGGGCCCGTTTACCGAAACTTCAACAGGCTATGGTAACGAAGTCCTGAACCGGAAGTTGAAGAACAAGAGCAAGTAAGAAAAAGAGATGTCTGCGCACGAGAAGCAGTGTAAGGACTTGCTTAGTCTCTTTGACTTCCGGTCGCGGGATGTAATGAGATAGACTGCATTTCTTCTTCAACTCAGCTGTACATTACATACCTCGATTCCTTATCCTAAGGTTGACAAGAATCACACGTCTGAAAGTAGCACTCGGCAATGTGCATTCACTAGACGCAGTTATACTGTCGGGAACATTAACGCTGAAGTGAAAAGGCATACGCCGCAGCAGCACGGCATTTATACCCCACTCGGAGGGAAAATCTTCTATCGGCCGAGACGTACTGCGTAGCCTGCCCTTTCCCATACAGGATAATGCACGAAAAAACGGTTGCTGGTTGTCCCACGTAGCTTTTAGTAATGACATACGCGATTTCCAGGGAGTTTCTGGGAAAACCTGGGACCGTTTTTTCGGTGTGAGCGCGATGAAGCATTACCTTTAATTCCTATGATCGCGTTGGTGTCGACAGCCACTCGGCTCTCGGGAACCGCCGAAGGTAGTGGACGGTGACTGGGTGGGGCGTCCACTGCGTACCAACACAAGCGGATTGTTCCCTGTATTGAACAGAGGCGCACGGGCGGGTGGCGATGGCGACGCACGGTTGCCTGAACCTTGCAATATTTGCTGAGGCCGATCGTCAAGCGAGTGCCGGGTTATTAGGAGACCTGGAGCTGTAGCTCGCTCAAATCTCACACTCTTTAGGGCGTCGTGCAAACGTCATCGCCCGGTGGTGGTGTGTGTGTGTGTGGGGGGGGGGGGTCAACAAGAGACCTGAGAGGGGTGACGTAATATCTGGACCGCCTTGTTGGTCCCATACTCGGGTGGCGTTAAGTTCGTTTTCTCTATCTCTCTCTCTATGTCTCTCTCTCTCTCGCCGGGCGTGCATTATCGCAACTGGCGAAGCCTGTTACAACAACCGTGGCGTGAAATGTGGAAAGTGCATTCATACTGAGTTTTCCTTACGCTATTACAAGAAAAGCATCGCTTCGCAACACGAAGAAAGCGAAAGAAACGAAATCTACGGGGAATTGCTTCGTGTTATGAATCTAAACCCTTCGTAACATTAAGCATCTCGTCATTATACAAAGCAGTGCTGTAATGCCTTCACTTTCCTCGTTTTGAGTGTATTCTAAGTTCGCGGCGCGAGCGGTATTCCTTTGAAAAACTCCCTCCAAGGGTGTAGTTAAAGTTAAATTCATAAATCATGCTCTATGATTTCAGTACACATTTTATGCGTGCTCCTTTTTCACCTACCGTAAAAGCGGGTAATATGGACCACCCCGGATATTCTTCTCGCTATTGGTGATGCCGCCTACACAGAAAATTTTTTTGTCGAAACTTAGCGACACATTTATTGCTAATTTTTTTAGCGACAAGATTTGTTGTGGAACAAATAGCTTGTATACCAAAGTCATACTGCGACTGAAGGATGATTGCGCAATGACAAACTTACGCATCAACAGTCCACCTACAAAAACAACTCGTTGACCAACCGTTAGTCAACGACAAGTATTGTGAGTCAAAAAAATTTTGTAATGTCTGCGCCAAGTATTCATGGAGTACTCTTATCGCTAAATTTATTTTTCAGGGTACGTGAAATAATAGTAATTTTCTTATAACTTAAAAGAACGAAATAGATGATTATTCTTGATGTACTTTAATTGAGCAGATAATAGCAAAAGATGTTGTTTACTCAGTAATTATATCGTTTATGGTGATAAGAATTTTGTTCTCCAATGGCTAATTGTCGCTTCAGTTTCAACGACATTTATTCTGCTTTGGTTCTTTGTTTTGGAACAACCAAATTTTCACTCACCTGATTTTTTGTGCTCAACCAGATTTTAACTCGAAAAGCGTCTGTCACTAGCATCCGAACTCGTATACTACTTGGCTCCAAGACGATCATTCAGAAGAATTTCAGGGGTGGTCCACATTACTCACTGGCGGCCTAGATTCCCCTCGTTGACAGTACTGAAAGTAGTCAAACATCGACTTTAAGTCATGTCTTAAATCGTTACACAAGTGTGACAGTTCATGCTCGAGATACATGCCACTCCAACAGCGTATTATGAACGCCCATTCAAGCATCTTTGGGCAAGCCTGTAACCCTGTAGTTGGACAAACTTCACTGCAAAGTAAGCAGTGAGTTTGCTTGTCACTAAAAAAAGGAATCTTGGCCAGGAAATACTCCCAGCTTGCCAAAATTTGGCAAGCGTAAGATTTCAGGTCAAAGCTTGCTAAACCTAACTGTCTACCAAGTACACACTTACAAATGAGTGCTTCAAGTACACACTTACAAACGCATGATTGGCCAAGCACACACTTAAGAATGCATGCTTGCAAGTTACCCTTTTAAACGCATGCCTGATGCCTTATAACTCCATGCGTCAAGCATGCGTTTGCAAGTGTGTACTTGGCCAAGCACGCGTTTGGAAGTGTGTACTTGCAAGCATGCACTTGTAAGTGTGTTAGTAGCCTGTTATGTTTGCAGTGCAGCTTTCCAAATTTGTGTCAAGCAAACTTACCACCTAGGGAGAACAAAAAAGTCCTAAGTATGTCAACATGATCTCAAAATGAGCATCTTTGATGTTAGTATGATTTGAGTTAGTTTGACTACCTGTTCTCCTTGGGCACTGGCTTTACAGTGTTATTTATATAATAAATGCCCGCATTGTAAGAGCCTGTGTTCCTTTTCCCAAACTGAGTTGTAACTTTACCGAAATAATTGCGACAGATCTCATCTGAGATTGCGTGGAGTCAATGACGAATTTTTTTAGGACTACAAGGGAGTTAAAAGAAATGTTTCCACTACTAAGACAAATTAAACATAAGAATTTATTTAAAAATATGATCTTTATGTTTTAAGACCGTCGGCCTCCAAAAGCAGGGATCGTTCAGCAGCGATACTTAACGTAAAAACAACTCTGCCATCAGGGTAGACAAGAAATTTACAGAATAGGAAAGATTTAACAACCAATACAAATCCACTTAAGCAGTGTAAAGAAATAATGAGTTAAAAATGACAACAAAAAGATGATACACACATTCTCCGACACAAAATTTAAATGCGAACAGGAACTCTGAACAAAACATGTACTGTTGTTAAGGGGGGACCCTGGTGAAAAAATCACCAAAATTCCAAAAAATAGTATTTTCACAGTTCATAGATAAAAATGTGCATAGAAGGTTTCAAATTCAACAGGTTGAACACCTTTAAGCTAAGTGGGTAGTTTCTTTATCATTTGGAAGGAAATAACATTGAGATCAGTTGTTGTTGGCTTCTACGCTCAACTTCACAGCTTTGCTCAGTCGACAAAAAAATTTGTCGTAGAAAGACTTCCTGCGTTCCTGGTTGACACCTACATGAGTGGTCTTGCATGGACTCTATTCATTGATGACTTGTCGACAAATTTTAGTGACGGGATCTTGATATCAGCCCTACTTTTTTTAAAACACACCTAAAAGTTTGAAAAAAGGGAAAAAAATCACTTTTTTATTAATGTTGAAATTTGAAAACTCATATCTCAGGACAGAAGTTGAATTTGAAAATTCCGTCACTAAAATCTCTTCTATACATCTTTAGGATAACCCAAAAAAATTTTCAAGCCTTTCCGTCCCAATGAAAGACGCAGGAAGATTTTTCCCCAACGCTCCAAAAAACACTAAAAAGCCACTTTTCTCAGAGACCGTTCAACATTTTGGGTTGAATTTTGTTTTGGGAACTCACCATAATGAACCTCATAATTAAGCAAAGTTTCAACTTTCTGGGATTATTTTGAAGCCTACTTGAAAGTTTCACCAGGGTCCCCCCTTAAGGGGGCTCATACATGTTAAAAGCACTTTTCTAAAAAAAAATTTTGATGTAGACGGATTAAGATTTTACAATTTCTGTGTTAAAATCATTTTAGATAATTGAGTAAGCTTCATTTTGGCTCAAGGGAAAGTGACTTTGGACATTTTTTAGAGATTTAGTCGAAACGTTTAAAATTTTGCTTCTCGTAAGATTTTGTTCGCATACTTGCTCAGATCTGTGGGGAAAAAATCAGGGAGACTCATCCCCAGTAGTGTCATAGAATTGACTACAATGGGCTTTATATCTGCAATAGTTTTCAAGAAAAAAAATAAAAACAATTTTTTAAACCATTTTTTAAACAAATTTTTGAACAAAAAATTGTTTTTATTTTTTTTCTTGAAAACTATTGCAGATATAAAGCCCATTGTAGTCAATTCTATGACACTACTGGGGATGAGTCTCCCTGATTTTTTCCCCACAGATCTGAGCAAGTATGCGAACAAAATCTTACGAGAAGCAAAATTTTAAACGTTTCGACTAAATCTCTAAAAAATGTCCAAAGTCACTTTCCCTTGAGCCAAAATGAAGCTTACTCAATTATCTAAAATGATTTTAACACAGAAATTGTAAAATCTTAATCCGTCTACATCAAAATTTTTTTTTAGAAAAGTGCTTTTAACATGTATGAGCCCCCTTAAAGGGTGTCACATGACAACAGCTAATAAAAAGATCATTAGCCGTTACACAGGGACAGATGGACCATTATTGCTACGATCGTTACTAAAAATAAATGCGTAACACGCAAACTAAAAGAACGCACACAGTCTTAAAAGCAAACACATTAGTAATTCAAACATCACTCCAGAGACCCCTAAATATAAACAAAACCACGCTAGCTGTCAGATTTGTAGCCAGTAAAAACGATGAATGCTTGTTCAATCGGCGTGGCAATTCTACAAAGAGATGTTCAAATAATACACGTCGAAAGGACATAACACAAGACATCTTTCAACCACGTGGAACCCCAACTTGATCCCCGCAGAGAGATCGGAGGCAGTGTAGGTTTTAAAACATGGTTTTGTAGAAATACTTTGAGTAAACACCTAGATCAACAGAGCCTCGCATGCGAATTTCCTTAACTATCCGACGCTCCTCACTTCGGGTGCAGCAGCTGCGGTTGCATTAGCCAAGCTTGGCCTTGCAGCGGCTGCATCTCTGCACGGGCTTCTTGCACCAATCGCAGCAGTAGGGCAGGAAGAAGCAAAACGGGAGCCTGGCGAAAAACAAAAAGAAAAGCGATATTACTTAATTAGTCAAAGAGCGGTCTTGGAAATAACAGTGACGCCGCACAGTAGGCCAGAAGACCAGTGGAGGCGGCTAAAATTCTGGACCCGTTTTGAGCTCCATTGCCGCTAAACGGGGAACCAAACGTGTGACCGGCAGTGACCCCACCAATGGATTCATCGTTCGGTGGGGTCACACGTCCGGTTCGAGTCCCATGCAGCGACTGGAGCTCAAAACGCGTCCAGAATTTTGGCCGGCGGGGTCGGTCTTCTGGCCCACTGTGCGCCGTGACACCCACACTCTAAATGACTTAAGTTGAAATTTGAGCTACGTTACAGCACATTCGGTGAAAGCATTCAGAGACTTCTGAAGACAAGTGAAAAAGTGAGTAAGTGCGGACAAAATTGTCAAAAATAAAAAGGTATAATCATTTACAACTGCTGCACAAATTACTAATGCCATATAATCGAAGTCAACGTCTTGTCCGTGAGTGGGTCAAATTTTATTTTATTACCACTCAATAAACTCTCATAGTATTTTTGGGCACAGTCTTCCACACTTGGTTTGGCAGAACGGTTCTGCTAGAAGTATTTAGGACTTACGTGAAGCAACAAATGAGGCAGCAGCAGTGGGTCTTGCAGGAGGACTCCATCTTGACCGAGACGAAGTTGGAGCCGCACTTGGAGCACGCCATCATGCCACCACCGACGATGTTGTTGACGATGACGGGCTGCTGCGCTGCTGGTGGAGAGGCTGCGATCAAAGAACACAAAAATCAGGTACATCAAGAATATGCTTCCCCACACTGAAAATCTACCGGCGTGACTTCGCGCCGCTGCAGGGGCGTGAATAAAGTGTCATGCCAATAAACGGCATGACAGAAAAGTCACGCCAAAAATCGGCGTGACTCAAAAATTCACGCCAATTTTTGGTGTGAATTTCCTGTCATGCCGCTTTTTGGCGTGACTTGTCTCATAAAACGCGTGGTCATCCACGCCAAATGACGGCATGTCACGCCGTTTTTCGGCGTGACGCCATAATTTGGCCATGTGTCCGACCATTACGTTTTCAGTGCAGGCAATTACGTTCTCACCGCCACAAAATTCGTCTAAAAATATTGACTGTACGTGTCTTGGAGTCACAGCAGTTTATTTCAGCTTTGACATAAATCTTCAAAACTTTGTATCATGAAACACAAATTGCTTTTAGTTTCAAATCACACTTTTAAAGGAATGCAGAATAGAATGAAGTTCCCACTAATTCTCGCCTACTTCCATGAGCATAGACCGATTTCAGCCGTTTCAGGGGCATAAATCGTTAGCACCATGCAAGGATAAAGTGTTTGTGCCTTCGTTTTTACCAGTGTACATTCGTCACTTGAGCACAGACTAACCAAAGGGAAGGAACTCAAAAAACCTTCAACTAGGAAATCTTGAATGAAGTCAAATTACCTCAAATTTGGTGAAATTTATCTTAAGTTTAAAGATATTCTTACAAAATGAATGAAGTTCATATCGAAACTAATGAAACTTTCACCGCAGTTCTTTAAAATTCATCAAAAATTCATGCAGAATGAAAAAATCTGGACACTGAAATTCAAAGCTACTCCCACTTGCAACAATTGATGCAAGTGGGAGTAGCTTTGAATTTCAGTGTTTAAGGTTTAAACCTTACCGTTTAACGTCACGTTGGTAACTGGGGCTGGTGGTTGAGTGGTGAGTAGCGGCGCGTTGGGGACAACACCACCATCTTGAAGCGGATACTGCATGAGTTGATGCGGCGGGTTTGAGAACCCACCACCGTGCTGGGGTGGGTGCTGGTTGAGCTGGTGCGGCGGGGTGGAGAAACCATCACCGCGCTGAGGGTACTGGTGGAGATGAGCTTCCACTGAGATTCCGAACGCTATGAGCATAGCACGTATGGTGCAATGCAGCTGAGATATCGCACCATACGTGCAATGCGATAGCCATATTGCACCACGTTATTTCATTGTTATTTCAAAGTTATTTCATGAATATTTCAACGTTAATTCGCGTTACATCAGGTTATTTCACGTTATTTTACGTTACTTCGCCGTTATTTCAACATTAATTCACGTTATTTCAAGAGAAATGTACACCAAAATTCAAGTTGTTTGCCCCGCGGCAGATACAGAAACTTGAAAACTCTTACAGATTCCGTGACGCCTGAGATATCCCGCCACACATAGATGTCGGTCTTCATCCTTGTTGAACTGCAGAGGCCTTTGTTAGATGACACATCTTCCTTAATTGTTTGACACCCCAAAAACTGAAACTCATCTTTCATTTCGGAGCCCTACAACTTCGCCTGGGTACGAGCTTTACAAAAAACGATTATTTCTATCGATTAGACGATGATTCCCCCTTTATTTCACGGCGAATCATTCCAAGGATATTGATTCTACTTTGGACTAGGTTAGGTTAGATCACAACTTATCTTCCCAAAAAATTTGTGTTCAAATGAGTATTTAAAATGATGTTAAACCTCGGTTTAAAGTAGATGTGAGGCCTTAAATGGAATAACTCATAGGCATTTACTTTGCGAAAAATAACCCCAAAACTTTATTTTTGTAAACCTAAATCAAACAGTCTCGGGTTGCTAGAAACACGTCAGTCAAACACGAGGAACCAACTGCTCTCACGTCACGATTATTTCATAAACGATCGGTGTCGCTAGCAAACCTTTCCATTAAGAAGGAAAATCTGTTACATGAGTGAAGCAGCTTTTTTGAAACAGCACACAAATATTCGAAGTCAAAAGAATCTTTTCATCCCACGTGAATAACTGGTTTTTGAAAATGAAAAATTTCTTTGGGATGAGAGTGCAACAAAACCTAGCAAATAGAATAGCACTTGTAACTAAACTTCAATTAATCTTCCAGGTCTACGATGACTCGTAGCGCGTCCGTCAGCGCCTAAAAGAAAACAACAAATTTAACGTGTATGAGCTCTCATGATTGTGGTTTCTGGTATGCTCTGTACTCCTAATTTGGCATAGCCCTGAAACTAGGCGCCTGTCGCCTGCTTCACTCCACTGAAAAACCAAACGTGGTCTAGACCACACCACTGGTGTAGTCAAATGGGTGCCATTTTGACCGCATCAGTTGGTGTGGTCTAGACCACGTTTGGCCACGTTTGGTGTGGTCTAGACGACGTTTGGAGTGGTCTTTCCATCAATGACCACACTAAACGCACTAAACGTGGTCTAGGCCACACCAACTGATGCGGTCAAAATTGCATCCATTTCCACGCGTCCTAATACTAGAATAATCCTAGCTTAACTGTGAGAGCAGATCCAAGACAATCCTTACTGCCAGAGCTGATCCAAGACAATCCTAACTGTCAGTGCAGATTTAGAACTATCCTAAGTGCAGAGGTACCTACAAGTGTTCATAAAGTATCTTCACTGCAAATCAGAGAATCTCGACATACCTGAGATACTATGTCCACGTATTTATATAAGGATGAAACTCTGTAACAAACCCTTCGACGAGTAATTTTATGAAGTATGTTGGCGTCACGGACTTTGAGAAAACACCGCTTTTCACGTAGCAGTTAGGATAGTTCTGCATTGACACGAAAAGTTAGGATTGTCTTGAATACCCTAGCAGTTAGGATTTTTCTATTAGGACGCGTCAATTTGACCACAGCAGTTGGTGTGGTCTAGACCACGTTTGTTTTTTCAGTGTGTGTAGGGCACCAAGTGTCACTCCGTTTCTTGGCACCTTTGACGCAGCCCCATGGCCCACAAATCATCTTGCTCGCGTGCCAAGCATGCACAGTTGCCCAGCTTCATGACACCTTTGCGACCTTTTGACGCTGCCGACACTACAAACCTAACTGTCTAAACGCAAGCTTGGCCAAGTACACACTTGCAAATGCATGCTTGCAAGAACACAGTTACAAACGCATGTAACTGTGTACTTGCAAGCATGCATTTGTAAGTGTGTACTTAGTTAGTAGACAGTTAGGTTTGCAGTGGAGCCATGGTGAAGGCAAGATGCTTGGTGCACCCTGAGACTAGGCGACATGAGCGTATGTCACCCGGCGACATAGGTGCCCAGAAACTGGGCGACAAGGTGCCCTGAAAAGTGGAACACGCACAAAGGCGACCGGTGTCAGTAGTTACGCAAGGGCATCCATCGCATATCATTCAATGCCAATGAACGGTGGTGTGGGAACTACTTACGTCTTTCTTCTCGCGGGTTTCGCGACGCTTGCGTTCTACGTCTGCGTTTTCCTCAAACAAACGATCCAAATCTCCTTCCAGGTCAGTGAAAAGGGACAAGGGCAGCGAGTCCCGGACTTTCTTCATGAGGAACTTGACTACTGCTTTGGCTGAGCAGTCCTGCAAAGTTCGTGCTACCAAGCGGTGATAGTGGTCAATCATTCTACCTGAAATCGGAAAAAGATAGTTGCCATCACTTCAGAAAAATGCTAAGAAATGTGAATGAAGCACGCGGCGTGGAAGTGTAGTGTCGTCCAGCCCATGACAGAACATGCACCGGCACTGCAAATCCAAGTAAGAGGCAGTTTCACTGCATTTAGAGCGGACCACTATGCCTCACGCTTACGAGTGTAAGACGCCGATGCCTCACACTTGCAAGTGTGGGAAAACGTGGCTCACACTTGCAAGCGTGAGACAGTAGTTCGTACAGAATAGTGCGAGACTGTCTACCACTTGGATTCACAGAGTGCCCGATTCCACTGCTCAGATAACCGCCCCGAAAGATGTTCATCGCGAAGTATGCATCAACAGGCTGAGGGAGCACTGGTTAAACAAAGGCATAACGACCACGCCCCTGGGGGCATTAACAGTCTTTCACGCCCTTTAAGGGCACAATAAGATAATGCCTTTCGAAAGGCATCCATTTTTGCCTTGAAGGCCTATACTAATTCACGTCCCTCTCAAGGGCATAGAAGAATTCACGCCTTTCCAGAGGCGTGAATCGTTTACGGCCCCTTAGATCATAGTTTCTATGCCTATATTTCACCACTGAGCATTGTTTTTCTTCGCCAATCCAAGTAAGTTCCTGTGTCTGTGACCACCCATAGGAGCGGAAATGAATAAATAAGCGTGAGAGAAATGGATTCACCTCAAAGAGAGGAGTGGGACCTCATTGGAATGATTGCTTGAATAGCTTAGGGCTGAGCGAATCAAGGATTGTCACTTCGAATCGAATAGAATCAACTCAGAATTTTTCAAATCAAATCTGATTAAGAATTGATGACTCGACTCAAACTCCACTAAGTTCAGATTCGAAACGAACGTTTCAGATTGCAATGGCATAATCGGCGTTTTACGATCAAAAATTCTAAGAAGAAGCAGTGTGTCGTTGGATCCGAACTATTCACCATCGAATATTAGCAAACGAAAAGAATCGAATCAAGGTAGATTCGGTATGATTTCGAACAGTTTGCAATGCCCTTCTATAACTTACCTATAGTGTCGATCTGCTTCTCGTCCTCACTAGACATATTCAATAATTCAAGTTGAGAGTCCATTCCGGCTCGTCCTTCATTTTCCACCTTTTTATTTTCCCTTTCAAGTTTGAGCCTCATTGTACCACCCTCATTGAAATGCTCGTGATGAATATCATCTTCGTCGCTAGGTATTCGATGATACATTATGTGGCTGCATTCAGACGCCACAAACTCTTCCACCTGAAAAGGGATAAAATACCGTCATATAAATACACAAGAGCGCGCACGCACGCACACACACAAAGTGAGAGCCACAGCTTAAACGCAAAGGACGTTCCAATAGGGTTGAGACTCAGCCAAGTATGCATCTGTAGGTGTGTACGTTCACACGCTTAAAACCTTGCAAAATACTTTCAGCATACGTAGTACAAACTAATTAACTTTGTTATACGAAGAAATAGTTCGTAAATTACGAAGCATTTTCTTTGTAAGCTTATGTAGGCTCAAAATACTACGTTATAATAAGCTGCTTTACTTTGTAAGACCTAAAATAGTTTGGAAGGTTTCCGGAGTGCAACTATGAATCTGTAGATGCACTCTAGTTTGAAGGGTGGGACACAACTCCAAAAAGTTTTGCTGGGACTTACCATAATTTTGGCCTTCTCAACCCATTTTTCAAGAGTTTGGTCCACCGCTTCGATTATAGCTTGTTTGAGGCGTGGGTAACGTTGAGCTTGCGTCGGGATGCATAACTGGCACATTTTCATCAATTCGTCTTGAACGGCTTCCACAGACGCCACGGTCGGCCCTTGCATTGCCTCTATCAGAGGTATCATCAGTTTCTCAAATGATAACTGTGTAACCAAAAATGGTGACTCTAAAACATTTGACTGTCGCATGGCAATCAAAACTTCATCAGTGGTGTAAGATTTGCAAGGAGCCGCCATTGTCAAGGCCGTTTCTAGTTTAACGTGCAGAATGTCGCGCAGTTTGGCGCCACCTACTCTGTAAGGAAATGGTGAGACTTAAGTTATTAGGAACGATTTGGACCAAGCCATCGTGGATTGTGTAATTTTTCCCCAGCCACCCAAGGTTCCGAACTCGATGTCTTGGATTCTGACGAAACTTTACGTAACGAGCTTCAGAAAAATTTTGAACTTTTTTGGCCCGCTCAAAAAGCTTAAGGGGGCTCATACATGTTAAAAGCACTTTGTAAAAAAATTTTTTGATGTAGTAGACGGATGAAGATTTCACAATTTCCGTGTTAAAACCCTTTCAGATAATTGAGTAAGCTTCATTTTGGCTTGAAGTAAAGTGACCTTGGACATTTTCTGGAGATTTAGTCGAAACGTTTAAAATTTTGGTTCTCGTAAGATTTTGTTCCCACACTTTCTCAGATCTGTGGGGGGGAAATCAGGGAGACTCATCCCTAGTAGTGCCATAGAATTGACTACAATTGGCTTTACATCTGCAATAGTTTTCAAGAAAAAAAAATAAAAACAGTTTTTTGTTAAAAAATTTGTTTAAAAAATTGTTAAAAAAATTGTTTTTTTTTTTTTTTGAAAACTATTGCAGATATAAAGCCCATTGTATAAAGCCCGCACCAGCCCCCCCAACCCGCACGAGGTGGTGGGTTCGCTTTGGAGGGCAGCGCGGGCGGTGGAGGGCAGGGTAAGGTCATATGGAAGATAGGTCTGCGGATAGACCTATCTTCCATATGACCTTAGGGCAGGGCGGGGGGTAGGGTCTGACTGCTGCCGCTACCTGCTAGCTGGAGCGTGCTACTGCTGCACGCTCACCATGCTCAGCGGCGGCAGGCTGGCAAGGGTGTGAGGCGGGGCAGGGTGAGGCACTTTGAGGGGAGGGGTCGAGTTGGCTCGCCTATTACCCGGTTTTCATCACGCACCGTGGTCATGAAGCTTTCGAAGCATAACACTACCCCTCCCATCCCAACTTCAAAGCAGTAAGGCAAGAGCCGTTTTCAAAGTTGTCAATTTACTTCTTAGTATGTTCTGAATAAAAATGGGTGTTTCGACTAAAAATGTAATTCTTTCAGGATGATGTGAGAAGGTTAACACACTACATGACTTATCTCAATCCGGTCCACATTGCCTTCGGATCGGGGCATAAAAAGTCTAATAATTTCACTGCATTCAAAACATGTTAAGTCTTATAAAAATTTTCAACATGATTCTGGGCCTTCAAACTGAACCACTCCCGTTGAAATGAATGGTTAGCCAGGGGGTGGCAACGGCCTAGGCGGCGCGTGAAACGATGCTCCCCGCTCGGGCCGGCGAGCGACGCGCGGCCGACCACTGTGCACGGTGTCACTAAAATCAACATAACCACATCAAAACTTCATCAAATTGAAAAACCCAGGTCATTTTCAGCATCTACACAAAATTTCCTATTTGTATGTAGTCATGGTTTACAGTTTTAGACCCGTTCAAAATGTTAAATCTCGATTTATAATCAAATTTACCGGCAATTTTAGCCAATTCAATATTTTGCAACGACGAAAAAAGTTATTTCCGTTCGTTTTAGGTCCATACATGCAGCGAGCCGATTGTTGGCCTCCACTTTCCCTATTGCGTAAGCATACTGGAATGTCGATACGACATCTGTGACGGTCACGGTGGCCCATAATGTAATTTGCAAAATTAGACCAAAAGCAGTTAGACTGACTTTGGGAATATTTTTCGTAGCTCTTTCGCACTTGTTTATCGTTCTGCAATAGCCTATACCACGCAGAATTTAATTCTCTATCGCCCTGTGGTAACGGTTTTTCCATCGGACGTTTCAGTTTTCACATTTCGAATTAGTTTTATAACACTGCAAACTAACCCTAAAAGTACACGTATTTGGTAAAGCTTCACTTGAATAAACTAGGTGTCGTATCGCAAATCTGACTTCACCACGTTGTAGAGCGGACAATTCTACATGCCCCCGTTAAGTTTCATCACAATCGGTTGATTGGTTTGAATGCTTCAAAGATATTTGAAAAGGCAGACGACGCTTTTGGGCTTGGCGACGAGTCGGGTCACGCAGCCGAAGTATGAGAAATCGCTGCGGCGGTTATGTCGTCATAGTTGCCGAAAATTGAATGCTATCATCAAACTAATCAACCGATTGTGATGAAACTTGACGGGGGCATGTAGAATTGTCCGCTCTACAACGTGGTGAAGTCAGATTTGCGATACGACACCTAGTTTATTCAAGTGAAGCTTTACCAAATACGTGTACTTTTAGGGTTAGTTTGCAGTGTTTTAAAACTAATTCGAAATGTGAAAACTGAAACGTCCGTTTGAAAAACCGTTACCACAGGGCGATAGAGAATTAAATTCTGCGTGGTATAGGCTATTGCAGAACGATAAACAAGTGCGAAAGAGCTACGAAAAATATTCCCAAAGTCAGTCTAACTGCTTTTGGTCTAATTTTGCAAATTACATTATGGGCCACCGTGACCGTCACAGATGTCGTATCGGCATTCCAGTATGCTTACGCAATAGGGGAAGTGGAGGCCAACAATCGGCTCGCTGCATGTATGGACCTAAAACGAACGGAAATAACTTTTTTCGTCGTTGCAAAATATTGAATTGGCTAAAATTGCCGGTAAATTTGATTATAAATCGAGATTTAACATTTTGAACGGGTCTAAAACTGTAAACCATGACTACATACAAATGGGAAATTTTGTGTAGATGCTGAAAATGACCTGGGTTTTTCAATTTGATGAAGTTTTGATGAAGTTATGTTGATTTTAGTGACACCGTGCACAGCGGTCGGCCGCTCGTCGCTCGCCGGCCCGAGCGGGGAGCATCGTTTCACGCGCCGCCTAGGCCGTTGCCACCCCCTGGGTTAGCTCACTGATACTTTGACAGAGTGACGAAAGTCCAAAATTTTGTTAAAATGAGATTTTTGGCTGCGTTCTAGAACTTTTGATTTTCTGTCGACTGGTGAAAAGCATATGTCGATATCTCTAATAGATTCAGCGTAGGAAAATACTTCAAAATGACGAAAGTCCAACTGTACTTTGACAAAATGACGAAAGTCCAGCCGTACTTTGACAAAATGACGAAAGTCCAACTGTACTTTGACAAAATGACGAAAGTCCAGCCGTTCTTTGACAAAACGACGAAAGTCCAACCGTACTTTGACAATATGACGAAAGTCCCAACTGCAAAACCGGTCGTAGGTAACTATTGCTTTCCAATTAAGATAATTATTCATGAGTTCAGTGACGGCATGAACATAAAACATGCCAGAGTTGAAAAGTTTCATTTTATTTGTGTTAGCAGTAAAGGTGGACTTTCGCCATATTGTCAAATTACGTATGGACTTTCGTCGTTTTATCAAAGTACGGTTGGACTTTCGTCGTTTTGTCAAAGTACGGTTGGACTTTCGTCGTTTTGACCTCATTTTCGTACGCTGAGAAATGGCGAATGTCCACTATCTCGGGAACTAAGCTGCCGATTGCAATGGCTCTTGAACCTAAAGAACACTCATGCCTTCAGGATTCTATGGTGTTAAACTCAACCATCAAATCCCAAAACTCTATTTTGCAGCTCAAATTTTAGACTTGTTTTGACTCTCCTGAAAAATAAGAGATTGTGGACTTTCGTCACTTTGTCAAAGTACCAGTAAGCTGGTGTGTCCAACATACCATAAAACATTCCAATTCTACAGCTGTAGAAACGACTTAACTACGTGACAAAGTCGATAAAAATACGAAACCCCGCTGAACGTACGTAAGTATACTTACAATTCTAAGGATAGATGGGCAGGTCCCTTATCACACAGATCTTTGAACTGTTTACTGAAGTCATTTACAACGCTTATCAGAGCTGATTTCTTGTCAGGCAAAGAATCACCGTATTCTTTCAGAATCTTTGCACAGATTTTAATCTCTTCTCGTAGTTTATTCTGAAACACACAACATTCATAGAATGAAACGAGGATTAGATCCCTCACTTGTTTGATTTAGGAGTGAGAAAGAAATTTAACTCTTGCCTGGACATGAGGAAGGCATCGACTGATGTGATTTGAAAGTAGTTCTTCAAGCCTAGTAGCCAGATACTCAGCACCAGCTCTGTCAGCAATAGCCCTGTAATGTTCTTCAAAGAATTGTCTTTCCTTTCGGCGCATCTCTTTCACGCTCTGGAACAATAAGAACCGTTCAAAACTGAACTGTACCCGACAAGGATTGGACACAATTAAAGATAATTACCGTTTTCTGATTTAGATCATATTGCGATCTGTTCATCACACCAATGATTCCTAATTTGACAGGGATGATCATGCCTGATAGTATGTCCGCGGCATTGGTACCTTCAAACAGATATCGACGAGGTTTAAATGCATGTTCAGAATAGCCGTGACCTCTCATCGAGGAAATGAGAATTTCAAAACTGTAAGACCACCAATGGACTACTGAGACATGTTCTCTTCGATCACCCGAGCGAAGTGGAGACAATTCAAGGAAAGCTGAGGTCTCCGCAGTTTATATTGCTCTGCATGCAAGAAAAAAACCACAACAAAAGTACACAAAGTCCTGTAAAATTTTTCATCAGGAACTTATAGTACTTTTAAAGTCCAATTGCCTGGCATGACGAGTGCTGTGCAGTCCAGGCCTCGTTGTGGTTTGTACAATCCTCGTTGTACTTGCTACAATCCCTGTCCTACTTTAATTGTACAGTTTTTGTTGAACTCTTGTAGTTCTATTCTCACTTTTTCTTGCAATGTGGTACATTTTAGGAGTAACTTCTTAGTGATCTGAACTAAAGGGACGCAAGTTAAGAGCCCTCCTTTCACATTGTGTTCATTAAAATACGAGTGAAGTTACCTCCTTTCGCCATAACAGGGCCATGAGAGCTATCCGTTGAGTTACTCCATTTTCAGATGAAATTTGCATTGTGAAATAGGTTCAGTTACAATATCCTTTCCTATTAATCATTTCCTCCTAATCTGCTAGGCAATCAGTCAGATTAATTGGAGTTGAGATGAAAAACCATCTGGACTTGGAGATAAGTCAAGTTATTCCCTTCTTCCGCTTCCTAGATCATATGTAAGTACGGACTTTGCAGACAGTTAGGATTTCTAGCCGATGCGCGCATCAGCTAACGCGTGCACACGCCATAGTTTGTAGCATGCCTGGCAATTGATTTATCTATCATGAATCTACACGGCAAACGCCAGTACCCTGCATTCCCAGACGGCTCCTGGAAAATTCACTTTTTTCCAGGGTTCGCCTAGGATTCCTATGTACTTACAGCTTACAGCGCTTGTACCTGACTACAGGCAAGCATTTCAGTTTCGCGAGTAGATTCCGTCTGCCTACGTACACGACGTGCGGCTTACCTCGATCCATAAGATCAATTTTCGTTACGACTGCAATCGTACGCTCCCCTGTCGGATCCACCCGTTTGGCGAGTTTCAGACATTCACTTGTCGCCATATCTGTATTGGCCGCCACCACTGCCAAGATGATGGTAGAAGAAGGTGTGATGTAATCCATGATCAGCTCTTCGACCTGTTCCTCTATGTTCTCAGGCTGGTCACCAACGGCGACCTGAAAGAAACAACGTAGTGTAACGAGCAGAGACGGAAACAATGAGAAGCACTCTTGAAAGCTTGCAAAGAAAAGTACTTTGCAGTGCGAAGAATTCTCCGGCTTTGAACTACGAACTCCATTGCGAACCTGTTTTCTTCGCATTGCAGAGAAGTAGATCGTACGTTGAAGGAAAATGTGCGCAACGTAGCGAACATTGGTTTGTAACGTTGCGCAGCATTTTCATTGCAAGTTGCAGAATAATACTTCGCAATGCAAAGAAGGATTAGGATGACTTGTCAGGCGAACCGCATACCTTGGTGAGGCCCGGCAGATCGACGAGCGTCAGATTCACCACATTGGGCGAATACACTTTCATGGTTATCGGTGTTGATATGATGTTTTGGTTTTTACCGGCCAAACGGTCAGTCTCCGCCTCTATTTCTTTCTGAATTTCCTCATCGTCGTAAAACGTACTATTTGGAGCGTGCGAAAACTTAACCCATTCGTTTCGCCACTCTTCATGATCATAGACGTTCTCTGAAACACAAAGTTACCGCATGAAATGCCAAATGAAGGAACCTTGCGATTATTAAGATAAAGCAAATGGCACGTTGAAGCGGCTGATGAAAGGGGCCTTAGTTCACTTCGACGCGTCCTAACAGAATAATTCAAACTGCCACAGTGGCGACATCTCGAAACTATTTCCATCGAGCTCCCCAGCTCTTTTTAAGAAAAAGACCATTGTCGGAAAAAAAAATCTAAAACTTCCAGTAAGTACGATAACGTAAAGAAAATGTCATGATTCTGACCAAAGTGAAAACTTCGCTACACTACAAACCGAACTGTCGACTGAGAACACACTTACAAGCGCATGCTTAACCACGCCACCCCTCCCCTAAAAAAAGGTTTCATCCAAACTGAAGAGATGAATTTCCAAGAGTTCGTTGGTTTGGCATGCACTAAATAGGCCACGTGGACATAGATTTTAGAGATATCGCGATTTACTGATTTCAAACGAAGATAGTTTATGAAGACTTTTAGGTACCTCTGCACTAACAGTTGGGATTGTCTAGGACTTGCTCTGACAGTTAGGATTGTCTTGGATCTGCTCTTACAGCTAAGATTGTCTTGAATCTACAGTTAAAACTATTAAATTAGGAGGCGTCGTTGTCACGTCTCATGACAATCAGTGAGTTTCTCACAACTGAAGCTTGAGTTGAGTTTAGATAACTTACTGCTACTGGGAACATGGTGCAGCTGAATTATCAGAGGGCAGCGCGTCACTAGTCCAGAGCCTCGTGGCAGGCAAGACCGGCCCACCAACGTCTCCAGCACTGACGACTTGCCCGCGCTCTGAAACAAAATCGCAAGTTATGGTTATGTTCACGTTATTGTTAGGCTTTGACGTCACATCACTCATTGCCGGAACGGGACATCACGTAGAAACGAATGTGACAAAATGTCACGTTCCTTAAAGCATTGTGTCAGATTCGTTTGAATGGGAATCTGAATCAGACGAAAATAATGCTTAATCACATTTCAACGAATGTGACACAGTGCTCAATCGCACGTGACATTTGGTCACATACGTTTGACTGTGATGTCACGTTCCTGGAATGAGTGTGATTGATAAAAGGAGTTTATTCGCCTCTTGCCAATAACAAGGGTAAAACAAAAGTGCATCTCGCTTGAGTCGAGCATTAAGTTACGCGTGCCACTCTACCAAAAATGTCCTGTCAATGCCGTTAATTTATTACCAGTTTTCACTGTAGGTCAATTCAAAGCGTTTACTGTTATCTGATCACGCGATTCACTGTGATCTTGTTTACGGTGTTCACTGTGATCTGGTTCACAGTAAACACTGAGTTTGACGCCGCTGAGCACCGAAGTGCTGCAAATCAGGCTCCAATTCACGGCGTTTACTGTGGCCAGATCACAGTGAACACTGTAACCAAGATCACAGTGAACGCCGTGAACTAGTTCACAGCAAACGCCGTGAATTGCTTAACAGCAAACATTGGTAATAAATTAACGGCGTTAACAGGACATTTTTTGTAGAGTGTGTACATGTTACGCTTGAAATGAAGCGTAAGCGTAGGCTAGAATTTTCCTTCAGCATTCAGATAGGAGAATCTTCTTTTGGGAATCTTGGAGGATGATCCTGCTACGCTTCAGTTCAAGCGCAACAGATAACGCTTGAAAACAGAGGGTGATATCACGCTTAGGTTTTACCAGTGTAATTTTCTGATAATTCAAGCTTCCATTAGACAATAAGGTTCAACGACAGAAATTACCAAAGTGAAGTTGTCGATAAGAATTTTCATTTACCGAAATCCAACTGAAATTTTATGTCCCGAACCTCCATAAAATTGCAGTAACTTTCTTTTGATAACAGAGTTATTGTCAAATCAGCTTCCTGAAAGTGCTTGGTGCCATTCATTAAAATGAATGATGAAAATATTAATTTCGTCGAATAGAACATACTAAAATTCCTTTGAAAGGGAGCGAGGACATCAACTTTTAATGGATTCTTCGGTCAGTTAAGTTTTGAAGCGACAATGTGGCTCTGGTAATTGAAGGGAAAAAACAATTTTTTTAATAAAACGGGGCTTTAACGACAGGAAACATGGGGGCAAATTGCATGCCATCAAATCTGAGAGCATAAATGCTAACACTCATCAGGAGTACACACTACAAAGACATTGATTGAATAATACTTATTTTGAAGGTCCACATATTCGATATTTTAGGGCACATCTTGATTGTGCACAAGCTTTGAACGAAACTGAGCACGCGTTTCAAAAAGCACGAATTTCACTGGCAACAACACACATTTTCGTGCGCAGTTGCGTACAGATACGTGCATTTTGAAACGCATGCTCAGGTTCATGCCAAGCTTATGCACAAATATAATCATTTGGTGTGAATTCACACAATGTAAATAACACCTAGAAATCAGACCAGACGAACTTATTTTAGTTACATACCTGAAAGCCCACGACTGCAATAATGGGAAGCTCTATCGGATCATAACCAAGTTTAGAGAAAATATCTTGAATTACATTCAATTTGGACAGCAAATTCTGCATCCCCATGATGGAAGTGCACCTGGAAACAAAAAAGAGAATTAATTGGCTGAGCGATAGCGAAGCCTGTTACTCAGGTGGGGTTGAAAAATTTTTCCTGTCTTCGTGCGTGTGTGTGTGTGTGTGTGTGTGTGTGTCCGCGCTACTCCTCCTGAACGGCTCGGCCGATCTCGGTGAGATTTTGCACACTTTTTTGGTATGTCCTTGGCTCGGCACACGCGAAATTTCACTATCCTAGCTCAACTGGTTCGGTTTTTATAGCCGAAAAACACCTAAAAACGGCGAAAAATCGAGTTTTCTGCAGGCAGATCATTTCTGTCCTGAAGGAAGGGGGGTCTGGGGGGCGGAGCCCCCCTGCCCCGACGAGTTAAAAGGTCAGGCCAATGGGGGTCTAGCCCCCCAGCCTCGACAAGTTAAAAAGTCAGGCCAATGCAGCCCTAGGCACGAAATCAAATGCTGTTTTGACCTTCAATCACGCAAATTAGGCAAGCGCCGCAGGCCAAGGTAGGTGTAACGCCAGGCGTGGATTGTCGAAACTGGCGCAGCATCGCGAAGCCTGTTACGACAAGACACGGTCTGCCGTACACCTACCTTGTCAGTTGAGAAACTGTTGTTCAACGAATGTGACGTCACGTTTCATCGGAGACTTATGCCACCTTCGTAAGAAAATTATGTTACGAACGACCCGTACACCTATACTTCAATCGAGGGGGAAATCACTCTTAAGACCTGCGACCCGACTATTACGTCTGTAACGCTCTAGTACGCCTCAATATATTGGGATTGAGTTGAAAAAAGACCAAAAAAAACCCTATAGTAGATCAAATTTTGAGAATTTCGGCTATTACTCTACAAATCGAGGAGTGTACATAGTATGCTCTAACTGGAGCATGCCTGCAAGCACGCTCTAGCTAGCGCATGCCTGCCAAGCATGCACTAACTAGTGCATACATGCCATGTACACGCTTCCTGATGCAGAAAACTCCCTACCCCTTATGCAGTAAATGTATGCTTCAGTTAGCGTGTACATGGCATGTATGCACTAGTTAGTGCATGCTTGGCAGGCATGCGCTAGTAAGAGCGTGCTTGCAGGCATGCTCCAGTTAGAGCGTACCATGTACACTCTTTGATTTGTAGAGTACGCTACTATTAACGCATACTATCACGCGTGCTATTACGGACAGAGTGACCCGACTATTACGCGAGTGCTTTCCCCCTCGACTTCAATGCGTTCAATTGCGGCTGCATCGTACGTTTTGACAGTTTCTGTGCGGTTTTTTATGTTTTGGCAATTTGTTAAACGTAACGCACCTTTTTTTAATTTTTTTTTTTTTTGGGGGGGGGGGCAGAAATGGCCTCAAAAAGCGTTGCATATTTTAGAGACGGCCCCCAACAGCGATGAAAGATAATACATTGCCATTGAGTCCTATGCCCTCCCATTCCAGGACCCTGACATCGCGTTGAAACGAAGTTGACAAAACGTCACGTTCTTCTGAGCATTGCGTCGCTTCACCGTTACTCAAACTGCGATAACCACTGTCTATATTTTGAAATAAAAAACTTATCACATATTTTAGCAATCATGACAACTAAAAATCTGCAATAAAAAGTTATCGCAGAAAAAACGTGATTAAAGTTCCTACAAAACGCTCTTCTATCGCAAAAATTATAAAATTATCGCACTCCCGGGTGCGATAAATCGTGGGAATCGCAAACTCGGTTTTATCGCAAAAATTTGTAGTAAAAGTATCGCAAAATGAATGACAGTGATTCTTTCGGATGTGAATCAGACAGAAATTAGCGTCTACGAAGAACGAAGACGATTACGAGAGTAATGTATAATGAGAATAGTAGCAGGTGCAGGTAGGATTTTGAAACTTTACACCGTAGCTGTTACGCGAGGCGAAACGCCCTTGCAAGCCCGGTTAAAGGGAGAAATGTTAACAAATAATTTTACTTCCTCTGTCAAACAGTATTTGAAAGCAGCGATAGTGCTTTTAGAGGAGATACGCTTCGGAAAACTCTGAAAGTAATCCACTCGTACAATTCCGCTGGGTAATGTTCCGGTTTAGTTCTTCCTCGTTCATCGATCGGCAACAACTACTACAATACTCTACTCGCCGAAGGAGTTCAAGATTCTGACACCACTGTCTCGATGGCCTCCCAGATTAACCAGCAATTTATCGAGCACTTCAATGGTTGATGCCTGCCCACTAATAAAGCCCTGACAGAAGATTGAAACCCAAGTGGAGAGTAGGCCGTAGACCGGAAACTCTGAAATGGTTCCAAACCGAACCACAATCAGGGTTGAGACAGCTATTCGTATTGTTGAGCCTCCCTCATTCGAAAGGGAAAAGGAGCACACATCTAGATAGTAGCGATTACTGACTTCTATGATCTGCTGCAGATGTTGATTGTTGACTGCCGCCGCAGTTCAATTCTTAACTAAAGCGCCGCCCTGTGCAATTCAGCACAATCACGGTTATGCGTCAATTCTTCATAATTCAACGCGATACCTTCAGCAACGCAAGACTATAAGCTGTAGAAGAAGCTGAACAGACGGATATGGAACCCGAAGGATAAAACGGGATAACAGTGAAGCCGTACAAGAAATGGCCAGTGTTCGCTGAGCAGCAGGACGAGCGCCCGATGTGAGACGAGGCCAATAAGAACTCCACACGGCAGTGTCAACGGAACTGAACTCGAGAAGTGAAATGTGCGACAGACTTCGCAAGTATGTCACGGGGCTTGGGCGTCTGTCAAGTCAAAGGGTCAGAGGGCGTTTACCGACAGGCTATTGTTACGAAGTCCTGAACCGGAAGTTGAAGAAAAAGGACAAGTCAGTGAAAGAGAGGTCTGCGCACGAGAAGCAGTGTATCAGGACTTGCTTAGTCTCTTTGCCTTCCGGTCCAGGGGTTCACAGTAAACCCACATTTCTTCTTCAACTCAACTGTACATTACATACCACGATCCCTTATTCCAAGATTGTCAAAAAACACCATTTCTGAAAGGGTACTCGGCAATGTGCATTCACTACACGCAGTTTTACCGACGGCAACACTGACGCTCAAGTGAAACGACATACGCCGAACAGCAGCACCTGCCAGTTCTCCCGCGTACAGATAAAAAAATCTCCTGTTACGGTCGGGGCGTATTGCGTATTCTGCCCTCCCCCATTCAGGATAATGCACGAAAAAACGGTTCCTGGTTGTCCCACGTAGCTTTTACTAGTACGCGATTTCCAGGGAGCTTTTGGGAAAACCTGGGACCGTTTTACGGTGTGAGCGCGATGAAACATTACCTTAATTTGGTGTCCACAGCGACTCGGCTCTCGGGAACCGCCGAAGGTAGTGCACGGAGACTGGCTGAGGGAGGCGTCCACTGCGTTCCAACACACGGATTGTTCTCTGTTTCGAACAGAGGCGCACGGACGGGTGACGATGGTGTCGTACGGTTGCCTGACCCTTGCAATATTTGCTGGGGGCGATCGACAAGCGAGTGCCGGGTTATTGGGAGAATGGGGCTGTAGCTCGCTCAAATCTCACACTCCACAGGCCGTCGTGCAAAAATTACGTCATCGCCCGGTGGGGGAGGGGGGGGTGTCAACAAGAGACCTAAGAGGGGTGACCGAGGGGTCGGCAACGGGAATTCCCTTGGTCGTGTACGAGGGAGTATACGAATATTACCAGTAATATAGGTAATATATGTGTAATATGAAGTAATACAAAGTAATATGTAGTAATATAGGGGTATTATTGAGGCGAAATTGTGGTAATATGCAAGTAATATATGGTAATATACAGGTAATACAGGGTGAGTTTTTACAATGTGTCAATAATTTGTAGGTAGCTTGCGCACCTCAAGAGGATCTCTTTTCACCAATGAACTAGTGGGCGCAAACGTCTAGGTACGGAGATAAATGATATTTAGAATTGGGCATTCGCACCTGCCAGATACACACCTGCGGCCACTGAGGATCTCAAGACCTCACGAGAGGATGTCGTGGGTCTAGCGGGGATGCAACGAAGGTCGCAGGGGTGCGGCGGACCTTTCAATTGACTTTTCAGAGGGGTTGCCGAGGGTCTCAAGTGGCTGTCGTGGTGGCCTGCGTAACAGTGGATCTCGCGCGGCTGTCTTAGCGAGGGTGGCAGGACTCCACGGTTTCTCCGTGAAGTCAGTGGCACTCCCTCGGGTACTGCGAGTCCCATGACACCCACTCGGGAGTTCCCACCACCCTCAGTGGCGGCGAGAGCCTACCTCGTGGGCGCGAAGGTAAATTACAAAACACTTATTATCTCAGTAACTAGACGTTTGCGCCCACTAGTTCACTAGCGAAAAATGATCCGCTAGGGGTGCCTAAACTTCCTACAAATTATTGACACATCGAAAAAACTCACCCTGTATACGGGTAATATAGCCACCGCGTACGAAGTAATATGTGAGTTGCCGACCCCTCGGGGGTGACGTAATATTTGGACCGCCTTGTTGGTCCCTTATACCTCGGGTGGCGATCAGTTCCTTCCGCTCAGATGAGTTTCCTTACGCTATTACAAGATTTTCACGCTTTAAGGGGGCTCATACATGTTAAACACACTTTGTAAAAATTTTTTTTTTATGTAGATGGATTAAGATTTTACAATTTCTGTGTTAAAACCCTTTTAGATAATTGAGTAAGCTTCATTTTGGCTTAAAGGAAAGTGACTTTGGACATTTTTTGGAGATTTAGTCGAAACGTTTAAAATTTTGGTTCTCGTAAGATTTTGTTCGCATACTTGCTCAGATCTGTGGGGAAAAAATCAGGGAGACTCATCCCTAGTAGTGTCATAGAATTGACTACAATGGGCTTTATATCTGCAATAGTTTTCAAGAAAAAAAATAAAAACAATTTTTTGTTAAAAAATTTGTTAAAAAAATTGTTTTTATTTTTTTTCTTGAAAACTATTGTAGATGTAAAGCCCATTGTAGTCAATTCTATGACACTACTAGGGATGAGTCTCCCTGATTTTTCCCCCACAGATCTGAGCAAGTGTGCGAACAAAATCTTACGAGAACCAAAATTTTAAACGTTTCGACTAAATCTCCAATAAATGTCCTAAGTCACTTTCCTTTAAGTCAAAATGAAGCTTACTCAATTATCTAAAAGGGTATTAACACAGAAATTGTAAAATCTTGATCCGTCTACATCAAAAGAAAATTTTTACAAAGTGCTTTAGCCCCCTTAACGAAGAGCATCGCTTCGCAACACGAAGAAAACGAAATCTACGAGGAATTGCTTCGTGTTATGAATCTAAACCCTTCGTAACATTAAGCATTTCGTCATTAAACAAAGCAGTTCTTTAATGCCTTCACTTTCCTCATAGACTGTTTTGAGTGCACAAATTTAAGTTCGCGGCGCAAGCGGTATTCCTCTGTAAAACTTCCTCGAAGGGTCTGTCTGTAGTTTAAGTTCAATTCATAAATCATGCTCTATGATTACAGTACACATTTTATGCATGCTCCTTTTTCACCTAGCGTAAAAGCGGGTAATATGGACCACCCCCGATATTCCTTCTCTAATGGTGATGCCGCGTACTCTGATAAAAATTTTGTCCTAAGATTTGTTGTGGAACTAAAGGATAATTCCACAATGAGAAACTTACACATCAACAGTCCACCCTCAAAAACAACTCGTTGGCCAACAAGGCAACAACAAGTATTGTAAGTCAAAAAGATTGTGTAATGTCTGCGACAAGTATTCATTGAGTACTTTTGTCGCTAAATTTATTTTTCATGGTACTTTAAATAATAGTAATTTTCTTATAACTTAGAAGAACGAAATAGATCGTTACCCATAATGCACTTTAATTGAGCAGCTTTGGTTCTTTGTTTTGGAACAACTAAATTTTCACTCACCTTATTTTTTGTCTACGACCATTTTTAACAGTGTAGCAATGACCTCGAAAAGCGTTTCTGTCACTAGCATCCAAACTCGTATATTACTTGGCTGAAGACAATCATTGAGAAGAATTTCAGGGGTGGTCTATTACCCACCATGGTGGCCTAGATTCCCCTCGTTGACGGTACTGAAAGTAGTCAAACATCGACTTTAAGTCATGTCTTAAATCGTTTCACAAGTGTGACAGTTCCTGCTTGAGATAAAGTCTGCAGATTTTAGCCAGGAAATTTTCAAAGTCACGTTTCACTTGTCAGAAAATGTAAAATTTTACAAAGTGTCTAGTTTGTCCTTCTATCAATCTTTTTTTAAACCTGTAAAGGAAATTAGGCTTGACATTGAGAAATCTGAACCAAATAGCGTCAGCCAGTCATTGAAGACGAAATTTCAAGCAAGGCTTGAACCAGAACTGTCAAAAGTTTTTGTTAATTTAATATGGTAGTGACTCTAGCGAATGAGCTTTCCAACTTTCCAAACAACTGACCGCTGAGTGATTGTTTTACAACTGAGTAAGAATTCAGACGCTTGACTTGAAAGTTTGAAGCCACTCTCACCATAAGAAATGAATTGAGGATGCTGCTAAGTGTCTCCAAGCTAGATCCTGGCGGCAAGTTTGGACTTCAAAATTACTATTTTCGCTGCCTTTTTTCTATGTTTGTGGCTAATTTCGACCTTGAATGAATGCTATGCCACTTCAACAGCATATTATGACACCCATTCAAGCAACTTTGGGCAAGTCTATAACCCTGTGGTTTGACAAACTTCACAGCAAAGTAAGCAGTGAGTTTGCTTGCCAAAAAATTAGGAATCTTGGCCCCGAAATACTCCAAAATGTGGCAAGCGTAAGTTTTCAAGCTTTCCAAATTTGTATCAAGCAAACTTACTGCTGGCTTTACAGTGTTGTTTATCTTGCCCGCATTGTAAGAGCCTGTGTTCCTTTTCCCAAACTGAGTTGTAATTTTACTGAAATAGTTGCGACAGATCTCATTTGAGATTGCGTGGAGTCAATGACGAATTTTTTTTAGGACTACAAGGGAGTTTAAAGAAATGTTTCCACTACTAAGACAAATTAAACATAAGAATTTATTTAAAAATATGATCTAAATGTTTTAAGACAGACGGCCTCCAAGAGCAGGGATCGTTCAGCAGCGATACTTAACGTAAAAACAACTCTGCCATCAGGGTAGGCAAGAAATTTACAGAATAGGAAAGATTAAACAACCAATACAAATCCACTTAAGCAGTGTAGAGAAATAATGAGTTGAAAATAACAACAAAAAGGTGATACACACATTCTCCGACACAAAATTAAAATGCGAACAGAGAGCTCTGAACGAAACATGTACTGTTGTTAATGGGTGTCTCATGACAACAGCTAATAAAAAGATCATCTAGCCGTTACACAGGGACAGATGGACCAATATTGCTACGATCGTTACTAAAAATAAATGCGTAACACGCAAACTAAAACAACGCACACAGTCTTAAAAGCAAACACATTAGTAATTCAAACATTACTCCGGTGACCCCTAAATATAAACAAAACCACGCTAGCTGTCAGATTTGTAGCCAGTAAAAACGATGAATGCTTGTTCAATCGGCGTGGGCAATTCTACGAAGAGATTACAAATAATACACGTCGAAAGGACATAACACAAGACATCTTTCAGCGAAGTGGAACCCCAACTTGATCCCCGCAGAGAGATCGGAGGCAGTGTAGGTTTTAAATCATGGTTTTGAAGAAATACTTTGTGTAAGCACCTAGAACAACAGAGCCTCGCATGCGAATTTTCTTCAACTATCCGACGCTCCTCACTTCGGGTGCAGCAGCTGCGGTTGCATTAGCCAAGCTTGGCCTTGCAGCGGCTGCATCTCTGCACGGGCTTCTTGCACCAATCGCAGCAGTAGGGCAGGAAGAAGCAAAACGGGAGCCTGGCGAAAAACAAAAAGAAAAGCGATATTATTTTATTATTTAAAGAGCGGTCCTGGAAATAACTAACGCCGCACAGTAGGCCAGAAGATCAGTGGAGGCGGCTAAAATTCTGGACGCGTTTTGAGCTCCATTGCCGCTAAACGGGGAACCAAACGTACCCCACCAATGGATTTCTCGATCGGAGAGCTATCCATTGGTGGGGTCACATATTCGGTTGGAGTCCCATGCAGCGACTCAGGAGCTCAAAACGCGTCTAGAATTTGGGCCGGCGGCGTCGGTCTTCTGGCCCACTGTGCGCCGTGACACCAGGCAGACCCACACTCTAAATGTCTAGTTGAAATTTGAGCTTACAGTACATGCACCGGTGCAAGCATTTCAGAGACTATTGAAGACAAGTGAAAAAGTGAATAAGTGCTGACAAAATTGTCAAAAATAAAAAGGCATAATCATTTACAACTGCTGCATAAATTACAAATGCCATATAATCGAAGTCAACGTCGATTCTGTGAGTGGATCAAATTTTATTTTATTACCACTCAATAAACTCTCATAGTATTTTTGGGCACAGTCTTCCACACTTGGTTTGACAGAACGGTTCTGCTAGAAGTATTTAGGACTTACGTGAAGCAACAAATGAGGCAGCAGCAGTGGGTCTTACAGGAGGACTCCATCTTGACCGAGACGAAGTTGGAGCCGCACTTGGAGCACGCCATCATGCCGCCACCGACGATGTTGTTGACGATGACGGGCTGCTGCGCTGCTGGTGGAGAGGCTGCGATCAAAGAACACAAAAATCAGGTACATCAAGAATATACTCCCCCAGGCAATGACGTTCTCACCGCCACAAAATTCGTCTAAAATTATTGACTGTACGTGTCTTGGAGTCACAGAAGTGTATTTTAGCTGTGACATAAATCTTCAAAACTTTGTATCATGAAACACAAATTGCGAGGGGGAAAGCACTCGCGTAATGGTCGGGTCACTGTGTCCGTAATAGCACACGTAATAGTGCACTGCAATTTGGATGGAAAGACTTCACGCCAAAATATGGCGAGACATTAAAGTCTCGCCAAGATTTGGTCAGACCTGAAAGTCTCGCCAAAATTTGGTCACACAAAAAAGTCTCGCCACAAAACGGTCATACACAAAAGTCTGACCCCAAAATGGCGAGACTTTTGTGTCTGACCACGGCCTTAAGGCCGTAACCGTCCGGCGCATTACGGCCTTCAGGTGGCGGTCAGACACAAAAGTCTCGCCATTTTGGGGTCAGACTTTTGTGTATGACCGTTTTAAGGCGAGACTTTTTTGTCTGACCAAATTTTGGCGAGACTTTCAGGTCTGACCAAATCTTGGCGAGACTTTTATGTCTTGCCCCCGGAGTGGCGAGAAATCTGACCTTAGGATTTGTAGTGTGTGCGTAATAGTAGCGTAATAGCCGAAATTCTCAAAATTTAATCTATTTTAAGGGTTTTTTGGTCTGTTTTCAGCTAAATCCCAATATTTTGAGGCGTAATAAAGCGTCATAGGCGTAATAGTCGGGTCGCAGGTTTTAGGAGTGATTTCCCCCTCGGCAAATTGCTTTTAGTTTCAAGTCACACTTTTAAAGGAATGCAGAATAGAATGAAGTTCCCACTAATTCTCGCCTACTTCCATGAGCATAGACCGATTTCAGCCGTTTCAGGGGCATATATCGTTAGCACCATACAAGGACAAAGTGTTTGTGCCTTCGTTTTTACCAGTGTACATTCGTCACTTGAGCACAGACTAACCAAAGGGAAGGAACTCAAAAAACCTTCAACTAGGAAATCTTGAATGAAGTCAAATTACCTGAAATTTGGTGAAATTTATCTTAAGTTTAAAGATATTCTTACAAAATGAATGAAGTTCATATCGAAACTAATGAAACTTTCACCGCAGTTCTTTAAAATTCATCAAAAATTCATGCAGAATGAAAAAATCTGGACACTGAAATTCAGAGCTACTCCCACTTGCAACAAACCTTACCGTTTATCGTCACGTTGGTGACTGGGGCTGGGGCTGGTGGTTGAGGGGTGAGTAGCGGCGCGTTGGGGACAACACCACCATCTTGAGGCGGATACTGCATGAGTTGATGCGGCGGGTTTGAGAACCCACCACCGTGCTGGGGTGGGTGCTGGTTGAGCTGGTACGGCGGGGTGGAGAAACCATCACCGCGCTGAGGGTACTGGTGGAGATGAGCTTCATCGTACTTCGGCGGCGGTGACGGCCGACTCTTCTCTTCGTAGCCCTCGAATCCCAAAGCTTTCTCGGCCATCCTGCTGAAAGCAAAGCGACGGGTGAACACACCGTAACCCAGGTAACTCCATTTGCCTCTTTAAGAAAACACTTTACTCGCATTCCCGGAACGTGACATCGCGTTGAAACGAATGTGAGAAAATGTCACGTTCCTTAGAGCATTTGACACATGCGTTTCAACGTGAATGAGCTAATTACTGGCCGATTCACGTCGAAACAAATGTGACACAAAAGGAACGTGACATTTCGTCAAATCCATTTCAACGTGATGTCACGTTCCTGGAATGAGAGTGTTCCCGATGGAGTAGCGGCCGGTTGGGTGCATCAGATGCTAAATCAGCATGAACGGAACTGTGGGTTCAGCTTCCTGATGGCCGCCCTCAGTTTGTTCCATAATGGTAATTCTACAACAAGATTGCCCAGATGCAGTCCAGAACAGGAACCAGCAAGGAAAACAATCGCCTCCTATTTATTAACATTCCTACTGTATCTTGATTCCAGGGTCCGTCACTAAACCAAAAAAAATTCACGTTTTGGAGCATTATTGAGCATATCACGAAATCGGTGGAAGCAAAAATGATGTGATTAGGTTCCTTGCAAAGGTGTTGACATGGGGGATTCTAGTTACGCCAAGACTGGAAACGACTAGACACCTCCTTATGGCCGAAAATGATAGTTAAGTTAAAAGCAACATTTTACATCTAATTATTTCTAAGTTAAATTACTTTCGCCGGGAAGGAAGCGTCTGGTCGCCTCGAACGAAAGAATAACAAATGTAACACATGCCAAGGTCCTCGTGAAGAACGGTCGCATCATTTTGACTTCCACCATTTTCGGGATACTCGAAAATGCTCATAAACGTGAAAATTTTTGATAATTAAAACCAACTCATCAACTTCTAAGTTACCGACCCCTGCTGATTCTCAAATGCCGTCAGAACCAGCGGAAGAAACTTTACACTTCCATGACTGTGCACAGTCCTCAGTCCAACCGGAAACAACAGAGGAAGCGTTTTACCTTTCTTGCACGTATGATTCCGAACTGTCGGAATACCCTTAATCGGGAGCTCCTTACGCTACGTTTTCCACGCAAGCCGAGAAAGGCGGTGCGAACAGCACCCACTAACTGCAGTGAACGATGCCTTGTCGGCTCCGAAAACTCTTATCTTCACTCTAAGACCAGCAATAGCACGAAGACGACAGCACGGAATACTTCCGGTCGTTTCATCTAATCAAACTGAGGGCGAAAGGAGAGCAGCAGTGCCACCCGAACTGCATCCTCGAAATGACGATTGACTGACGCCACCGATGACGTCATCTCAAGTCAATCAAGCGTGAAAACTTGACTCTCGTGGACTTTTTCCTGCATAATTTTGCATGTCTTTAAAAGAAATTTCCCAAAACTAAGAAAATGGCGCAAGCAAGCACACTTTAAATGTCTCACAATGACAATTGAGCTGTTTAAAAGGAATGCGGCGGAAGCATGATACGAAGCTTCTTCGAAATAAGAATCTTAACATTTCACAGTAAAATACAAAGGAAAACCTTCGTAATACGAATAGAAACACCCTTCGTATCATGCTTGCGCCATTTTCTTCCGTTTTGGGAAATTTCTTTTAAAGACATTGGAGTATACGTAAGCTGAGTAATATATAACGCATCACTACGTACTCTTTGCGCAGAAAGGTGCATAAGATGTACGCAACCTCAAAAGATAAGTATGTACTAGGCGAGGAACCAATCGATTCGGGCGGTGATGTCCTTTTCCAGTATATGCGAGTAAAACAACCATCAGCGCAGTCACGTCGTCGTCGATCAAGGAACAAAAGCAGGAGAGGGAGAAGCCAGTAACCGAATTCAACTAAAAACATCGACAAATATGAATATTTCCTTTACCAAAAAGAATTTGAAACCGATTGAATTTCTTTTGAGACAGGAACGCTTCAAAAAAGTTTAGAACAAATGCATCGGAAAGATCGCGGTAGTTAAGTAGCCGGCGCCATTTCCGGTTTTTTGATTCTTGATCTTAACTCGCCGACGACTAGAATGCTCTATAACTCTTTTCACTCTTTGCTCTGCAATCTATCGAGACCGAAAGCACTTTGCACGTGCATCAAATGAAGGGATCGTCTTCTAAATGCGAAGCGCCTGCGTAACACACGTTTATCACTGTTACCTCACAGACTCCTCAAATCCTCAAGAAGTAGACGGGAGACGACGGTTGGCTGGAGGAACTTGTAGTGGTTCTTGTCACCTTCTTGTTGGTGGCACTACAGTGGGTCGCACGACGAGACAGCGATCGCGAACTGCGCGGCTGAGGCGTCCTTCTGCTATGTGCACGCGTCAACTGTCTGAGCCGAGCCCGAGCCAGCCGAGCGAGGCACAGGGCACAGGCAGTGACGGCGCGGCGGCGGCAGTGTGGGCTCGCAGGAGGGAGGGGGAAGAGGAGGGGGACGGACAGGAGAGGGGAAGAGGGCGACGGGGAGGAAAAGGGAAGGGGAGAGTGGGGGAGAGGAGCCACCGGCGCTGCTGTGACTCCCGCCGCCGTGGTGCGGGGAATACCGTAACTGCTTTCGGACAGAAATAGGTTCACCCGGGCCTGATTAAAGTCCAGATCTGCGTAACTTAATAGACCATTTCCGTCATAGCCGAGTGAAGAACGAAAGTAGTCATGAACCAACCAGTCTGGCATTGCTGTGATGGGCTGTGCTTGACGGTCAGATCCGATATCTGTTCGGAAACCGTTTCGATCGAGGGGACAACCACTCGCGAAATCCTGCGTACACTGGGATAGCCGAAATCTTGCGCAACATCGGTAGAAATCTTGTGAAATCCCTTCGTGATCTGGTGAAATCTCGAGAAATTCCATCAAAACACTGCAAAATCTTGCATAATTTTGGAGCAAAATCCGTTCCGTGAAAGAATCCTGTGTGTGAAAGAAAATTGAGTGGTTGCCCCCTTGGTTTCGATCGTAATGCTGAGGTCAAGGCCTTGGCCGAGACCCCGGTCTGGACACTATTCCCCGCACTATCGCCACGGCTGCTGCGCTGGCAGCAACGGAATCTACACAGCCCCGTCGTCGGTGAGTCTCTCTCGCACTCGTGAGACTTCGCGCGTGGGTGCGAGAGAGAGCGAGCGACGGACGGCACGCTTGTGTGAAATTATGACCGCGGTCTGCTGGCCGCTGCTTCAGCCGCGTACAGTAATCCAAACAAGTTGGGTGTGGTTTTTCTCTCGCTTTCACAGGCCACCCACCCTTCGTTTCCCTCTTTTCTTAATTCCACACACTAAATGTTATGTACAATTTTGTACGAGACATCACAGTTTTTTGCGCACACGGAATTTTCGTACAATTATTTTTACGAGAAACTGCACAAACTTCCCCCGTTTTGTACGAAACCGCTTACAAATTTTTACGAAAAGTTCGTGTGCACAAGTGATGTCTTCAAATGAAACAATATTTTCTCAGCGCGCAGTCCAGGCATGAGTCAGCGAGCGAGTCCCTGTCGCCACCTCCTGCCCCGCTTGGGGTCGCGTTGCGGTGTTTTGACGCCCAGCTCGTCGCCGGCACGAATGCCTCACTCGGCCTTGCACCACACTCTAAATGTTTTTTGTACAAATTTTGTACATCACAGTTTTTTGTGCTGACGAACTTATCGTACAAATTTGTACACAACTTTGCACAACAATGGTCAAATTTGTGCAGTTTTTCGCACAAAATTTGTACGAAAAGTTCGTGTGCTCTAAAAACGTCATGTCTCGTAAAAAATTGTACGTAACATTCAGTGTGTCCACGACGCGTCGCGCGGTGGCGGCCCTACTTCTTGGAACTTGTTGGTCCGTGTGGCGATCCGAGTGCAGGCGAATAGCCGGCGTCGATACCGACTGGATCAGAATCGGTCTCACTCGAACAATGCGCATACCCCGTCGCCCCTCCTCCTCTGCCATGTGACACGGACCTTGCCGGCGATAAACTGAGACAAACGCTGAAAATCTTGAAATCACGCCTACCGCCTCTCCGAAGGAGAGACAGGCTTGAATTCGGAATCCTACACACAAAACGTTATTTACAATTTTGTTCGAGACAGCACAGTTTTTTGGGCACCCGAACTTTTCGCACCAATTTTGTACGAAAAACTGCTCAGATTTCACCATTTTCGTGCAAAATTGCCAACAAATATGTACGAAAAGCTCGTCCGCTCCAAGAAATGTGATGTCTCGTACAAAATTTACACAAAAACATTCAGGATTTACGTGCGTTATCATGGAGCTTGTTCGATGGTCCGTCCGCCGGCAATGTCTAGTCGTAGGATTTTTTTGAGCTGATAATATTTTGGCGAGACTTTCAGATCTGACCAAAACTTGGGGAGACTTTTTGTCCCGCTTCGGGACTCCTAGGATAAAGGCCTCTGGATTTTCAGTGTAATGGAAACACTGCAAATTACATGGAAAGAATTTGCGCCGGCGAGACCAGATGTGAAGTTCTTGCCAAGTTTATAGGTCAGACCTGAAGGGTCTCGCCAAAACAGTCAGAAAAAAAATGTCTCGCCACATAATGGCGAGACTTTCCTGCCTAACCACTATAAATTTACAGACAGGAAAGTGTCGCCATTTTGCGACGAGACATTTTTGTCTGACAATTTTGACGCACGTTAATTAGGGCCTTTACCGCAGTCAGACAGAAAAGTCTTGCCGTGGCGAGACTTTTCTGTCTGACCAAAACTTTTCGAGACCCTTACGTCTGACAAAAACTTGGCAAGAAGTCTGACCTCTTGAGTAGCAAGACGAGGTTTTATCGCTGTCTCTGTTGAACCTACGCAATGTTGAAAAACCGGTTCTTTCGCACAGAAAATGTACAGAATATACTACGGAAGTACGGAAGTACGAAAGAAAAAGAAAGGACGGCCCGTCTTTATTTGCACAAGAAGGAAGCAAGTTTCATAGTTGGCAGGTACGGACAAATAGACGCTTTCGCACGACGATCGCCGAGTGAAGACCAAAAGTCATCAAAAAGCCAGGGACCAGTAAGAACATTTCCCGTGGTTCTTGACGTTTTGATTTCTTTTGTTCTTTACTCGGCGACCTGAGAAAACCCCTTAGCTTGCAGACTACCGTTTCTGTACTTTTTTCCCCAGTGCAGGTTTATTTACACCATTTTCGATCGGGGAACCACACAACTTCAACCGTTCTTGCGGAAAATCGAGTCAATATTCGCAATACAGAGTTCATCTGCTCTAAAAAATTTAACGTCCCGAAATAGATTAACTCAATAACATCTCGGGTGTGAGAGAGACAAGGTGACGTCAGAATCGTGCTGCATGAGGCGGCCGGGGCATGCCCCGTCGGGCCTGGCTCCTTATCACACAGCCAGCAGCAGCGCATTCCTCCCCCCCTCCCCACCCCTTTTCGCTTTGTCCGCTGTTTGCCGATAAAATGCAAAGTCCAATTTTCCTCATGGGTCATTTTCCTCATTGGATGCACCACTGAAAACTGAAGGAAATGTGGGTTTTCAGTGCGAAGATGCCGTCCGCGTGGCACAACATTCTCCCTAGGTGTTCAAAAGGACCCGCGTGACGTTTCGCCAATATGTGTGAGACCACATTTCATGTCAGCTACTTAAGGTAAAATTGGCGTTCAGAAAAAAAAAATTGTGTAACGTTACGCTTAACGCGGGCTTCTACTGCGGGGTCTACCCATAAAATTCTATACTAGCGTTTCCTTGACCGCTATTCCCTTGCAGCTCCTTCACTGCGACTCAATTCAAATTAAGTTCTACTGTCCCCCTACGTCATCTCCCCATGCTTTGACATTCCACCCTGCCTTCACTACGTTGATTTGATTTCCAATTTCACTCTCTTTCCGTGAACGTGACATCGCGCTGAAACGAATGTGACAAAATGTCACGTTCCTTTGAGCGTTGTGTCACATTAGCCCAGCTTATGGCCGATTCACTTCCCGGCAATTGTGACAATGCTCAAAGGAGCGTAAAATTTTGTCTCACTCATTACAACGTGATGTCACGTTCCTGAGATGTGAGTGTTCCTGCGTGCTGTCCTCGTGATGTCCGTGTGGTCGGTCCTTGGGTTCCAGCCGGTGTCGTTGTGGCGCATTTCTGCGATAAGCGGTTCTGCTGAGACAGCGGCCAGTCGGGAGCAGCGGCGAGGCACGTGGACGGACGGACAGTGGACAGACGACAGACGGCCTGCGGCTGCATTGCACACTCAATGCTATACAATTTTGTACGAGACATCACAGATTTTAGTGCACACGTAATTTTCGTACAATTTTCGTACGAAAAACTGCACATATTTCACCATTTTCGTACAAAATTGTACAAAATTTTGTGCAAATTTGTACGAAAAGATCGTGTGCACAAAAAACTGTGATGTCTCGTACAAAATTTGTACAAAAACTTTAAGTGTGCAGGAGTCCATTCTTCGGGCCAAGGAGTCGAGTAATCGGAGTCGACTCTCGAGAGTCAGTGAAAATCGATTCTTCGGGGGTAATAGAGCATGAAGTAGGACCTTTGTTACTGGAGTGGTGTCTGGTCGGCGCCGCCTGAAGCTCACTGCGTCCGGTTCTGGTCATGGCCTTTTCTGCTGCGGTGGAACGACCCGGGGGAGAGGGGGTTGGTGGGGGCGGACAGGCAGGTGGCGGGAGTTGGGTGGCGTTGGTGGCGTGGGTGGACGAGGAAGGAGGGCCGGGCGTCGAGCGACTTGTTGAGGGTTTTGAATGCTTCAAAGGAACACGAAACACTCTTAATGGACGTCTTGATGTCAATCTGATTGCACTTGAGGTAAGATCGTGGTTAAATTGACGTCATTTCATCGCTTTGTGAGTGTATTGTGTTCTAGGGAGTATTCAATGGGAAGGGGTTAGTTGCACCTTTGAATGACTGACTGAAACAAAGACTATGGGTGACTACGACGACTTACTTAACGACTCGGCGAACTCGATTTTGTGGGAAGGTATCAGCTTCCTCGAGGATTTCGATGAGTTGGACTTTGACTCGTCGATCTCCACCGTGGAAGTTGGCACCGACCGCAACCCGGCCCCGGCTCATCCCCTCAACCCCAAGAAGGGCCCAAACACGGAAAAAAATAATTAGTTTGTGCAACCAATGTTTCGGTTGGTTTTGGCCCAACTAAGATTTTTTGTACCATTAACGAACATTGCGTTCGAAGAGCGAAAAATTTGTTAGAAGAGCGGAAAGTTTGTTGCAGCAGTGAATTCATTGGTTGGCACGACCGATTTAAGAGTCAGCTACTGCAACGATCCAATTTGCTACCGCAACGATGGATTCGTTGAGGCAACAAACTTTTCTGCTCTTCTGACGAAATTTTCGTTACTGGTACGGAACATCTTAGTTGGGCCAAAACCAACCGAAGCATCGGTTGCGCTAACCAAAATTTGGTTGGACTGACTGAGTATTTTTTTCCGTGAGGAGAGTGTGATTGTTAAATGTGTCCGCTGCCCTAATCGGTACAAGACCGTTGGAGGGTATGCGGAGCACATGAAAACCCACGTCTGGGAAGGTATGCATCTGAACACAGTTCTGGCCATGTCAACATTACAAACTTCTCATTCTCACATTCCGTATTCATTCATCTTTTCTGATTCTATCTTTCACATCTCCTAAGTCAACTACCCAGCGTGAGCACATTCTCCTCTTGGGCCAGAGATTTGGCTCCTCAGGCCTTGCAGGACCTGAGGAAAGCCTTGCGGGGCATGGATGGCCCCACACAATTTGTGCAGCAACTGGTCGACAACTGTGCCAGTCCTGAGTGAGCACAGTTTGTCGACCTCTTAATCGTGAGACTGTTTAGCCCACCACTGGAAACCAACGAATGTGACGTCATATTCGTTCGAATGTTAATTTCGTCCCGTTCGTTTAAATATCATGTCACATTCGTTTGAATGTTGATCAACATTCAAACGAATGTGGCGCCCTACTTAAACGGCCGAGTCTCGTTCAAACGAATATGACATCATATTCAAACGAACGTGACAAAATTCTCACTCCAACGAATATGACGTCACATTCGTTGGCTACCAGTGACTCCACCAAAGTATTGCCAACATGCCTCACATCTTTGTGGAGAGGGCTCAATCAAGTGTCCTGAAGTTTCTGGGCACTGCGGACACCAGGGCCGAAGCCCTGTTCCTCCTCGGGCAGTGCCACCCTGAAGAGGCACCTACAGTTGTGGTGTCCGTAGTGTGCCAGAAACTTCTGTTCCGTTCAGACGCGGATCTGGACGTCCGTCCTGGGGGGGGCAAACATGGTGGGTTGCCTACTTTCAGGGGCCGCCGGACGAAGACAAGCACGGCAATGAGGGTTGCCTTCTTATCAGGAGGTTCTGCAGGTGCTTTTTTTAAATCAATTTTTAACACGATTGAATGTATTAAAGGAGTGGTAAACGTAAATTGTTTGCGAGCGAAGCAAGCTCAGAAAATTTGCGGTTTTAAGGATCTTTTGGTGCTAAACGTGTGCGAGCGAAGCGAGCTTCAGAAAATTTGCGGTTCTTAGGGCTTTATAGGGTGGCAAACGTTATTTGTTTGCGAGCGAAGCGAGCTCAGAAAATTTGCGCTTCTTAAGACTTTTTAGAGTGGTAAACGCGTAATTTGTTTGCAAGCGAAGTGAGCACTAAAAACATTTGCGGTTCTTACGACTTTCCAGGGTGGTCAGCGTTCGTTTGCGAGCTGAGAAAATTTGCGGTTCTTAAAGATATTTAGGTTGGTAAAAGTAAATTGTTTGCGAGCGAAGCGAGCTGAGAAAATTTTGCAGTTCTACCAGTTCCACTGGTCAATGACAGGGCAAAATGCGCGATTTTTTTTCAGCATGCCTTAGCTTCTGGGGGGGGGGCAAAACACCCTTTGCCCCCCCCGTGTATCCGCGCCTGGTTCCGTTTAATGGAACTAATGACGGCGCAACACCTGAAGACCATCAAGGCAGTGACAGCGTTGGAGCAGCCACGGAGACAGATTACTATGACCCAGAAGACCAAAAAGGTGATATACCATTCTGCTGGTTCCACAGTTAAAGGCCTCCTTAGGATAGGGTTCATGTACCGGCACAATGTGTGGTGGAACACCGTCACACAAGTGACAAAACAGTTCTTTATTGCTGGTACCTCTGCCGCTCCTCCGGTTGATGATGCAAGCACCGCCACTGCTTAGTTTATGTGATTGGTCTGCTTTCAATGACTTTTCATTTCCTCATTCATAAGTTCACTTGTTTCAACTTTCAGGCATGTCAAGTTCCCATGCAGCCCAATCCACATCAGGTCAATTCATCAGTAAGTGACCTATATGCAAGTGTTTGTGCCTTGGTTTTTCAGGCAATGGACAATATAAATTACGAATGCAGTTACAAGGCACATCCAGTCAAATACAGCAATGATGAAAGAAAAAAAACGAAACCTGTGTTTGTTCTTTTGTTATGCCGTTTCTGACCTAACTGTTAAAGTGAGCGGACACAAGAAACACCATGATTAAACAAAAAAAATTTCTAGACAAAAAAGGAGAGCCCAATGAAATGTTCACAATCGTGGATCGACTACGGTCTGTGATAGAAAAAAAAAGTTGTAGGTAAAGTCTTTTAGGGTTTTTCATGTGATTTCCGAGTGGGATGTAAGAAACCGCATTTGTTTGAGCTGACTATGATTCATTGCATTTGTTTGACATTTCTCTTTGTTTGCAGATGGTTTCTGACCAAGAGATTGCCTCCTACAACAGGAAGCTGCCCCTGGCGGAGAGGAAGGTGATGACTTCAAACACCCCTGGCGACATCATCCCCCGTGCGGACCACCTTGTCACGGGGGCGCGCAAGGCCATCGCGGCGGCCGGCAAGTTGCAGCGTGAGCTGTGCCCAAACGACCGCTGGAAGGTGAGCGAGACCGCCCTGGCCCAGCTCAAGAAGGACCTCGCCAACCTGCCCTACCATGTGCTTGGCCGGCACGGAAACTGCGATGAGCGCTACTGCAAGAGGAAGGACAAAGGCGAGCAAGACCTCGTCGAGGAGGCTGGGACCGTGTTCAAGGCCATGTGTGAGCAGGTGGAGCAGAAGCTGCTTGTCCACGCGGCATCACTGGTTTTCAACGAAAACACCAATGATTGCGAAAGGTAAGAACGGTTCAAGGAGGCCAGTATCTCGTGGATATTTTTGACCAAATTGAGGCAGCCCAGTGCAGTCTCTTTAAACGGCTAGAAGTGTCGTAACTTTCGGCTGCTTGTGTTTACAGGTACATGACCAAGGTAGCGAAGATGAATGGTCACAAGGGCGTGGACAACTCTCGCGATGGGTCATTCGCACGGCAAAAGTACCGCCTGGGATTCCCAGGCGCATCATGGGCAAAAGGGCCTATTTTCCAGGCACCGCCTGGGAATCCCAGGCGGTACTTTTGCCGTGTCGGCCGGCGGTGTGACATCGCAGGCCTGGCAACCAACCGAGGCCCCAGCTACGCTTTGGGCGTGATGCGGAAACTGCAGCAGGGCCGGACGCCGGACAAGGTGCTCAAGGGCTACGTGGCGAAGCGGGAGAAGGCTATCACCACGAAGCGCGTCCGCGCCGCGGCGGGGACGGCCAAGGGCTGCTACGAAGTGGCGAGGGTGGTAGTATCTCGCTGGGCTTCGTCTCTGTCGCTTGCACGCTCCTCGTCGTTGGACTGCCGTCTCCTGCCGTGTGTTCGCCGTCGCCAGTGAAGGTCAGCGCTGTCGTTGCGTCGCTGTGCACTGGAGTTTTAACCTCGAACAGAGGTGAGTAAATATAGTGTTTGTTTCACAGTGTATCTGCAGGATTCCCACTTAGTGCTAGCTTATCTAAAAACCGTGCTGTCTGTGGCCCTGAACCAGGCCCGCGTTTTCGTTCGTTATGGAGTCGTTTGACAGCCTGTGCAAGCTGCCTATCCTCAGTGGGGAGTCCACCTGGAAAAGGGGGGGCTTTCGCCTTTTCTGTGGCCGGTGGGGGCTGTGCTACCTAAACCGTAAGTATTGGACTACAGTTCTCGGGAGTGGGGTGCTAAGGGCGGATTCTAAGGGTGTTCTGTTTCCAGGGAGGGGGCATCACTTCGTCCCTCACAACAGGGAAAAGGAGGTGTTTGAGGGACACCAGCATGACATGTGGGGGGAACAGTGCGTGGGTGGGTTCCCCGCTTCCTGGTTTGTCCCCCTGCCGCCGGTGTCGCTAAAAATCCACCAGTGCCAGCTGCGGCGGCGTCGCGGCCGCATGGTAAGGTCCTGGGTCATGGTGGCCCGGGACCACGACGGCTGGTCGGACCAGCTGGAAATGCACCTGGAAGAAGGAGAGGAGCGGTGGTTGTTCGAGTGGGCCCGCCGCCGCATGAGGTCGGAGGTCACCACAACTATTGACGACACGCGATCTTACAAGGAGGGCTGCGTGACCTATTCGTGGAGGGGGTCGTAACTGTCAATTGTACGGGGCGGGGGGTATTGTGAATTATATGGAAAATTGCTAAATTTCTGTTGGCATTTATTTTCCTTAACCATGTTGGAAAATCGAGACAGGAAAAGGTGGCCGGGAAAAGCGGTCTTTTCACCTGCTAATATCCAATACGGGTTACTAAATACTCTGTGAGATATCATAGATAGTGAGTTCGTGCACCTGCCTTCTGATGGTGCCCATGAAGCTGCAAAAGATGTCGAAGTACTGCAGAAGCTGGCTTTACATTTCTCGCTAGAAGACCAGTTCATGAACCAACGCACCACTCTGAACGCACTCTTGAATGAGGAGGCGAGAAAAAACAAGTGGAAAGAAACAGAAAGTATAGACCCGCAGTGTCTCGTGGTGTGCGCCACCTTGGATCGCGAGTGCAGTGCAATGAAACCAAGTGCAGTGGCATTGTCTCAGTGAAATCAAAAACCATGGCTCCAGAAACAAGGCGCCACCGGACAAACGCACCTGCCAATGTAAAGGATGTGAAAATGTACAGAAAGGACGTGGGTACAAGCACCCGGCATCTGGAAGAATGGGAAGATATAATTGAGGATGCTAAAAGTATGGTGTTCGTTAAGCGGAAAAAGGACACTGGAAAACTAGTAAAAGATCGACCACCCTGTGTCTCAGGGCTGGAGCGTACAGTGAAGGGGATGAGAGATCTGTGGCTACACTTAAGGAACCTGCTCAACCAATCTGCTTTTAAATTTTTGCATCTGAGACAGATCAATCAAGATGCTCTGGAAATTTTTTTTTTCAATGATAAGACAACATATGGAGTCACAAATGACAGCCCGACCTGCACTTTGTTCGTTGCAGCATATAAGACTGCGATTGTAAACAGGCTGTCTTAAACTCTGAGCAGAATTTCGAACTGTAAGGAAGATGACAATGTTCTTATAAGTGATCTTCATTCCCTCTTTTTTCTCTCAGGCTCTGATGATGAGCCACCTGAGCAGCCAGGAAGCATCTGGAAGAATGGGAAGACATAATTGAGGATGCTAAAAGTATGGTGTTCGTTGAGCGGAAAAAGGACACTGGAAAACTAGTAAAAGATCGACCACCCTGTGTCTCAGGGCTGGAGCGTACAGTGAAGGGGATGAGAGATCTGTGGCTACACTTAAAGAACCTGCTCAACCAATCTGCTTTTAAATTTTTGCATCTGAGACAGTTCAATCAAGATGCTCTGGAAAAAATTTTTCAATGATAAGACAACATATGGAGTCACAAATGACAGCCCGACCTGCACTTTGTTCGTTGCAGCATTGTAGAGAGGCGAATCCGCCCGGATTCACCCACTACATATCTAAATAGGACAAAGGTCGACTTGACTGCTCTGCCGGAACAAACACCGTTGTTCAAACTGGAGCCGGGTCATTCCAGCCGCGTTATCGGTTGAACCCGTTAGCGGGGCGGAATATCCCCGGTCACGGGGTGGCCAGGGCAGCGGGCCGCAGGGCAGAAGGGCGTGCAAACAATGCACACGGCCCAAATGCACACGGCCGCTGCCGGCCCTAGAAAAGCGTTCCGCGCTCGGCAGCAGCACGTCAGACAACCCGGAGTAGCGGAGCAGAGCGTAGTGTGACAGTGCGTGCGTGTGTGATTTCTAGTGGACCGTGTGCGGTGAAATAGTGAACTTCTGTGACAGTGTAGAACTTGTGAACTTTCAGTGAAATTGGAGACTTGTGATTTACTCCTGTGACAGTGCTCAGTGAAATAGTGCAGCGCAACTCAGTGTTCACCACCCCTGCTGTTTCTCTGTGCCAGCGTTCGTCAACCCTCTGTGAACAACGTGAGTGTGTACCGCCCATCATCTCTCTTCTGTAAAGTGCTCGTGTGACAATTTAGATTCAATATAGTAGTGTCAATTTCAATTATAACCACTGCCTTGTTACTTTACCCTTCTCCTCTGAACATTGGATGTGACATATCAATACAGTTAAGTTAGACCCCCCTTGCTATTCGTCTTTTCCGCCTCAGGGCCTCAGCCGCGTTGTAACCTCATTCTCCTCCCAAGTCCTGTGTAGCCCTAGCGGTGACTAGCACCCCGGCCGCCTGGACTCGTATCGGACCTTGTGGCACCTCTGAGCCATACAGTGTGCACCCCTGTGTCCGCCGCGAGTAACGCGCCTTGCCGCCTCTGCTAGGCAGTTGAACAGCCGGCCGTTACGAGTTATATAGAACACAAGCTGTTAACAGTCACGCTACCATACCACGTCTCCTATGCGCGGGCCTCCACAAGAGGAGTGACTCCGTAAGACTGCGATTGTAAACAGGCTGTCTTCAACTCTGAGCAGAAGTTCGAACTGTAAGGAAGATGACAATGTTCTTATAAGTGATCTTCATTCCCTCTTTTTTCTCTCAGGCTCTGATGATGAGCCACCTGAGCAGCCAGGAAGCATCTGGAAGAATGGGAAGACATAATTGAGGATGCTAAAAGTATGGTGTTCGTTGAGCGGAAAAAGGACACTGGAAAACTAGTAAAAGATCGACCACCCTGTGTCTCAGGGCTGGAGCGTACAGTGAAGGGGATGAGAGATCTGTGGCTACACTTAAAGAACCTGCTCAACCAATCTGCTTTTAAATTTTTGCATCTGAGACAGTTCAATCAAGATGCTCTGGAAAAAAATTTTCAATGATAAGACAACATGTGGAGTCACAAATGACAGCCCAACATGCACTTTGTTCGTTGCAGCATATAAGACTGCGATTGTAAACAGGCTGTCTTCAACTCTGAGCAGAAGTTCGAACTGTGAGGAAGATGACAATGTTCTTATAAGTGATCTTCATTCCCTCCTTTTCGTCTCAGATTCTGATGATGAGCCACCTGAGCAGCCAGGAAGCACCTCTGACCTCACAGGAATATCTTAGTTACACCACTGATGGCCATCACGGTCAACACAACGCTGCCGCGGATTGAAAAGCTCCGAGGGGTCGAGAACTGGAGTGATTGGAAGTGTCTAATAGATCTCTACCTCAGCCTCGAGGAAATCAAGGACTGCCTCACCAGCGAGCCAAACGCTGAAGTCCCGGCTGCCGTGAAGAGGGATAGCAAGGCAAGGACCAAGCTGGTCCTCAGCATCGAACGTCCGGGGGGCCAACACCACCAAAGGGGTATGGATGGGGCTGCCTCTGTAAGGCCTTCGAGGGCACGGGCATCCACAGGAAGTTGTCCCTGCTCGACGATCTCCTGGGCGCCAAGCAGGGAACCGGCTCCCTGGAGGTGCTGGTCTTCAGGGTCAAGGACGCGCTGTCCAAGATCAACGCGTCCAGACCCCCGACCCTGGACGAGATTGCGGCCATTCTGCGTGGCGTGAACGCGGAGTACAAGTGGAGAGGACGGCGGCCAGCACCCAGCGGGACGGGACCGTCACCATGTGCCCGGACGTGGTGGTGGAGGTGCTGCTGCGGGAATCGAAGAAAGAAGCCGTCGAGAGCAAGTTTTGGACCGCACCCGCGTTAGTGACGTTTCTTTTCTCCTGCTCTCTTATCGCTCAACATCACTCAAATCCAGTTAAATAGAACTATATTCAACCCAGACATCACGGTGAAAACGGTTCCTGGTTTTCCCAGGAACTCCCTGGAAAGCGCCCATGCTTCTACCATAGGCTTCCTGGGAAAACCAGGTAACGTTTTTACCGTGATCTCCCTGAAGCGCCGCACAATGGTTCTTGCCTCGCACACGCAGTGAGAGCAGCTAGAGACCTTTACCATTTTCTGTAGCGACGAGCAATTAAGTAGAAATGTATGAACCCCCGCAAAAGTATGCATATCCTCCCAAGGATATCACTGAGTACGCGACTGGAGTGAGTTCTCTGTCAATTATTGAGGGTGAACTGTGTTACAAAGGTAACGCAGTGACCTGCTCATCCCTCTTCACTGTGATTAATTCATTTCTTGTTTTCTTGAGAAAATTTGAAAAAGCAATTGTATTAGTAGCTCACCACGCTTATAGTGATGCGTATGCCCTAATCAAAGGCTGTGCCGATTTTTATTTATTACCGTCTTTAGCTGAGTTAGTCATAGGATTTATTGATACTCTTCCCATGTTTAAGAAAAACCCTGTTAATCTGGAAGACTTTGCAAAAGCACCATCTGGACAGTCTACAGAAAAGAAAACGAAACTTAGTGCCAGCCGGAGGCCCCTGGGACCCCCTGGACCCGTCTAAGGCCACTGCCGACGGCACAGTGAGCGCGTGCACAAGGTGCGACGCGCGTGGCAGAAGGGCTCAAAGTAAATGCTGATGGCACTACTATGTACTGGTTGCAAAGGGCTTTACCCATCAGTGTGGGGTGGATTATTTAAAGTATACGCACCAGTAGTGAGACTAAGGAGTCCCTAAGAACAATGTTCTCTGTCGCTGTAAATTTCAACCTCAAAATTGCACACTTGGACGTTAAAACCGTCTTTCTGCATGAAGATCTTTCCGAAGAAGTCTACATGGCACAGCCTTATGCACTGGTGACTTTCTTGTTCTAGGAAGAGAGCACCTAGTGTGTCGTCGCAGGAGGAGCAGGAACTTGGGAAAGCTGGAGTTTTCCAATTTCCTCACCGGCCTAAGAAACGCCCTGATCCAACTCCACCTAGGCGGAAGGAGATTGATCCCCTTCTCCTAAAAAGGTAAATCTGTCAGCTGTGCATCGCATACCCACTATTGACTTTTCCCAAGCATATACACTGTGGCAAAAAGCTACGGAAAATTCTGTAAACAGCTTGTGGTAATTCTCCGTAGCCCCCTTGTCAATATTCTCCGTAGTCTCTTACAGTATTTTCCGTAGGACTGCACAGTATTCTCCGTAGGACCACACAGTATTCTCCGTAGGCCTATACAGTCTTCCAGGTCCTACGGAGAAGACTGTGTGGTCCTACGGAGAATACTGTGCGGCCCTACGGAGAATACTGTAAGAGCCTACGGAGAATATTGATAAGAGGGCTACGGAGAATCCTGGCAAAAAAAATTAACAGAATTTTCCGTATCTTTTTGCCAGTGTAGCAAGTGTAGGCCAGATAAGCACATATTTTTCAGTTTGTCTTTTTGTCAAATCCACATGACATTCATAATATACTGTTTGTTTTTCTGTGCAGATAGTGTTTGAGGCACGGACTTTGCCATAATGTATTTGCCGTACCTAGTGAAGGAGCTCCGGACAGCTGCCTTCTGGAGAAAGGACAGGGTAGACCAGGTAAGCACATATTTCTGAAATTATCTTTTCGTCAAATCCATGTGACAGTCATAACACTGTTTGTTTTTCTGTGCAGGTTGTGTTTGAGGCCCAAAGCAGCAGGGTCAGGGAGTCTGCGGAGCTTTATAGGCTACAGTGTTATGGACTTGCGAACAAGGATGGTGGGTATCTGCTTTACGAGTTTCCTGTATATTTGATTCTTGTTGCACATAAGTAATGCTCTTATTTCCGTTGCAGAATATAGCACAGACTTTGCCATTATGTACTTGCCCTATCTAGTGAAAGAGCTCCGTAGATGATGGGTGCTCATCAATGATGTAAGTAGCTGCATCGTGTTGCAGATTGCCCCTCATTGTTTGGCTACCAGTAACTTCATATCCTTGTTTGCAGGAAATTCCCATTGGTGAATGCCCTGTTCTAAGGATCAGGAGCACTTCGAACCAGGCGACAGTGTTAGGAGCAGAGGACTTCTAGATAAAAGTCCTTTTTCAGAGAGAAGTCCTCTGCTCCAGCAAAGAGGGAGATGGCCTGCGCCTGCGTGATTGATGCGGTCATGACAGCTGCCTTCTCATCTAACTTAGGGTTCCCAGATAAAATCTCCGCAGTCTGGCGTTTTTACATGGATGTTGTCCATAAGTGGGAATACCCAAAAGAGAATCCAAAGGTAATGGGTAATGTTAGAAATCTCTGTAATATTTTGTTGGCCTAGTTTGTTTGTTCTAAATGCAATTATGTGTATAGTTAAAATTGCTGCTGATTCTGTGGCCCGCCCCAGTTTTTAGGGCGACTTGAGTCGCCTACTTTCTGGGCGACACAGTCGCCTAGTTTCTGGGCGACACAGTCGCCTAGTTTTAGGGCATCTTGGTCGTAAATACAGAGCTTACTTATGAATGCTGGCCCAAGGCGCCCTCAACCTGAGCACCTTTGGGGTTGGTCCGACCTAATGTAAACCACTGCTGCCCAGATTCGGGGCACCTACACTCTACCAAAAATGTTCTGTAAATGCCGTTAATTTATTACCAGTTTTCACTGTAGGTCAATTCACAGCGTTTACTGTGATCTGCTCACGGGATTCACTGTGATCTTGTTCGCGGTGTTCACTGAGATCTGGTCCCCAGTAAACACTGTGAGTTTGACGCCGCTAAGCACAGAAGTACTGCAAATCAGGCCCCAATTCACGGCGTTTACTGTGGCCAGATCACAGTGAACACTGTAACCGAGATCACAGTGAACGCCGTGAACTAGTTCACAGCAAACGCCGTGAATTGCATAACAGCAAACATTGGTAATAAATTAACGGCGTTGACAGGACATTTTTTGTAGAGTGTATTGCGCCTAGATTCGGGGCATCTCTGACGCCACCCAAATGTGAAATCATTGAGTTTATCCATGTGCAGGCAAACTTGTGTGCAATGCCTTGGGCCAGCATAGATAAGTAAGCTCTGTATTTGCGACCAAGATGCCCTAAAACTAGGCGACTGTGTCGCCCAGAAACTAGGCGACTGTGTCGTCCAGAAAGTAGGCGACTCAAGTCGCCCTAAAAACTGGGGCGGGCGACTTAGTCGGTCAGTTTCAGGGCACCACCTTGTCTCAGTGTACTCACACATCTGTATAAGTGACACGCTTAGAAAACCATGTCATCCTTACGTGTGTTAGTGTTGCTGAGCATGCCGCACATCTCTACGTACCGGAATCAATTACAATAGAGAGAACTGCAGCTATCACTGTTCACAAAGAACGCGATATCCACTTGGCTGAGGGACTGTGGTATAAGTTTGCCAGGGTCTATGTCGAAACCATTAACACCAGAACATTGACTGTCACCGTGTTCCTACGCAGCTCCTGCGTCGACGCAGTAACCATAGATGCTCAAAACTATCTGCACACATAAGTCCTAACGGATACAGGGTTTGTACGTTACAGTTAGTACAGTGCAGCCATAATACCCGTATTATCGCTGCACTATACCACGGACCGTAACGTACAAATCGTGTGTCCGTGAGGACTTCGGTGTGTGCGAGCCCTGCAGAAGTGTCAACGCCGAAAATGACTGAATTTGGCGGACTCAGGTACTGCATGTCTCGGGGCCAACGGGGTTTCGTGCCTCAATAGAATGAGTTGGCGCAACAACTTTCGACAATCCTCAGCCCAGAGCAGCGTGCGCTATCGTCACTCTTAGAACAGAAACGTGACATCACGTTAACGAATGTGACAGTCACGTTCCTTTGAGCTGTATCACATTCGCTGGGATGCGAATCGGCCAGAAATTAGCTTATCCACAGACACACAAATGTGACACAGTGCCCAGAAGAACGTTCGTTTCAACGTGATCACACGCTCCTGGGATGACAGTGGAACAGTAGTCTTGGTGATTCCTCCAATCTTTCACTAAATGTAATGTAAAATTTTCTACGAGACATCATAGTTTTTTGTGCACACGAACTTTCCGTAGAAATTTTGTACGAAAATGTCGTGTGCACAAAAAAAAACTGATCTCGTACAAAATTTGTGTAGAAATATTTGGTGTGTTACGGATACAGAATTTGTACGCGACGGATAATCCTGAGCGGCTATGAAACGAAGTTTGCGGTACACACATGTTTTAGAGCGTAATTAAAAGGACTTGATGTCCGCAAGCGTAAAGAAAAAAAAGGCGTATTCTCATTCTTACAGGACACCAAACTCTT